ACCTCCAAGGAACGTCACGTTGCCATAGCTTCGATTGCAAAGTTCTGCATGACCGTTGCAAACGTCCGCTCTGCCGCAGGAAGGTCAGCAACCGCGCAAGGTGCAGGTACACGAGGCGTTGATGGAGCCCGGGACGGCGCTCCGGGTAAGTGGACATGAGAACCGTAACATGGTACGCACCTTCTCTGTGGGATTATGGCACCCTTGACCGAAGCGATAGCGGCCGCTACGCTCAGGAGGAATGACGCTGCTCGCATGTCGTGGGTTGTGAACGTACGGCGGAGGGAACGGGCGTAAGGAAAGGGGGCGTAAATACAAGAACGGGTCTAATAATGGCTGAGCCGGCAGCTGGGGACAGGAAGAGAAGCATCGAAGGTGGCTATTTGAGGGAACGACGCATGTGGGCTGACGCTTTCGATGCCATGACACCTGATGACCGTCCTGGTCTGCAGCACAGCAGCACAAGCCAAGGAGTCTCACTTGTCGAGCTGTGATGCGCATGCACAGCTTCTCAGCAGATCGACGCAGGCGGAGGACCTGTTGGCGGGTGACGAGAGGCAATCTGATGGTCCTGGACGCGTTGAGAGGCCATTGATGGCGACTGATGGTATCGCCGAATCTTCCGCATACGGCAAGGTACCGACCTCATTCCTCGTGCGGCGTGCCCGTTGTTTTCCAAAGGCTCACAGAAATATCTGAATCGCGAATGTGTTGAATACGAAAGCTTCCACGTCGATTGACACTACCCTCAAGGCACTTTGTGAGGGGAGAGGAGCGTCAGCCTCGCTCGTGGGTTTTCGATCGAAGGCGAGCATGTCGGCTGGTCTCGCTTAGCCCATCACCTCTGAACGCGTAGGGCCGCTCAATTCTTGAGGACGCAGGACGCAGGACGCACTCAGAGCTCGTTTGATGGATGTGATGCGCTAGCCGAACCTGCCGCATACGGCAAGGTACCAACCTCATTTCTCGTGCCCGTTGTTTTCCAAGAGGTCTGTCGTGTCCCAAACCTCACATAAAAATATGAACCGCGAGTATGTTGAAGACGAAAGCTTTCCGCGTCGATTGACACTACCCTTGAGGCACTTTGTGAGGGGGGAGGAGTGTTATCGTCGCTCGAGGGGTTTCGAAGGCGAGCTTGTCGGCTAGTCTCGCTTAGCCCATCACCTCCATCAATGGCCTCTGAACGCGTCCTGCGTCCTGCGTCCTCAAGAATTGAGCGGCCCTAGAAATGCAGGATCGCAGTACCAGGAACGTGCCTTTGATCGCTTTGCGACATGGGGTGGTCAAAGTATAGGTCGATTTTGATGCGATTCAGAATCTCAGACTCGCTCCAAAATCACTCTCAGAATCACCTCAGAATCGTCCACTCTGACCGCCCCTATTGAGACGTGGAACACTTTTGACCCTCCGGATACCCATGCCGATTATCATATGATTCTATTCCCCCCTTGTCTCCTTTTTATGAGTTCGAACTGCCATGCGTTTCCATGATGTTGCGCTTACATATGGGCCCGATGCTCTATTCCCGAACATACTGAAGATGATACGACTTGCCAGTACTACCAATGAGCCCATCTTGCTCCTGCTCCGGCATCCGGTAGCATGTTAGCCGGGTTCATGTATCCACCGGAAGCGGTAGTACCGTCTGGCAACTTTCTACCGGCAACCGCAACAGCACAAATCCCACTACATGCAGCAATACTATAACCCCGTCGCCGACCAACACATATAAGAACTCATCGACTTTGTCTATGGTCCGCCGCAATCCTTGACTTGTATTCGCCCCAAATGGTCGCAGTCGATTCACCAGAACACGAACATATCTCCGAGGCCTTGGAGGTCGAGCAGCTGGACGTGAACTTATTCAGGTCGAGGACATTGTACCTTCCGTTCAGATCAAGGGGTGTGTTCGGTGGGCAAGTCATCTCGCAATCACTAGTGGCGGCCACCAGTTGTGTAGATCCATCATACAGCTTACACGTACGTCCATGACATACGACCTTCTTTTCACCGTCCTCACCTACTCTTTGGTCCACGACACGGCCAGTCCCTTCACGTGAGTGGCCTCCATATTGACTCTGAGCTGTTCCTTACATTAGGCCTGCAGTGCTACTTTCTTCTCAGTGCTTCTGCCGCCGTCCCCATAGTCTACCATGTCGACCGCGTTCGCGACGGACGCTCCTACGTCACTCGGAGCGTACGCGCTGTGCAGCGTGGGCGGGCCGTCTTCATTATGATGTGTTCCTTCCAGATCCCGGAGCCGCGGCAACCGACGTTCCAGTTCCCCATGCCTCTCGGTGTTCCCCCCCCGGACGCTTGCGACAGCATAGAATCGCTTTACGAGAAGGCTTTCAGGCAAGCAAGAGACGAGAAAGTCAAGGAACTATGGCGCATCACCTTGGAAGTAAGTTCATGGTCTGCGAGACGCGCGACGAGGCTTAGACTTGGTCCCTAGGAGCGGATGCGTAGCCCCATCGAGGCCAAGATCGCTGGGGTGCGAGAACCCACAGACGGAACACCTATATTCATGTACTGGTACAAGGCGAGGAACACACCAAGGCGCTATGATCCCGCCTTCCAGAAGGTATGCAGTCCTCTACCTCTTGTTCGACTTCTGTTCACCTGGTGCCGCAGTGCATCCTAAGTTATATCTCGGATTCCCAGTTGTGAGTAGGCACACTCTGTGTTTCAAGAGGAGGGCCCTGACATTCCTTTAGTATGTCCGGCATCCGTCGTACGCTTGCTATCCTTCACCGCGGCTACGATTCCGACGCGAAGGTCGTTATGCAGGTATGCGTCCACGTCCTTGGACAACTAGATCCTGAGTTGATACATGTGTCAGACTTCTCTCGATCATAACATTACCTTCTACGAGTAAGCATCTACAGCACTGGCATATGGATTATCATGGCTCACGTCAAGCAGTGACGACTTCGACTGTGGAGACTGGATTTTGTATGTGGTAAGTAGTACGTCCAGAGATCTCTGCCCTTGCCCTCAATCCAGACCAGGTCATCAGCGAACGAGCTGCTAGTGGGCGTGGGTCGGTACATGGTCGGGTAAGTGCCAACTATTCGATAGTTCGTCATTTCTGCTTACTTCTGCATCTTTCGCAGATGTATACCCCTAGTGGCACTCTCGTAGCAATATGCAATCAGGAGGGTCTCATGCGAGTCGACATCCCGTCTTCCAAGCTCTAGACATCTACTGAAACTACTCAATACCCTGTAACCTAATCTCTCACACTCTTAATGCTACTTCCCCGTCAATGTTCACGTACATGTGGCTTTGCGTATACTTGACATACAAGGTGTAGAGCCGACACAACGATAGCACTGCGACAGGCATTCAATGATGGAACACTCGCCGTAGAGCATGAGACTCGCCCCACGAGAGAGGCATTTGCGGGAGATAAGTGAGGTAATAGATTGCGTATGAATACACTACCCGCGGCGAAAAGCTTTTCGAGCGTGACAGAAAGCGTGATGAGATATCGATGCAATGATCCGTGCGGGTAGGTAACTGCACGGAAAGCGACAGGACGAGAAAACGCAGAACGCAAGGAAGACCTCAGTTCTTCCGGCGGTACGAGCTCCCTATGTGGCATGGAGACATCAGCATCCGATAGGGGACCCATGTCGACGAGCAAACGTACCCTCCGTCAGTCTTGCCTTACCACCGGTGGGCTGGCAGAGAACGCTGCCGCATGCAGCGCAGAGGACAACGGTCTGCGCGTGCGAGAAGACAGTCGTGATAGCGAAGCAGCCTGTTAGATTGCAGATGCCCGTGAGGATCAATACGGCCGAGCGCAAAAAGGCATGGCTACGTACCAGGGCACTTCACATCCATGAAGTAGGAATTTGGGGACTGCACAAGCCGCTTCAGCTTGTGGCTGCGCTTCTCGTGCTCGGGCGTGGGGTTGAGTAGGTCGATGGCAAGAGGCTGATCAACGAGGGGTCAGACCATGAGCAATTTGGCCTCTTGTGCCGCACAGACGAGGCAAGATGGCCCACGGAACTCACCATTTTGACTAGGGGGAAGAGGGCCTGAAGAGCTTGCGGCTAGGGACGGAGGACGAGAGGACTTTTGTGCGCGACGCCGAGGGTCGACCTGCGTGGATAAGAGGTCAAAATAAGGTTCGGTGGATTGGGATGACTACAAGTCGGGGCTTCAATTTTCGCTTCCGGGTGGCTGAACCGGCGCTACTTGCCTTGCCCGACCCGACTCGACGCCTTTTCCCAATATGGCTCCCTCTCGTTGCATAGCGCTACGTGCCTCCAATGTTGCTTCTGCAACAGTTCTACCCCTTTATCTGTCGTGCCCTCTGTCGTCGTGAGTTTAAGCCGGGCTCTGCTGGTGCCATCGGCTCGGTCGCGCGAGCAGAATATCCTGGAGCTGAGGCGAGGTGGCATCAAGCTGCGATGCGGGGGCATCTCGTTCACAAGGCGAAGACAGGGAGGAGCACGATGATACGCCGACGGATCATCTATCAAGTGTACATCGGCAGTTTGGTGGGGTCCTGCCCTCGGCGTGTTTGCTACTCTCCGATCTTCACTCCATGCTCGGGCATTTGCGATGGAAGGGTGTATAAGACGTCGGAAGAGTAGTAATAGAAGGTCTCAACTCGCATCTACATCCGAGCTCTATTGTATGTGTACGTGTGCAAACAAGTCGCATCAGCTTCGCGGAGCTCAAGCAAACACTGCAGACAGGGAACTGTCGGCGGAATGGCGTAGGACAATGAATGCGGCTGTGTTGGACGTAAATTGAGGGACAATTCCGGGAGTTGCTATTGTTCTGCTTGCAGCCTGGGGAGGTTGGGCGGCGGGCGCCCCCACGTGTCGCATGAGGCGCGGAAGCACTTGAGCGTTGTGCCCCGATTAGGCAACCGTTGAAGAATGCTTTTGTTGAAGCCTCCGCCTTTTGTTCTCGCTTCGTTACCGAGCCCGCGTTCTTCAGGCAATACTGGTGCCCATTGTTTACGCAGACGCGCTTGTATCACTTACCATGACTATAAGAGCTGCCGTTCAATCCGGTTAGTGTCTCCTCACCCCGGACTTAGTTCCACTCAGCCTCCCTCATACTGACGTTCCCTTCCAGACCGGCTCCTGTTAGGTCAGTAGTCTCTAGTTCACGCATTGTCCCTTACACTGACCCAGCTTCTAGACTCCTGTTATAAGTCGTTTGTCGACTCAGTCTCTGCTACGGCCATTTTCGCTCGTTTCCTACGCAGCATCATCTCCGTCCTCTTCGCATCTCATTCAGCGAGCCCACTACCGCGCATTCGTATCGCAGGTCGATCCCATCTTCAACGACTATTATTGCAGTCCACGGCCTCAGCACATACCGATCCTTTAATCACGTCACTTCTCATCATCATCATGTCGTCTTCCAACGTTGCCTTCGGTTCGCTCTCTGTTGCTCTCGCCCAGGCTATCACCTACCTCACTCGCCCCCTTATCGCTCGTTACTCCGCGGTGACCATCATCAAGCTGCAGCTCGCACTCGAGGCCAATCTTACTGCGCAGTTCTCCCCATCGTGGAGCCCGAGCGAGCCTCTCCGTGGCTCTGGGCGCCGCTGCCTCACTCTCACTCCCAACGGCCTCCCTCCTCGCACCATCTACAACGCTTGCAAGTCCGCTGGCGTTCAGTGGTCCGAGTGGATTGCACTCCTTGGCAACGTGGAGTTCGATCTCTTCATCGATCCCGGCTGCGTCTCTGTCCGCTTCGGAAGCTGGGACTCGGGCAAGGTCGGCAAGTTCTTCACGATCTGGTCCGAGGACACCATCGACATGATCGAGCAAAAGAGGGCCGCTGCGGACAAGGAGGCGCGTCTTGAGGCCGAACTTAAGGCTCAGGCTGCTGCCCGCGCTGCATGCAAGCCCACCAAGACCTACGCTCAACAGCTGCTCGAGGTCGACCAGGACGACGAGGAGCTCTTTGCCTTGATCGCCGACGAGATCCGCGAGCCCACTTGGCTCACGCCCATTCTCTGCGAGTTCCCCTCCATCCCTGCCCCGGCACGCGACATCACGTCCTCTCCCATGTCTACCGTTTCCACCCTCTCTTCGCATTCGCGCTCGAGCTCTTCCAGCTCGAGCTCCGGCTTCACCTTCTCGTCCGTCGAGAGCGGCGACTCTTACGGCTCTTCTTCGACCATCTCCCAGTCGTCTTGCGCTCTCTCGCCCTCGGACGAGAAGCCCAAGCCCAAGCTGTCTCGCCGCGAGCGTGCCCGCCAGGCGCGCGTCTTTGTCGACTCCTCTAAGAACCAGGTCACCAACTACGACGGCGGCAAGACGACCGTGCTCACCGGCGGCGTTATGCTCGGCGGCGGCCCTACTCCCAAGGCGAAACCGGCTCCTGCTGTTGCGCCTAAGAAGGCTAGCGGCTCCAACTTCCAGAGCACGAACTGGCGCTCCTCCACTCGCGCCTAAGCGTGACCATCTTTCCTTCTGCTTCCGAACCTTTGCTCTGGACGAGATCCACGACTCTGGCGCGCCTCGGCCGTGCCAAGATGCCCTTTACACGAAAATCCACGAAAAGCATCAAGATCGCCCACATACCCTATCCTACATCATCGCGCGCTTCAGCGCCCTATTCGTCTCCGCTTCTCCGCTCTCCACTGTTCTGGTCGAATGTGTAGCATGAACTCCATCCTGTGTCGAACAATCTGGACTCTCGGTAACTATATCACTAGCTAGGCACTTTGTAATTCCTACGGCTCCGCATATCTTTCTGTCTTCATAGCACATCTTCACCTTCATTTGCACTTGCACAGGTCTGGAACATTCACCTTCATTGTATATTCGTATCTTTATGTGGCCATAGCTCTCGCTGTAGTATATAACAAGCCGATTTTGGTCTGGGAACCTCAACACAACTCCGCGTCCCCTGCGTGTGTATCCTCGAGACAAGACGATAAAGTGCTTCGAAGTGGTCTCAATCGCACCGATTGTTACGAGCGCGTGACGTCAAACGTCGAGACAAGTGGAGGAGCGATAGTCTGGAATGCGACGAATTTCCCAATATGCTGGCACTCTGCTGGATTCAACAGGTCCACAGGCCGGAGAGTTTGGCGCCGATCAACTCACGTCGGTGTTAGTCCCGCTCGAATAGGCGAGACCGGAGTCACAGTGGGGCCCGGGGTTGGTGTCGGAGCACTGATGAGGACCAATGGTCTGTGCTCACTGCCCCCGCCGGGGCATCCACTCCGTCGATTTCCTTGTCACAGTGGGACAGAAGGGCTGCTGCACTCGCGTTGACTCGGCGAGTATGCAGCATGGCAATACAGTGACCTCGTGTGCACCCTAATCGAAAATCAAAACCGGGACACACTCGAACGTGCGGGGGTGGCGGAGAGTGTGACATCCCGATGGAAGACGCCCAAACCACTCGAACTTGAGGAGTTGCCTAACTGGGGGTATGTCGTCATGGCCCGCATCGCCCGTTGAGTGGTGCACGCTGTGGATTCGAGGGAGCCTCCGTGGCCAGTCGGCATCATGGGGAGAACTCATGTATAAGTGCCACATTCTTCCGAAGAAACCATACCAGCAACCACCCTTAGTTTGTTCTTTTTTCTCTCCCCTTTCGCAGCCACTCGACCTCATTCTTTCGCGTCTGTCCATCGCCTCTTGCCCACTCTCTGCTCTACACAATAGCGCATACATCATGACCGCATACCACGATCCTCATTCCATTGAAGCGAAGAAAGCCCGTTATTCGCAGGAGCTTGCTGCATATACCCTTCGACAATGGGACTCGGTTCGCCACTCCATCGAGGATGGGGATAGCAGTGAGAGCTCAGGCCCACCATCTCAGCAGCAGGACAGATCTCGCTCTGCATCGCGGGATTCAGAGACGGCTGCGAGGCCGCGAGGTACGTAGACTTCATGACTCGTGGTTGGACAGGCGAGCTCATCAACGCTCCGCTAGGCATCCAAGTGCACGACTACGCGCAGACGAGCCGCAGGCATCTTAATGGCCAGCGCACCATAGCCGCAGGAAAGGCGTAGTTTCGTCTAAAGTGAGTGTATGGTCTTCTGTTCGATGCATCGTGCCCGAATCTGACGGGAGATGTCGGTGACGCTTGTAGTGTCCGAACATCTCAAATTACACATACCTTCATACGGACGGTACACCTCGGACTATGATGTTGTTCCGCCTAGCATATATATCGTCATTACTTCACGAACATTAGAGCGTATAACCATCCTGTACTATAGCTAGTTGTCCCTGGGAATATGTCTGCTCCTGGAAACGTGTGCAAGCTTAGTCTGTCGTCGTTGTCATTATAACTTATCACTGTGTTCCAGCCGTAATCAAAAACGCCTTGTATCAAGGAGTGAGAGTGGTTCAAACGTCATCTTTGACGCAGATCTTTAGATTCAAACCCGATATCCTGGCGCATCCGACAGTGACGTTCTCCTCGATACCTCACCCAACACCATGGCTGTCATTGACCGCTGACCTCGGGGAGTAGTAAGGAACGAATCACCGTCTCTGCGATCCAAGGGCCGTCTGTATGGCCTAGGGTCAGTCTTGCCCCACAAATTCCTTCGGCCCTGCCGCGAAATCACCGTCCCGCCTACTTGCCGCAAGGAATTAATGGCAGGGGATGTCACCTCCGGCGGCTCTCGAGGTTTATCGCTCCACATCAGTATATATCCACCAAAGCTTCCGGCGCGTCTCTACGATGTCAAACCTGGCAAAATTGAGCAAGCCTGTACCGTTCAAGACAGCGTGTGAAGAGCTCGAAACTGAGCGGTCATTACTCACCAAAAGCTCTCGACCTAGTTATTTCCCTGTACATAGTCTAGAAAACTGCTCTCGTAACATGCCATATTGCCATGGGAGCTTGCCGGGAGACTTTGAGCGCTTCCTCGCTTCTATGCCACAAGCGCAAGCAGAGGTGTCCAAGATAACAGTTGATCCTGCTGCACGTCGCAATGTACAATGACTCGGGGGTAGGGGGGCCTTTAGTGTTGACAAAAAGCGCTAAATCGCGCCCGTTGTACGACATTGTCGCGCAAGAACGATGTAGTAAGCTACTGGTACGGAAACAGGTAGTTCTGGGAAGTAGGTGCTCAAAGGGACGGCGTCAAGGATGCAAAGGCGGTATTATCTGCTTTGACCTCCTCAAGTGAGATGGAGAAAGTGTCAGTGCTGAAGAAAATGACGAGGGTTACTGGAAGGGGCAGCTTTGCAGCCTGTGTGACTGTTGGAAATCGCCTGTCGCTAGTGGCTCGAAAAGGCGAGTCACGTGAGAGTCGGGTAGATAATGGATCTGAGATAACATTCTGGCGGATCGTTGCCCCAGGGCATTCCCCAACCGTTCTGAGGCCCGAATTTTCAGTACGTCCGCTCAATCCCCACCGGAACTATCGCCTTGCTTTCCTTCGCTGCACTTGTCCCTAACGGACAAGTAACAGTGCTCTCTTTGCTTCGCCTACCATCTCGTACTATGTTCCGACCAGGTCCTACCGTACGCCTCTCTGCGCACCTTCGGCGTGCACTCGCAACGCATGTCGCTTCACCCACGCCATCGCCAACGCGTCATTCCTGGTCCAAGCAAGACATCCAGAAGATATATGACTCGCCGTTGCTCGATCTCGTATTCCGCGCCGCTTCCATACATCGGGAGCACCACGATCCGAGTAAGATTCAGCTATGCACGCTGATGAACATTAAGAGTAAGTGGCAGCACGTTATAACGCGCACATCCCGTTGTTCACTAGAAACGCATGTCGCAACAGCCGGCGGCTGCTCTGAGGACTGTAGGTCGGCTTCACGACACGAAGCGTCCGTTCGCTCAATCTCCGGCGGCAGGCTCATACTGTTCCCAATCCTCGCGCTACTCGACGCCCACCAAGGCGTCTCGCCTGGTGGACATCGAGCCCGTCTTGGAAGCCGCACGTAAAGCCAAGGAGAACGGCAGCACCCGATTCTGCATGGGCGCCGCCTGGCGCGACCTGTCCGGCCGGAAGCGCGGGTTCGAGCGCATCCTGACCATGGTGCGCGAGATTCGGGGGATGGGCATGGAAGTATGTACCACTCTGGGGATGTTGAGCCCCGAGCAGGCGAGACAGCTGAAAGAAGCGTAGGCACCACCTGTCGTTTCGCCTCACGTCTGTGTCAAAGTAACATAAACACTTGATATCACAGCGGTCTTACTGCGTACAACCACAATTTGGACACATCTCGGGAGTATTATCCAGAGGCAAGTCATCGCGGCTCATCAGTGCTCTGCCGAAAAGGGTTGGACGATCATTTCGTTTCAGGTGATCACCACGCGTTCCTACGATGAGCGTCTAGACACTATTTCTGCTGTCCGCGACGCCGGCATCAGCGTTTGCTCAGGTGGCATCCTGGGCCTAGGAGAGACGGACAAGGACCGCGTGGGTCTGATTTGGGAGGTGGCGAAGTAAGGGTCCTCATTAACCCTGCGGAATCTTGGCGTTGCCACGCTCACCGAGCATTCAGCATGCCAGAGCACCCGGAGTCGTTCCCGGTAAATGCGCTGGTGCCTATCAAGGGTACGCCGCTCGAGAACAACGAGGTGAGCGGTGTATGTCATGCGCGCAGAACACGGACTGACATGCGCTGATAACGCAGCCTGTGCCGTACCAGACCATTCTTCGGACCATTTCTACCGCCCGCATCGTGTTGCCACGAACGATCATACGTCTTGCGGCTGGGAGGCAGACGCTGGACGAGACACAGCAGGCCATGTGCTTCATGGCTGGCGCCAATGCGGTATTCACGGGGGAGCAGATGTTGACCACGCCCTGTGAGTGTGTCAATGTCGAACAAGTTCCGTGACGTGGGCGCTCAATGCCAGCCCTCAAATAGGTTCGCCGTGGGACGAAGACAAGGCGATGATGGGACGGTGGGGCCTTGAGGGAATGGGCAGCTTCGAGCAGGCCGACGTAGCGCTCAAGGAGGGGGCGCGACTTGCCGTCCAGGCAGATGTACGCTCGCCGACGGCACCCACAGATGCTTCCAAGGAAGACGAGAGAAATGTCGTCTGAATTCGGCGTTCAATGGAAGGTCGATAACGCGGCGCGCGGTTGGAGCGTCTCACGCAACGGTATGGTGGATAGGCAGAAGGTAGGGTAGAAGCGGAGAAGGCGAATGCGCTGTACTAGAGGAATGTAGAGACCGGCGACGCAGACGGTGGTGGTTCGCCAGCCGTGTTTCGGTTAGATTGGTCCGAGAGGGAGATTCGCGTGCAGATCCAGGCGGTCATCTCGATCGCGTCCCGCGACGTCTGTCTGTGCTATGTGCCTTGGGGGATACTCGTTCTAGTAACTAAGTACGTTCGACCGAACCATACCCCGTCCGTTGGCACTGCCGCAAGCGCCCGACTTGCCTCTTTGGGCAACAGTCGTCCTCCGTAACGTCCGAGACCCGCCACAACGCAACCGACGGTACCTGGGCCTCTGCCACTCAGCGGCGCAAGTTGGACGGTCATACAGGGTCCGCAAGGCCTTACAGACCGCACGGGTCCTCTTGAGCATCCTGCCTCGCTGCCCCTGCCTCCACCGAGTTTCAGCAAGGTGCTTTTAGGCAAATTGCTCGAGACCGGTCGTCGAAGCTCACCATCTGACTGCCAACAAGGCCTGCGAAAGAAGCGTGGAGCTTCGGATTCGGGTCATCCAGCGTACCCCGCACCCCGGCCATGTTGACGGATCGCAACAATCCCCGGCCCTTGGCGCGTGCAGCTGCTGGGCTGAGATAGCACTGCGAGGAACTCGGAGGCTGTCAACGGCCTGGCTGGGCACTAGAACTGTGTTAATAGTAAGCACAGCTTTGGCCATTGAGAGCTATTTTGACTGATTTGTACACGGAAGCGTCGCCAGGCGTGCTTCCCCGACTAGGGACCGCTGGGCGTATGGAGCAGGGCCTTTGATAGAAGCCCGATGGCACGGAGCCAGCGCTGGGCGAACCTGGCGAAAGAAATTTGCGCGGCTCCATGATCCATCGACAAAGGAGGCTTGCACCGCTTCTGACGCTTCTTGGAATGCCATCGTACGGGAGCGTCTCCCGCGTGCGTTGTAGTGCCAGGGAAGGCGGTCGATCGAGAGCGTCAGAGACGTTCTTCCGTGATTGTCCTGGCCCTTGATATCACTCTTTTCCAGCGTTCTCTGCCGCCAACGCGTGTTCCGAGATGGCCACAGCCCATCGGACCAATCGTGTCGCATCCGACCTGTCGCCTCTCGTCCAACCGCCCCCCTTCCTCGGTCCCTGTCGCGTCTGGAGCAGTCTGATCCCGCTCATGTAGGCATACCTTTTGCCGCAGCCGTAAGCCTCCCTGGCGTCCTACACGGGGCATGCATAGGACCCGTCCATGACCACCCGCGCGTCTGCGCCTAATGACGGAGGGGGGACGTGGCCAGTCCCGCTGACAATGGCCCTCGGCGGTTCGATAGAAAAGGCGGCGCTATATGCCGACCGTCCTCTGCAAGTTTGGGGCCCATGGCGCTTCACCCACTGCACGGCTCATGTCTGTTTCAGCTTCCTCTGTTGGCGCTAGGCATGACCTCCTCTCCCAACACCCCAGTCTACCCCACACCCTCCGTCCCCCACCCAGAGACGACCCCCCGACGGCCCAAGTTCTTCCCCCCGGACAAGTATGTGGCCCAAGAAGACACCGACTGATGTGCTCGGAGGACTCACCGTCGTCTCGTCAGATACGTCGCCGCACAAGCCCAATACGTCTTCTACGGGATAGTGTCGAGATTACCCATGGTGGCGTGGGTGTCCCCGTGCCTTACCCTGTCACAAGAACTTAGCTCACGGGCTGATGCCCGCCACATAGCCGCGTTACACTGACCGACTACAGAGGCCGCGTCCTGCTCGACACCTTTGTGCGCCCGACGTGAGCCACACCTGGACTCGTACTCCTCCGAGCTGCACACTGAACGCCCGCGCCCCCAAAGACAGCCGGTCTGTGACTACAGAACGTCGGAGACGGGGCTGCAGGCCCACCATCTAGCAGACGGTACGATCCTCCCCGCTCTGGGCACCTGGCCCTTCACAGTGGCGATCGAAAGGGAGTGGACTCTGATGCAGAACCGTGTTCCAGCGCCCGTCTTCATCGACGTCCAGCGTCAGGTGGCTTCTATCATCCGGGATAAAATTCTGGTAGGCTACGCGTTATGGGAGTTCCTCTCGGTACGTCGCAGTCGACCCTCTGCCAGCTCCTGGCGTGTTTACAACCGCTCGATCGCAGGTAATGGGCCTCGCACACCCCGCCATCAACACCCGCGACACCGCTCTCTTCATGTCCTTCCGACGGACACTAGGCTATAGGCCGGGCGCCATGGTCCCGTTGACGACGCTGGTGCAGCAGTTTATGGGGAGGAACATCGGGCAGCATGGGGACATACCAGTGAGACACGCTACTTGGACGAGGGCGGCGCAGGGCCGATGCTGACTGGGTGTCGAGCAGGTGGAGCGGGCCCGAGCAGCTCTCGACCTCTTCCGTTCGTGCGAGCAGATTTGGGAGGGGATCATCGACAGTGGGGCGTGGCCGTGCGCATTACCACCCGTCGAGCACCGGGGATGCTTCACATAACGCGCTTCCATGGCTGGAAAGACGACAAACTGACGCATGCCACGGCGACACACGTACATCGCGGTACCGACGGAGGATGTACTATTATCATCATGGACTATGTTATACATGTACGGTGCAGCCCCAGGGGACGGGTATCCCTTGTAATGCTAGATGTCATGCTCGTGCGGATCTCAACGCTAATATCACTAATCTATCGGCCGGTTCCCTCTCGGCAGAGATCGCACACCCGGACGTTCCACTCGGAAAGCAGGGGGTGACAGGCAGCAAACGGGGGATGTGAAGGACGGATCAGAGGGCGGCGGCGAGATCGACCTCCCTCTGGTTGAGCTGGTCGATCTCGGCCTCGAGCGCCACGTTTGCGAGCTCGATCTGGAGAATGCTCGAGATAAGTTCCGTCCACCGAGTCTCGAGCGAAGTCAGCTGTCTTCCCAGCCGCGTCTACACTCCGAACGCTCGTTCAATATGGCATCCCGGGAGCGTCCCTGCGGCTCACGCACCTGGTAGTTCTTCCGCTCCCTGTTCACCTCCACCGTCAAGTTCTTCAGCTCTTCCAGTGTCCGTTCAATGTTCGTCGCCGTCGCCTCGTTCACATAATTTTGTATCCGCCACGCATTAGCCCCGTACTGCTGCAGCAGTGCGAGGTTGCTGTGCCTGACAACGTCCTCATTAGCTTACGCGTGCATGAGCCATGTCGGCTGTCTCACCGTAGCTTTTGGTGCTCAAGTTGTGCCTTGGCGTTATCAAGAGCTTCCTGCCACTCCTCCTCACTCTCCAGGTTCGTGGGCCCAGGCAGTTGGTACCGCGTGGTGTCGAGAGGTGGTAGCAAGCGGTGATTTGATATCCGCTCAAGCTCAGCCTGCAACAAGGGGTAATTCTGGCCAGAACGTCAATCCACGATCGCCGACATCACACACCCAGTGAACATTGCGCACGAACAGCAAACAATGTCGGTTCCGGCGGCACCTTCGGATGCAGCGTTTGCGGCGGCTTGCCTTCCCGCGCCAGCTCCTTCTCGACTTTCTCCTTCAAGATGGGGTACTGCTCCAGCTCATTGTCATAGTACGGCAGAGAGTCGAAGATAATTGAGGGCTGCGCGTCGCCGTTGGTCACTGAAGACATTGCGTTGAGGATGTGGTTGGAAGCGAGTGTGGCTGCAGCACAGACGCCCGTGTAGCGCGGCGCGTCAAGGTCATGAACAAGCCGTTCGTTCCGCTCATCCTCGACGTCGACCATCATGTCTCTCCGGCTGGCTCGCACCACGGGCCAGCTCCTTCGCCATGCCACGACTCGTCCGATGGCGGCGTGCGCAGTGCAGCTGAGCCGGTCTCTTCATTCGTCCAAACCGCACAAAGGTATGCATTTCGTCACCACCACACATTCCTACTCAAGGCCAACCGACCCCCGCCACGCGCAGCCTCCACGTCCCCCTTCACGGAGCCAACCTCTCCCAATCCGACCGTCACCAAATACGCTGAGACGACGGAGAAACTGCACACCTACGGTTCCTACCTCATTCAGTGCCTCCCGAAATATATCCAGCAGTTCTCTGTCCTAAAGGACGAGCTCACGCTCTACATCTCTCCCTCTGGCGTGGTCCCCGTCCTCACCTTCCTCCGTGACCACTCGCAATGCCAGTTCAAGGCGTGTATGGATATCAGCGGAGCCGACTACCCCGAGCGTGACCAGCGCTTCGAGGTCGTCTACCACCTCCTCAGCGTGAAGTTTGGCGGCCGCATCCGGGTGAAGACCTACGCCAGCGAGGTGGATGCAGTCCCCAGCGCGGTTTCTGTTTTCAGGGGTGCGGATTGGTACGTTATCTCTCTGACATCTGTGCGCTCCGCGTTGGACCGCGAACTGCGGACGTACGCTTCTTTGCGACGATAATTGACGTCTGGCCGCCTCGTGCAGGTACGAGCGGGAGGTTTGGGACCTGTATGGCGTATTCTTCAAGGATCACCCTGACCTGTGCGTTTTGATCCTCGTCTTTGCCGCATACATGTTGCCTGACAAATGGCCTGCATCACCGCAGCCGCCGCATCCTCACCGATTACGGTATGTGAACGGAAGCGAGCAGCTACTCTATGCGCCGCTCTCATCTGACTACATTCGTCGTCCCTTTCACCAGGCTTCGAGGGACATCCGCTCCGCAAGGACTTCCCACTGACGGTACGGTCTATCTTCCGGTTATTTTTGCCTCTATGTGGGAACGGCTCCTTGAAGACCGCATCAACTGATGCTTCATCTGTCGGAACAGGGTTATACTGAGGTACGCTACGACGAGGAGCGGAAGCGCGTCGTTTACGAGCCCCTTCAGCTCACTCAAGCTTTCCGGTGCGTGCTTCACGTTCGTGTCTATCAGGTGGTCACAGGCTGAACCTCCGCTTCTGCTTCCGGCAGGAACTTCGACGCGCTCTCGCCTTGGGAGCAGGTCGGCGATGGCACTGCTCCGAAACGACCGGACGAGCTCAAGCCCGTGCCTCCTCCGCCACCTCCGCCCGAGGAGAAGAAATAGATGTTATACACGTACGCGAGCTGAGCATTATGATATATACAGTCCCGTCTCTTTGTACCTCTTGCGGCAATGTCACGTGCCGCAATGGTGCAAGACGAGCTCCGAGAGTTCTGCAGACGCCTCCGTGTATCCCGGTTCGGGGAAGGGTATCGTCGTGATCATCACTGTCCGTCAGCACTGTTATCAAGACACGGTCGCCTTCTCGCTGGCGGACTCCTCTTCGACAGCAGGCTGCTTCTCTCCTGCTTTTTTCCCATCCCAGCCCATCCGTTGGCCGATGTATTCCTGGCCGATCACTTCAACCCCAATGCGTATGGCTTCCACCACAAGATCTTCGACCCAGTCGTATTCGTCCCAGAGCTCCAGCCACTTTGTGGGCACAGACTGAGTGACGGTCGAGTGAATGAGGTTATGGTGGGGATCAGACAGGGCGATCAGGAACTGTAGAGAAGATTGAGTGGCCGGACCAGAAGTTCCGGGTGCCTCGGAGCCAGGGGAAAACTGCGGCAGCGCATAGGTTGTTGTGAAGGGTTGGACCCGGAGATAGACATAGGAGAAGGTCGTCGGGTTCAGTGCGGAGGAAGATGGGGCTGCCTCAGGCTTGGCATTGCGCTTCTTTAGCTCCTCCAGGTTGGCCTGGACGTCCACTGAGCACGATTCACATGATGCTCCCTTTGGGGTACACACACCTGAGCCAATTTGAGCGCTGCGTCGTAGCCGTCGACAGCGTTCAGTTCCCTCTTGCTGTCCGTCGTATCCTTCGGACGTGATTCATCTCCCCGGTTAACAACAAGGTCGCCACCTTCGACTTGCTCCATTATCTGGGAAAACGAGCGTAAGTGACCGCGGCAGTCAGGGCAGGGAACACCTCTTACGCGCGAGAGCGCACGGTACACCAAACTCTCGATTCCTTCATACCCCTGCATGTCATGGCTCAGCCACACCTGAATAACCTCGTGCTCCGAGATGGGAGGCGCGACCACGTTCAATATATCCGTTAGTGTCGAAAGACCGACGCGCTTGAAGTCCTGGCCTGCGCAGCGGGCGGGCATGTCAGTGTCTCTCGCTCAAGGTTCCGACAGGCGGCCGGACGCACTGAGCTTATCGAGCTGCGCGGTCTTGGCGTACTCGAGCACGCCCTCTCCCCACTTGCGGGCCTGCTCGTTCTTGGGCAGATGCTTGACCTGCTCGTCTACCACAGACTTGGCCTGCTGGAGGGCGGTACTCGCCGTCGACCAGACGCTGCCCCATCCCCACCCTCCCCCCGACGAGGACGAGGGGGGAACGGGCTGCGCCTCCTGAGGAGACGGGTCCGGCCTCGAGGACGGCGCGACGCTGACACGGGAGCTCGTGGACTCCGTCCTCGACAGAGGAGTGGAGCCAGGGAGGAGGGGAGCAGGCGTGCCGACCTTGACTCTCTCGGTGCTCTTGCGGACGGTGGGCGTCCCAGCACGGGAGAGCGGCCGGTCGATGTGCACGCTGGGGCGCGGGGGCTCGGAGCTCTTCTGGGTGATTTCGTCGATGAACGCGAAGACCTCCGCCTCGCCTTCGGTCGACCCAGGCTGCGCACTGCCCTGGGTGGGAGGGGGGGCGGCGCCGGCCTCCGGGGGTGCGAGGTTGTCGAGGTCGTCGAGAAACTGGAGGGCCTCTTGTTGTTTGGACTTGGATTTGGTAGACATTGTGGGGGACGAAGGGAGTGTATGAAACAGGGCAGGTGGAAGTTGGAAGCGGTCGTGTAGCAGTAGCAGGGATCTCGATCCATGCTGGTACATACACGGTCTGGAGACGCCCATCTACCGCGTCCTCCACATCCTGCCCAAAGTCCTTTATATATTTTGTTCTCGTTCCCAAGCCACCAGCCTGAGATCTATATCTATAACCACAGTGCTGCAGCTACGGCCTTTCCCTCTGCGAATTGCTTCGTCTTCCGACTTTCTGGAACACAACATCTGTCTGTCTTTAGGCCGACCGCTCTCCCGTTATGGCCAAGAAGAAACAAGCCTTAGTGCAGCCGCAGTCGGATAGCGAGGACTCGGAAGATGCGCAATTTGTTGTCGGTGAGATTTATTTTCATTTGTAACTCTCCGAAGGTGCACACCAAAGCTGTGATTCCAGAGGTCATTAAGGCTGCGAAGGTAGAAGACGGTGAATGGGTACGCAATGAGGCCTCCTCTCCTCTACAAAGACATACTGACCTGCGAGTCGTCAGAGATACTTGGTCAAGGTGTGTATCTGGTTGATGAATGGCCTTCCGCCTTTCTCACACTCCCTCCATCGCAGTGGGCGGATTACTCCTCCGATGTCGATACGTGAGTGGCGATCGATCTCAGTCGATTGTTATCTAAATACGAGTAGTTGGGAGCCAGAAGAGAATCTGGAGAACTGCGCGCGTCTTCTTAGGAAGTTCTGGGACGATGTGGGCGTCGACGACGACGATTACTATGAGGGCTACGTGGTCAAAGCCAGACCTTCCTGGATCAGTCCGTATAATCTCAATATGTTTGCATACGCTTTGCCCTCTTTAACCAAAGGAATCAGGAAAAGAGAAGAAAATCTTTCAAAAACAGAACAACAAGAACAAGAAGAAGGCTGCAGAAAGCAGCGCGGAAGATGATGAGCCAGAGGCGTCTACCTCCCGAGATGAAGGCAAAGGAAGGGCTCCAGTTATCAATAAGAAAGGGAAGGGAAAGGTATCAGCTATTCTCGGCCTCCTCAATAGACATGACAGATTCTGATAACTTGGTATACATAGGCTGTGGCCAAGCAGTCCGCAGGGTCGAGAAAGCGAGGCAAGCAGACCAAAGCGAAACATCAGTCTGACTCCGTACGTCCGCTGGTTGACCAGGGAGACCTGCACATGCATACTCAGTTGAAAATACAGGATGATGCCGAGGAATCGGACAACGTGCCTCTCTCGTCCATACGATCTAAAGGCAAGAAGCGCGCAAAAGCCCTGGCTGCTTCCGTAGGTTCCGCTCAATTCACCAGTTCAGAATCAGTTCTCATAGTGTGCTCATTCTCCTTTAGTCGGATGAGGCAGACGACGACGACAAACACTTGACCAAATCCAAAATCAAGAAACGCAAGCAGATTGTCACGACGCCACCGGTACGAGCTCCGAGATAGCGCACATAAGGCCAGACCACTCATGCTTCATTCAGCCTGAACCGCCCACACCCGCGGAGAACAACCTACCAGATCCTCATCTCAGCGACTCTGCTGGTTCGCTCTTTTCCGATAAGGGTGGATCATCGCCGGAGGTAGCATTGAAGACCCTTCCCACCCCAGCTTCATCTACAATACCCATGAAGCGACCCTCAGTCGACGATTCAGTGGCCCAGCGCCCTGGCAAGAGGCAGATTATGGAGATGCCTATGCAGATCACGACAACAGCCGGCAACGCGACGAAAGCTCGTCTAGCGCAGCGAAATCCACAGGCTCCTGCACAAGCTGCCGCGCCAGCCCCTCAGAAGCTGGACTTGTCGACTTTATCGTTCAGGAAGAACAGCGCTACCGCTGCAGGTCGTTCACCCATAGTCGGGAGCCCGGTCGTACCATCGTCTGCTGTCCCACCACTGCCCAGGCGATCCACGTCTGTCTCTGAGCATGGGCAGTCGCCAGCACCTGGAGGTCAGGGGACACCCACGGAGCCCCAGCCGACAATGGGTATAGGTGGACCACAATTCCCCCCGGATCCGAGGTACGACCAAGCGGGCATACTCTCCGTTTTGTTTCTAACCTAGCGTCAACAGTCGTCGTTTGTCTCAGCAACTTCCTCGCCGGACATTGACGAAGCAGATACAACCTCCTGGCCCTACTGTCGCGAAAGATCCCATGGCAGAAGCGACCAGATTTTTGTCTGATATTATGCCTGCCTCGTAAGTACATTTAACTCAACGTACTGAAGAGGTGATTTCATACTTGCACTGCACAGGATGGCTTCCCCCATGCAGTATGTTTCTATCGCCACTTACGTCGCCCGTTAGCTCACAATGTGCCCAGGGAGGACGTACCTGACATGCCTCCCCCACCCGTTCCTGTTCGATCCGTACAGGCAAAGGCTCTACCACGGTAAGTACACCATTGGTAGGCTGGGCTCAAAGTGACTGACGACCTCCAAGTATCCAGAAGAAGTGGAAATGGACAGGCGATCTCTTCATGGACGTCAGCCGAAATCGGGCAGAACGTGTCTGTGAAGTACTGATATCGGAAGCCACGGATCCCCAACCCAATGGGCTTCGATTCAGTATCTGCCTATCGGGCGAAAATATCCGCCTCTCTGCCTTTCATGAACTGTCCTGCCTGCACACATTTCTGCTGGCGTCGACGCGCGTGCAGCAATTTGCAAAGCTAGGATCTGCGTCAGACAAAGATGCGGATGCTCTATTGCAGCTTGGAATTTTCATGCAGAAACGATCCTACGTAAGTGACATTCCCGTGTGATCCTTGAACTCATAGCTGACATCTAGTTGTTCAGTTTTGCTTTGCGCATCTATACATGGATGACAGTTCCGTCGGTCTTCTCATAATCTTTCCCACTGGCCACGAAGTCGCAAACAGTCTGCTCAAGGTACCCCCGACTCTCGCTAGTAATACACCGCTGCAAGTAGCCCTAGTCCCTTGGGAGTTGACGACTAGAGAATTCCGTGCGGCGAATTGGAAGTCAAGGTCCCCCACTGTAGAGCACCAGCTTGACCCGGCTTTCGCTGCCATTCTAGAGGCCGATGGACGCAGCGTTGCCACGCAACGACGATTCTATCAAGCCCTGCACATCCTCACCTTCCCTAAAGCTATCTACGACTTCATGTCCCAGAAACAGTCTCCACGTCCGTACTGTATTTGGTATGCCCCAGCGGACACGACGCAGTCGGGGACCATCGGGTATGAGACATTGCTACTGAGGGATATTCTGTCCACGTGCACGCAGGCGAAGGACATGGGGTACAAGGCAGACGTGCGCGTCGTCTTCGTCCATGTGGGCGCACTGGCTACGCTCCACGGCCTCCCATTCCTTGTTGCGTGGAGGAACAAGCGGCCAGAACTCCGCTTCCTGACATATGGCACGCACCCCAGCGTCCCTCGTGAGCGATGGGGAGTGCGGGAGATCTATCTAATAGGTCAGTTTAGGCCCAGCTCGACATATCAGTTCTCACCCTTCGTTGTTGTGACGGAAAATCTGACATCCTGTCGTCGTCGTTTGTCAATGCACAGGTGGCGTCGTGACATTCACGCCTTCAGCGATCATCGAGGGGCACGGGATGCTCTTCCGTCGCATCAAAGATGTTGCGGAACATCCACTGTGGGACTGCTATGTGTTGCCTTCGGTGGTGGCCATGGTGGCGAAACTCACATGCCAGGGCGGGCATCCTTTACGTGTATATGACGAGTAAGTGGCCGTCCTGAACACCTTTGCACGTACGCTTACAGGTTCACAGAGGTAACTTTGTCTATGAAGACCTTCTCAAGGCTATTGAACAGGGATCCGTTGCATTGCTGCATGCCCCCGCGATCTTGCGAGATGCGCCTCCGAAGGGCGATCCCTCTCTGCTGTGGACACGATGGATGCTCCGCCTGCCATCGATGAACGCACGACAGATCCTGGAAGAATGCCTTCGAATTGCCGCTGAGCAGTTCGCAAACACATCGGACGCCGAGCTTCCGGTTGCTGTCGAGAAGGAAATTGCACGCGACCTCCTACGCATGCAAATGCAGCCCGTCATGATGGACAACTACAGACGGTTTGTGGTCCTCAAAGGTAGGAGCGATACTGACTTCCAAGAGGATAGGTGCCCAGGAGTGAGTGCAGTGGTTTTGTCCGACATATTTTGGTTGACCGACGAGCTGTGCGGTCCAGATCGAGGTTACTACGCTTTCAAAGCTGGACTTCAGAGACGATTTCTTCACGACGCGGACCGACTCAGCGCAGTAGATGTAGTACTGCCTTAGTGTTGAATCTCACGCCTGTAGTAGATCTTGTAGGATGCACATTGTCGTCGACGAGGACTTGTTTTCGCCTACTCCCGTTCTTGCGCGCCTGAGCAAGACATGTGATTGTACGATGTGGGCGCCTACCATCGGCTTTCTGGAGGTCTCGCCAGCAGCGGTGAAGCCACCTATAACATATTGACCTCTTACACGACCCAACTGGCGTCCTGGCCCTTCTCGCACCCTCTCATCACTAGCTAGATGTCCGGACTAGAAGCAATCTTGTCAAACCCGGCGTACCATGACTATCTTGCTATCCTGAAGGGTGCCCGGAATGGCTTCGTCTATGGCGTGAAAGTGCGCTTCCCCCATGCACTAATTATGGCCATCCTCTTCGGCCGCGGAGAGTCAGTGCCGTTATCATTGAGACCGTTCTACTCTATGTGTTTGTGACGCTTACATGTGTGCGCGCGCAGTTGGCAGACTCGGCTGAAGACGATATATCGCGCCACAAGACAACACGCATTCAACCTCGCCAAGTTTGTCTCGCTATACAAGACCTTGCTGCTTGTTCAGAAGAAGGTCAACGGCGGAAAGGAGCGCAGCTTCGACACGTTCATTGCAGGGTTGATTGGAGGCTATATTGTCTTCGGGGAGAGGAGCGCCGTCAACGAGCAGGTAAGCGTGACACTTCCCGCCTACGCGAACGTCCATCAATGCACATACACCAGATCGTGCTATACGTCTGCTCTCGCGTAGTTGCGTCCTTCCTTGCTCGCGCGAAGACGCCATACTCGAACGCTCCGGCGGCCTCCGGCAGGCCGCTCCCGCCAGACTCGCGCCAGTTTTCCATCTTCGCGGCGGTCTGCTGGGGTGCGGTAATGTGGCTATTCAAGGAACGCGGGGAGACGATACAACCTGGCATGTTCAACTCCATGACGTATCTTTACCGGGACTCCGAGCACTGGGATAGCTTGAAGACGTTGCTTTGGCACAACAAGTGATACCCTCGTGCCTGTTCCGCCAATTTTCAGGACCATGGACGCTTTGTCATCATATAGATCTTCATGTAGATACATACGCTTCGCTATCAGACTACAAGCCATGAACTGCCTCATATATTGGACGTCGAAGCACCATATATATGTTTGGCCAGAATACATGTAGTCTGCTAACGGCGCACTCTCCCCGCCCGGCCCCAGCCTAGACCGCCAAGCCTATCGAATCAACATATACTCCTGCCCCCACAACCCTCCCTGCTTTAGGCCCAATTGGTAGTCATCAGCAGGCTTTTGCGGAGTTGTCGCATTCCAATGACGAAACTGTGTTACAGTGAAGAACAAACCGTCATTAACGGCAGTGTACTACATGATGGCGCGAAGCGTTTAGCCTTCCCCGCAACCTGAGCTAACCGCATGCAGAACAGATGACTGTGTGTGCACCCACCCCCCAATGACATATTGCAGGTAATAGACGGGCATAACAAGCATGCGTTTGGGCAAAGGATCAATGAGAGCAGACTCCCAGCTTGATTCTGAATCGCATACCGGATTGCTTCATCCCGGATACTGCTAGTGCATGTACAGTCTTACCCGGGTCCTTTGGCCACCATGGGTCCTTTGGCCACTGAAGGATTTTCTGTCCCCAGAGTAGAGTCTCAACCTACATGTTAACCCAGTCAAGTAGATAATGGTTTGTTGTATGTTATCCCAAAGTTCCGTAGCCTTTGCTGTTCAAACACATTACAAGACTATGTTTTAGTCCAAAAAACTGCTGTTTTGAATTATATTCCAGTGATCGCAGCTGATGTATTGCTCCGATAACTTCCATAGTTTCAGGAAATGTGAAAAGGATATATCTAGCTTGTTTGAGACAAAGAACACTCTTATCGACATGCACTTCCCAGAGATATTAAATAAGTTCTCATCAACGGGACAATGAGATGCTATTAATCAGGCGCCGAGTCACACAACTCAGCGCTCCTCTGCTTTGCGTGCATCGAATGAAGGGCGGCGCTCGGGCGGCATTGCCTGATAAGATCATCTATTATCCATAGAAGGGAATCACGCTGATCTGTGACACTGGCCAAAGGACCCAGGACCGACTGATAAGCAGATTCGACAGTGATTCATTACGATCTCCTTTACACTGTTCCCAATCGTGCTCATACTTCTGGTGTAGTTACATGATACCGTATTGATTCAACCTAGATATTCCGATCTATGGCAGGAGGGGTGTGTGTGCTTCACACAGGTGAACGAAAATTGGGCGGCCAAAGGACCCGGGTAAGACTGTAGTCAAGTTCTTCTGGAGCGCGCAGGTGGGGAGTAGAAAGCACGAAATATTATCATCCTCCACGGAGATATCCACATTCACCGCGGAAATTATAGACGAAGCGTTTCTGTTTCCGACATTCCTCGGTCTTTAGCGCATCTGAGCGACAGCCTCGGAATATCGACAGTGATTTTTACACAGACGATCTGGAGCTGATCGTACAGCACTGCGTTGCACACAATAAGCTTAAGCAAACGGACCCCAAATGTCGCGCTGCTCCATTGGAAACTCTTATAATCAAACCCCTCGCATGGCCGCGCGAGAGGCATGAGGCCGGGAAATGGAGGGCGCAGCCGATTCACTGCCTGCGGACGCCGGCAGTTCTGCCTCGAAATCCTATCTAGACTCCCCGAGCGGGCTCTCGAGCTATCATGTCATCATGCAGGCGTGAAGGGGATTCCACACCGTACGGGAGAATGGGAGTGCCGCATGTGGACCTTTCCGAGACAGCGTGCATGTATAAGGAGTCGGCACACGGGGCGCGCCTTCGGCGACGATGGAAGTGAACGTCGGTAGTACGCGTCGGCCGACTCGTCCACGAGCGGTCGTCGGCGATGCGTGTAAAATGGAACTGAGGTCAACTCGAGTTGGATAATCGGATGTTCACGACACGGGGGCCGCTTACACCGGTCTCGCGAGGTCTTCCCTCCCAAGAGATGGACTCCGGTCGCCCGTATGGATCCTCGGAAGACCTCCGGACAGGCCGCTATAACTTAATGTGGCGACTGTCTGTAATAAGCCCAGTCAGCTATGATGACGAGCTGGACAACAATGACCAGGTAGATCTGTCATTGTCTGTCAGTGTCGAGAGTGCTCCACCGACTCGGAGCGGCGCCCAAGACATTCCGTCTTTGGGGCCTACGGTGCGATATTCGTGAGCCGACCAACCTTATACCCTGGTACAAGGATAGCCAAGGAAAAGGGGGAATCGCACAAGCACAATGCAATGCTCGCCGGGAGGGCAGACGTAGAGAGCTCAATGTACAGCCACTTGGCGTGAGGGGGGATATATGTACATTGAGAAGCAAGGGAGAAGATCGTCGTGGCAGGGTCACAGATGCGCCCTGTAACGGAGCCCGAAGACGTAATAAACCCAACGAGAAGAAAGATGAAGACGTGGTATCATAGAAGAAGGTAAGTAGGCGGGAAGATGGGTCAGTTCTATATAGTCCTGAGGGAGCCCTACATGATAATACACTTGCGCTTCTTCTCCTTCTCTGGTGATCGTACGGGGCCTTGCACCCCTTGCTCCTGCTGTTTCGTCGATCGAAGCAGCCGGACGAGATTCGTGAAGAGGCGTTCCACGTTATGCGCCGTTTTCGCCGATGTTTCTAGGAACTCGCAGCCAAACTGCCGCGCCAGCGCCGCACCCTCCTCTCGCGAGACCTCCCTTTCGTACTGTTTGTCGCACTTGTTCCCGACAAGCATGAAGACCGGCTTCTGTCTCTTGACCTTCAACATGGCCTGCCGGAAGACGTCGAGCCGATCAAACGTCGCCCTCGACGCGATCGAGTATACCAGGATAAAGCCCTGGCCTTCCCTGCGGAAGAAATCGTATCGGAAGGCACCGACGAGAGACGGAATATCGTACCTGACCCATTGGTCTCGAAGTGTGGCATATTCCTCTGTTGTGAGAATTGATCAGATGCAGTAAGGGTCCGAGAAAGTGTTGCAACGCACCTTGCCCTGCCGTGTCGATCACCTCTACAAAACACATGCGATTGTCGACTACGAGTTGCTTGCGGTATGCATCTTCAATCGTTGGATCGTATGTCTGAAGAGCTATGAGTATAAAATCTCACCCGACATAGCACGCTATCTACCTCTGTCGAATGGGGGTGTCCGAGAAGGACCGGTCTTGAGCACGCGCCAAGAATGCGGGGGAACGATATGGCTTACCGACGAAACAATTGAGCGTAAACTGCGAGAATCGGTGAGTGCAGCACAAGGATGGCAAGAGGATTTGATGCACCTGTACAGCCAATGCCGTCTTTCCTACACCTCCATCACCAAGAACGGCAACTCTCCAGCTATCCATGTCTGCTGGCACACTGCCTCAGCCACCGGGACCGAGTATGGTCTGGATCGGCGCGGGTCGCGTACCTCAAAGTGTAGGAAACGAGAGTGTAGAATGTGCAGATCTGCGTGCGGGGACGGTCAACGCAAGGCAAAGGGTCGCGGAGAGACGCGGAACATGCCTCAAGAGTGAAGAATCGAGGAGAGGGTCGTGACAGGCGAGAGAGAGAGCAGAGACGAGAAGAGGACGATAAAAGATAATAAGCAGATATACGTCGTGCAAGTTCGTGCAGGTCGTAAAGGGAGGCCGGAAGAGGCTTGGGGGCGAGACGGAGAGCAGCTGGTGGACGTAGACAGAGCACAGATTTGTCCTTGCACGCGCGCAGACGCCCCTGCCTACTATTTCTATCAATTCACACACACAGCCAGCTACGCCCCCGTTTGCCCCAATCCCACCCCAAATCCGGCAGCATCCCGGTTCCTCCTGCCTCTTCTGGGCGGTCCGCGGGCCGAGAACGCTCCGGATCGGGGAGGTGCACCGGCGGGTCCGAGTCTGTCGCGGGCGTCGAGCTGGGACTCCCTGGCGTCCTCCCCCCCCTGTCTCGGGCTTCTCAGTGTCCGTGCGCCTTCCTTACAGCCTGGCCTGCGGAGGCGACTGCATGTGGGCCTCGAGGTATAAAGCAAGCAGCGTTCACGAGGCACCCTCGGGCATCGCCGAAGCACCGGGGGCGTATCACAACTGCCACATCTCAGGCACGCCCACAGTAATGACCTCGTCCAACCATATCCGACGCCCGTCGCAACCATGGTATTTCCATGTGCTGCTCACTCCTTGTCATCAGTTATCCTACCCTAATCGTTGACCAATCTGTCCCCCTTCTCCTTCCTTCTGTCCAACACGATCTCATGTCACTGCTCATACATCGCCTCAGTAGCCCTTGCACTCTCCAGCCGTCTTGCATCCGGCCCAGCGCTTTCGGACATCGTATCTGTGCCCCCAAGTACTTATGTCGGTATGGTCATCACAATAATCATCCTAGCCGCGAACTTCGTGTGATAGTCCTCACCATCGTTCCCACCGCTCGTTGCCTGCCGTACGTAAGGCCGCAGGGATGCCTCGAGCCATGCTCGCACTCACCCCTCCTCAAGGCGCAGTCGGGCCGGACGGCATAAACGCCATACCACGGCGTATATGGCCCCCCGACCTAGCACGGACACATTGTGGGCGAAGCTCGACTGAAGAACGCGCACATGCACTTTCGTGCCACCGCGGAAGATGTCAGCCCAATGCGACGCGCGCAGCAAGCAGCATCTGACCTCCGGTGCACGAAGTCCGCTCCAGGCAAACGCTGTCCCGCCTTCTCCGGATTGCCTTTAGGTCTGATCGCCCTTCATTACCAGATGACTCCGGCCTGTCTCCGGGCGTTCCTGGCGACTTCCTTCTCGGGGAGGAGCCATTATCAGATCGCATCTTTGTTGAATGCCGTCGCAGCTTGTCTACTACCCTTCGTCCACTGGTGCTGACGCAAAGCGTGTTGGGATCTATCAACAGCGTGGTGTCAAGATCGAAAGGTAGCGCCGTCGAGGATTGTCAGAGACGGCATCGCAGACCGGCACATCTGGAGTCGCAGTAGGCGAAGGCTCAACACCGATCAAGCGTGAGTGTACCCTGCGACATCGGCAGCGAGCACTACCACGAAGGGTCTCCGAATCGCAAGCGCTCGACGCATCGTCGTGATCTAGACATGTGTTGCATGTACGACCCTTAATTGTTATTGATTCCGAATGAGGGGGAACCTCTGACTGTGAAGGGCGCCTCACAAGTGCAGGATACGAGGACTCTGGAATCAGTCCATTTTGACGCCACGGGCGGCTCCCAATTGTGCCTCATCGAGGAGGAATCTGCGAAAACGAGATGTCGCCCAGTCCGCCTGCTGCAGGCCGGTGACTACGACGGAGCATAGCGCCATGATACGCCGCAGCACCGGATGGCGGGCCCAGCTCAGTTGACCGCATTCCGTGGTCTCCTTCTGGGCAGCAGACAAGGAGTGTGACACATGCAGAGCACTTCGACACCAGTGCAGAGGAAAGTCCTGTTTTATGTAAGACGACACTTACACGCTCGATGTCAGTGCGCCTGCCCCGAGCGACACGCCTCGCCAACAGCCGCCGAATCGGGCCGATGATGGCGCACACTCTCCACCCCAATGTCAGCGAAGGAGGGGCGAGGCAAGGCGGAAGAAGAAAGAAGGCGACGCCGCGTTGAGGGCTGACTCAAGCACGGAGTCGATTAAGACTACAGATCCGACTTGATAGAACCTCGAAGTACTTCCTCGACAAAAACGCTCAATGTACGACCAACTTCCGTGACTGTCGTGGAAAAGAAGTTCTATGCCTGTATAGGGCGCGGCGTGTGTCCAGAGGTAAGTCTGTATATGGTGAGATTGCCCGTCACTCATACCTCGATGTCGGCATTCGGAGCAGCAGGCTTGCCGCACAACACCAGGTGAACTGGCTATCTTGTGAGGGGCCTCCTCGTGCACCAAAGCGGTGAACTTTATGGTGTACGGGTCGTTCACGTTTAGACTGATGTAGGTTGCAACGGACCCACTTAGCAAACTCGGCACCTCTAACTCCGGACTAATTGTTCCTTATGGGCTCATGTAGGGCACCAAATTACCCTCCTGAGCCGTCAACTTACGCTCATGGGGATGGATCTTCACTGGGAGTGCCACCCTCCCAAGCTCTCTAGAGCCTACGTCTCATAAGTACGTATTATATCTGTCCTCGTGATCCTCTCCTTATGTTGTGAAATGCCGTTCACGTATGATCTCCAGACATTCTCTGCCACCGAATGTGGCTCCAATGGGCATGCTTCGCGACGCCTCCCAGGCTTCTCAGGTCCCGGCCTCAGGTCCTTTAGGCTTCTCCCATGACGGCTTGTCGCAATAATTCCCGGGATAGAGATCACATCCCTCGCTTACGCATTGGGCCATTATGCCCCATAAGGTGGCAGTGCATTCCAGCTTACCCGACTCGCACACTGATTATGATTCGGACATCACCAGAAAATCTACTGCTGAGGTTGTTCGGAGACTGTAGTAAGTCCTGCCTCCAAAGGTCATGTCAGGAGTCTCTTGTGGTAGCCCCACTAATGTGAAAGGGCACAGCCGGCTGTTTACATCCCGAGCGTGGAGTGGCGCCCACGCTGCAAGTGACCTCCATTTTGGCTTGACCTTTTGTTCCCAACATCCACTGGAATGTTCCCCGGCCACCCATTTTACGCTCTGGCGGCGATTCCCAGTTGATAACCGGAGCGGCCGGCTCCTCGTCAAGAGAACACAGTCAGCAGTCCACGAGCACGAGCTCATGTTGCCCTCTGCCCTTCAGGTCCGCTACGGCACCACAAGCTTGCTCTCCGGAAGCTATACGAAACTTCGTACGTGTCCTACGAGTATGCGGCCACGTCTCCCACCCACCTCCCATGTGGGAAGCGTTCTGGTAGTAGCTCGCCGGACTCTCCTCCGGGCACGTACGGTCTTGTGAGTGCCTCCGAGTACCTCATCTCGCCCACGGAGGCTAAGCTGACGTAGCCTCAAGGTTATGGGGTCTCTCTTAGTCGGACCGCACATGATCCTCGTAGTCCAACTTAGACCAGGGATATCAGCAGCGTTCACAGGAGCCTACATGGTCACGATTCCTCATCAGCTCCGGGTGAGCGCTTGCAAGGTTTGCGCCCATAACAGCACCGCGGATAAACTGAGCTTGTTTGTAGATATCTTCTCGCCGGCTAACGCAAGCCTCGGCGTACTCAGCCGCCGCGCCGCATAGACCAGCGCCTGCCGGCGTGCTCTCCTCTCTGCCTCGTTTGACATCGTTGTCTTTCAACCCGCCTTCACACCAGAGCTAGACAGGTATGGAGACTCCCAGCCACCTTTCATCCCCCTTTTGTGCCAGGCGGCCACCAGTTGAAAATGAAGATGAAGTGCGAATGTCGGGCTCTGATAAATCTCACGCTAGTGTTTGGCGAGCACGGAACATTCGAAGCGAGGCGCACTGGATACTATCGTCGCTAATATCGTGTCTTGGACATCCCGTGAAATCAGATGGCATGTCCCGGCTTGCAACGATATATCGTGTGGGTCGTGCCTGTTGTCATCGGACTATGCCCTAAGGGTCTGTTGCTCTATTTTATTCAACTTGCCAGGCAGCCCTGCTCCTCCACGAGGCACTTGGCGCGCAGTCAAATCTCACATACTGTGTTGTGGGTAGCATAGGTCGTTGCAAGGAGGTGATCGTGCCGTCTCAGATACCTTGACGTTTTATCGGTGACTTGTTCTTCTCCGGTTCCGCTCAATATAGCGACCAGATAGGTCATCAAAATCATACCAATCGCACCATTAGCAACATCCGGTAGTATTTATGTCCCCGTCCTAGGCAGTCTTCCTTCCATCGTTATCTGTAGCCTGCTGAGCTCGCGCTATACGCGATGACTCGCTCTACTAACAGAAACTCTAACCGTATCACGTGTGTCAGGGGAGAGGGAGGTCTAAGACGGGCAAGGGAGGTCTGCAGACCTGCAAGGGCGAATAACCCTCAGGTCCGCGCACCTCGTTGTAGTCTCTACGCCCTACTATGCATCGCTGCACGATATCTCTCACCGCATGAGCTCTGTGTGGTACTGCCGATGCAGAGGAAAGCAGAACAGGTTAGCCATCTCGCGTGAGACTCGCTCTTTCAACTTCCAGGTCGGCTATTACGGCGTGACTATCATGATCTGCCATAGACGTGCACAGTGAAGTTCCTGCCATACTCAATACCAATGATAGCGCGGCATTTTCCTTAGACATCTCACGCAGCTGCGGGGGTAGAAGCGAATCTGACACCGCTTCATTGTCGGGTTCGCTCCTTCAGATGACCGGTGCTACGAGAAGGCCAATCTGCCTGCATTCACCTTGTCTTCATCACGATCCGTTTGTGATGCGACGATCTGAATTCGAGCAAGGTGAAAGGAATCCAGATGTCAGATTGGAAATTCGCCACCTACTCATCTTACCCAGTTATTTTGGTTACTCCAGATCTACGTTCATCAGTCACTTCATATAGGAATCAATCTAGCGGATAAAAGCAGGCATGCAATGCTCGTCCCTCTAGGTGATTATACAATTCGCAATCACAGAACCGTTTGCTCCTATTCAGGCTGACAACCCTTTTCATTAGGATGAAAATAGCATTTGCAATCCAGAGTTACTCGTAGTATCAGTTCTTCCAGCACCGTAGATCTTTCTGCTGCATTCTCATTTCTAATATCGATAAGTAGGATCCGCTGCGGCCGTACGGATCGGCTGTCTGCCGCTGTGTGAGGGACCTCGACGTATACCTGCCTAATCCTGTGCTCCCTATAGCACTCGAGGGAAGATGCTTCCAGTAAATTCCGGTCAGTCATGTTGTAGTATGCGCAACTTCGCTTACGACATACCGGGGCATAATGGGCCGAACCACCTACGAAAGCGGCATTTCATGGGAAGGACACCGCCACTTAAAGCCATTGTTATGTCGGGCGCTGGCGCTCTGCCTACTTACCAAGCTCGGCTGGCTCGCTGGGCCTTTTCCTTGCCCACAACTCGGTGCCATGGTGATGGTGTGAGTGAGGTTGCGCATCGGATATCACTGGTGGCTGACTTTGCCATTCCCAATAGTAGTTGCCGACGAGTTACGGCAGGCGCGCGGATCGTTGGTAGAGGATTCGCCGCGCCTTGGTACCTGGCCAGGCACCGTGCTCAGCAATACCCATACATTGACAAACTGCGCACGACTTGAAAACCGGAAATCTGGGTGACAAAGGGCGCAGTGAGCGGCGCCGCACTTACGACACCAAATCCTGTCCAAAACATCCGCTTGGAGCCGTGCCTGACGAGTACATACTTATCTCAGAACATGGCGTCCGGGCTTTCGCCCGCCCCGTTAATGTTACCCCGAGTACGCCTGCATATTGTCCCCTTCCATCCCTGGGGCGTCATTCGCTACCAAGACCTCATGTATGCGGTCGCCGGGTATCCAGACGCCTCTTCCTTCAACCCATCTGGCTCATAACGTCCACTCAAATCGGCACCGACTTTATCACCTGAACGTGCGGCTCCCTCCATGCTGCGTCCCCATTCCTCGTCTCCTCAGCACTCATGCACTCCGTGCCTCGTCTCTTTCCCGACTGGGAGACCTGCGATCTCCAAGCACCTGCGGCAGCTATCTTGTTCACACCTGTCTAACTCCGGGGCCGGCTGTCCCACATAACCACGTCGCACACGCTCGTGCAGCGCTTGCTCTCATCTCTGCACTGCCGTGCGGTTTGATGTGCATTCCGATCGTGGTCCTCCGACGTCAATGCGGTCTTCGAACGTGTGGTTCATGCACATTTGGACATGATACGAAGACGCGTATGCTCACTCGTCCACAGGCCAGGAACCCCCGGCTGTTGTTCGCGATCTCTACCGGGTAGCTAAATATGTCGTCTCTTCCGCTTCTTCGTTCTCATGAACAGCTCGCAACCGCAAGTCGAGTTTTTGCCTGCTGAAGCTCTGACGCCAACAGTATCGAGTCGTGCGAACAGTGTAGTTCCAGCCAGAATCAAGCAACGCATCCAGCCTTGCCTCTCTTTTGACGTTGGCAGTTTCACGGGTCTCTAACGGATCTTGTCTAGGCGTCATGGCATGGCAGCCAATGTTTGTGGACGCTTCTCCGGTGGCCGAACACGAAGCATTGTATGTGGCGAGTAAGTGCATGGCTGTATTCTCCACATCGGTCGTCAGCACGTTGCAGCGCTTACAGGTTGAACGCCAGGATGGAGCATATTGGTCATCTGGCTCTGCTTCCCCTTCGAGTACCATATATATGCCGGTCAAGCACTCGTACACATTCTCAGCATCACTAACGTCATTGGGATAATGATGACAGCTCATTTTTTTGCTACCCATCACTGAAATCCTGGGCGTTTCATAAACACCATGCAGCAAGCGACTTTCGAGAAGGTTCTGAACCACGGACCAGGAAGTAAATCAAATGTTGTATTCGGTCTCAAGCTGTCCCCGCCCGGTTGGCCAAACGTATTCTGGATACAACCAGAGGACGCGGTACTAAGAGATCTGTTCTCACATGGGTTCCGCGGATTCTGAGTACGCTTCGCGACACGTTCGCGCGCCCGCGGCCTTCACACAGGTATCACCCTGGTTCCTTTTCTTTCCTTTCCTTTCCAGATCCCGTTTATTGCCCTGCGAGGCCGTGCCTCACGGTAGGCTTGAAGTACAGTGCTAACTACGTGTGTACGGGCGAAATAGCTGGGCGGTACATAGGTACCCTGGTTGATGGTGCAGGGCTCAGCCTCCGAGCTCCAAGGGGGGGTTGGAGGTGTTCATTCCGAAACCGCTATCCATATGCGTTGGAATGGACACGTTCACGGCGCAGTGTTATCCGGCACCTTACCAAATAAAGGAAGTTCACGCCCACGTACACGACTGCGATGAGCAGGTTGACCAGCATCAGGCACGAGAGTCCGGCCGAACCGACATGTCATACAACAGCTGAAGCCCAGACTACTGTACAGCGTGACGTCGCGAAGTGCAGAACCGCTACACCAAGTACGCCTGACAACCCCACGGCAAACGTGGGTTGTCACGAGTAAGTAGACGGGTGACAAGGTCGAAGGCCCTCGACGAGGCAGGGAAGGAGAGAGGGATAATGTAGACGACGGAGAAGAGTCTTATGTACAGGGGAAGTAGGGGAAGTAATAAACACGCCGTACCGAGTACTTTCTATTTCTACAACCGTGTGGAGAGGCCCGTTGGATACCACAGGAACCAGAGGGTATGCCAGTGGTCGAACGTAATAATGCAAGAGGGTACCGGAAGCCCGGTGTACGTTGACAAGTCATGACCGTGCGCGACATTACAGGACTAGACGTCATCACGCTGGTCAGCGCCCTATGTGCAGCAAATACTCGCGAAGGGGACTGACCTGTATACATCCCTAGAGACCGAGAGACCAGAAGGCTTCGGAAGGCGAAAGGAAGCAAGAGGGGAACCGAAGCCGGAAGCGAGGCAGACTTAATCTCGCCTGCTAAGTTCGGCCGGTGTGAGATTGAGCACGAACGCGCCCTTGAAGTTCGCTGGTGGCTCAAGGATCTTCACCGGTTTCCGCGCGGGAGTACTCGGTTTGATGGCGAGCGAAGGGAACGGGCGGAGGGGGCGCGAAGTCGGGAATGAGTGGTTTCGGGAGGATACGGGATTCGCCTGCGCAGATGCAGCAAGCGGAGACGATACGCGTGGTCGCGAGGCCATAGGGTTGAACGGAGAGGGTGCGGGGGTGGTAGCGACGGTCATAAGGGAAGCTGTGGTTCAGTGTCAGCAGGGCGGTCTCGGTATATGTCATAGGAACGCGTCGGGAACTTACTCATTGTCAGCGGAGTGATAGGGACTGGCAGGGAAGGAGGCTTTTTGATCCAGACGGGCCGCACACGGGCGATGGTGTGTATGGGGAGATAGAGTATGTGGAGGTGTAGTAGGGACGGGAAGTGGGAGAGAGCGGAGAGGGTATATAACGGCCTGCGCGGGATGTCGGTGGCAGCCAACGAGGTCATCCCCAACGGTTTGCCATCCAATCCTCTCTGCCCAATCCGGACCCGGTTTGGTTGCCGAGCGCCCATTTGCCCTCCCCCAACCTCGCTCGCTCGTCACTCTCCTTGGCACCGCCCACTTATCCCACCACCGCCCTCGCATCCAGCTCCTCTCCAGATTTCTCGCCGACTCGGCCTACATATGAGTCGCGCTGGGGGCCCTGCCTCGCCGTGCGCTCTCGCAAATACTTGCGGCCGATGTGTCATCACCGTTGATATCATTTCCCGCGCCCGTGCTAACCTGGCTTCCCCAACCAATCCCCAACACACTGCAGCCCGACAACAGCGTCCACCACGTCTCCGACGCCGTCCGGCTCTGTGCCGAGACCGCGTCGGTCGGACTGGTCCGAAAGGCGGACGCCCGCAGCGACTCCACGTCTTTCCGATGCCATACAACTCTCTTCCACGCATCCCTCATTATTCGTCCTCGTTAACCCCAAGACTTCTGACAGCTTCCGTGTCCTGTTATCTGGTCTACTTGCGGCTTTGACAGGCTGCGACTTACCTCTCGGGCTCACGTTGGGGTCCGTCATCGCGCGTGTCGTGGTGACACTGACACTATCTGCGTTCTGGAACAGTGCTATCTCTTTCTCCACAAGCGCGGTTCTGGTTAGCGTAGCGTTCGGTCCATTCACGGCTTACTGTGTCTCCTAGTCCAAGTATACATTATACCAATTTCACTGTCCAGTATTACCCTCAACATGTATCTCTATTTCTAATAATTGACATATTTGCGCCGGCTCTTGCACGTCATAGTGTCCATCCGTGCCCACTGTCCCTCGACTACATGCCGCCTGCCTTCGCATTACGTTCGCAATTTCTCATAATCTGGTGTCGCCTCTACTGGTGGCCACAGCGAGACGCGTTTGTGCGCAAGTACGTCGAAGGTTGCGACACTTGCCAACGCCGGAAAGCCCCTCGTCATCCTCGAGGCACGCTCCAGCCCCACGACGTACCCGGTATTCTGTGCAGCTGCAACTCTTACCCATGCGCATGTCCGATATGCGCGCGTCGCGACTTCTCACGACCGAGATTCGTCACGTTGGCGCGATACTTGGACACACTCCGCAACATAGGCCTCGTCTTGCCTATTTTGTAGATTGAGTTCCAAGCTACGGCGAATTCTTTGATCTCCTAGACCCTTCCACAGCATGAGCACCGCTCGCTGGCGCATCAATGAACTTGATTTGCTATCGACAGACATACATGTTATACATACGCCAGTTCTCTAAACACTGCAAAAGCTTTGCGTATATACAGCTAACATAGATTTCATAATAAGTAGGGCGGAGGCGGAGGCTGAGAGGGACACGCCTAGCTAACCTGACACGCGTGCTTCAATGAATGCTGCAAAGACGATGCAGCGATGAAACACGAAGCTGGTCTCATGGAAGCCAAGGTGTTGGGTTATATTAGCGGTATAAGGCGGAAGGGAACAACAGTAGCTCTAAGGTCGAATAAAGCGACGTCCACATGGAGGCGCCTCAAGAACCAAGGAGAGAGAATGGATGGGGACAGGAGTCACCATCACTTCATGTCTAAGGTGACGGGAACTAGAATACAGACAGCTGCGGGAGCAGCGTCTTCCGCAGCCTGGTATGTGTCCCCGGAGGCTCGCGCATCAACGCCTGTTAGCGTATTGCGATGGCGCAGTTCCGAGGCGCAGACGCGAGCTGCTTTGTGAGGGGATGGGCGGCACGTACGCGATGTACATGCGAGCAGCGGCTCGCCGGGGCACTGGTGGGTTAGTTTGCAGTGCGAAGGACGATAGCGGTTATGGTGTTGAGAGAGGGTGGTATGGGGGGTTGCGGGAGGTGTGCTGATGTGAGACCGGAATCGCAGTGACCGACGACCGAAAGCTGGTATAGCCGTGCGTCCTGGGAACATGACGAGCGAAGACATGAATGAAGTGCGAGGCACTAGCGTCGATCTCGTCAGGCCCTCCGCAGGCGCAGGAGGCGGGAGCGCGGCGCACGGGCCGCTCACTGGACGTCCACCAGCAAGTTTCGTTCCAGGATGTACTTGCCCTCTTTATATTTCTGCGACGGCTCGTACGCATGATCCTGTAGTGACAAACGGGTTGTATCAGTACCATGCCAGTATATGATGTCATGATGAGCTATAACGTACGTATTTCCAGCCGAGTGTCGTCCCACACTTGCAGCAATAGATGTCGCGGACGGTATGATTTCCAGTGGTCATTTGCCTGTCGACTGGATCGCCTTCAACCACATTCACACTACGGAGGCGGCATGGCGATGCGTATTGGATGAGACGATGTGGCGGAGCGCAGCACATTTCATAGCGTGCAATCAAGGATTACCATAAATAGGTCGTTTCCAGACGGCAATAGCCCATGATGCAGGGAATAGAAGGTCATACGCGAGGCAGGATGAGGTTGTGCCCAGAAGCGCAAGAGATGAAAGAGGCACTCACACTCCGTCAAAAAGGTACGCCCTGCCATGTTGCCCGTTGAAAGCCTGCCCAATTCACAAAGCGTGAGCATTCTGCGTGATTGGAAGGGGCGCGGTAACTTAGGGGAACATACTCGGGAGATCATCGAGTGTATGGTAGCCAAATGGGTCCTGCATGTCGAGCAGCCGTAGATACGGGCACCAGAGAGATAGCGGCGATAGCTCATGCCCATCTTGCTAGGAACTTGACGGCCGGACTCTAGGTAAGGTGGGGAGAGGCGGTGGAGGATGTGGCGGTCAGGGAAGCGAAACGGATCGTTCGAAGAGCCGCGCTCGATTGAATACAAAGACTGGAGTTTGAGTTGCAGCACGCGAGTGGCGAATGACCTGCGGGTGTGACTGAGGGGCGTGCGCGGAGATGGACGTACGAGAACAAGTGCAGTGTACTGTGGACGGAGCCGGGAGTCTACTAGTACTCGGGGCTGCGGCGCTTGACTCGACCTCGTGAGTTACGGGTGTCTCGTGAGGACGGAACTCGGTGTCCAGCTGCTTGGACCTGGCGAGAGATGAGTATGGGGAGAGGAAGGAGACCGGTCGGAGGTGAATATTATATATGCAGGCGTCGGACGTGTGAAGTGAGGTGATAAGCACGGGCAAGGCGAGTCGGGTGCAACAGGCTGCAGCCCGCCCAGTTCGGACAGTTGTGACCTCTCCGCCCCCGGCGTCACGTCACCGGCCCATTTCGCCTTTTCTTTCTCTCAATCAACCCCTCTCAATCTTCCCTTGCCTTATATCCAGCAAGCTCGAAATGATGAGCTTTCATTCTTCGGCTTTAGCATGATCAATTGCTGAGCTTGCGCATCTTCCCCAGTGCTCATTTGTCTGGTCTAGGTCACAGCCATGTGCATTCCTCCTGCCCGCTGGCAGTTTTCTCTCATAGGAAAGTCCGCTTCGAAACATCGATACTACTGCGCTGTGGCTTCGCAATTCGCAGCGTTCTAGGGTCTTTGCCCGACTTCTGCCTTATACAACGCGGCTATCGCGATGCGTGCGGGGCCATGCATGATCAGATAGGTGCCTCGCGTATGTCTGATCTGGCCCACAGACCTGACTCCTGTGGTCCGCAATCCTCCAGCCACGAGCTAGTCGGGCGCGTCAATGAACCTCTGCAACCTTGTGTCATCCTGCGACATCTGGTGCGAACATGTCTCCACCTTTCACGGAACCGTGGGCCGCGCGTTTGCTGCCTGGCGCTCATCCGTGGGTATACCACGGGTGTACGGCGCGCCATAGTTGTACATACATGTCAGTTTGCCAGATGTCGAATGCAGTCTAAACGCTCCTCAGCAGCATGGTCAATTGAATGTCGACATTTCGCGGAATCGGCGTGACTGTAGACCCCGATATCGGTGAATGCGAGAACTGCTCGTATTGTGAGCGCGTCGCGCGGCGGCGAGCGCAAGTCTTGTGAGTCCCCCCGTCTCTTGGGATTTATTGACTGGGCTCGGCTTCCAGAACCCTTGCACATCGGCTTCTGGTGATTTGCCTTTGTGTTGCCCTGGGAATCCTTGGCACACTCGACTACCGCGTCGCGATTCTAGACAAAGCCGTGAAGCGGCGGGGGTTATATCTTCTGCTCGGCTCGCTATATCTGCGGTGGTTGCGGACGTGTTTGCGTCGCATTTACGCTCTATCGCCGTTGTCGCCAACTTGGCCCCATGTTGAGAGAAGACCTCGGATCGTACCTTGATAAGTCGCGAAGTAAACGCTGACCAACGGCGGATCAGGTAAATGGGGTCATTCCTCTTGTCATGGCACTCGTACGACAGTCTTATAGCAATTTTTCGACGCTGAGGGCCCCACGCCCTCATCACGGATGACAGGAATACAAGAAGTAAGGCCGTTTTCTGCCGGATCCATTGACTTGCAGCGACTTCACGCATCTTTTAGGAAAATTCTCGCAACTGAGTGGGACATCGCCAGATAACATGTCAACTTTATCCAGGCATAGTCCATCCCGCTCAGCACGGAGCTTTCCATGGGCGACAGCGTTGATCCATTCGCGCCTCCCCCATAGGCAAACGCAAGGACCCAGTCGTCCCCCATCGCCTGGCGACGGGCAAAGAGCCTACCCTGATGTCACGACGACGCGAAGCGAATAGCTGTTGTTACCGATCGAAGTGTTCTTGAAGAGGGTTCTTGTGCTTACCCCCGTCTATATCGTGAGCGCCTTGGTCTGGTCCACTAACGCTGTCATTCTCATGCATGGATCGGCCATTGCTCAGGCCTCTTCCATGTCCTTGTCTTACGGCTTCCGGAGTGCCCGGTAGAGACACGAGTGCCGCTGCATGCGTAGCTCCGGATCGGTTACTTCGGCCTGCCGGACGAGCAAACCCTGCCAAACCATCGGATGCGCAGCATGGTATCCCATCCCTCATAGCCTAGGACTACTTTCGTGGTTGAGCAAAGAACCTTGAGCTTGGTGAGTGGCTTCTTCCTTCTCAGGGTAACCGCTGCGGATAACGGGTCCTGACGAACTCCACTCACGTCTGTGGTCAGGTACATCGGTATCTTTTCCAACGCATGTTGCGACCGCTCGCATACGGACGTCATGACATCACCACGCTAGACTTCATGAGGTCCAACGGAATATCACAGCCGTGTATAAGCCGGAAAAGCTCAGGCGAACCTATCCAAGCAAGTGTACATCTTCAATACGCAGAGGTGACATGCGACTCCCTACACATCGCTCCCTAGGGATGTCGCATACTCGCAACTACTACTAGCGTCTGGGAAGAGCTGTATATTGGCATGCGGCCGGTAGTCCCAGTTGCAATAGTGCAATAGTGAATTACCAGTTCATGCGGTTCCGACCGATGGACCGCCCTAGATGCTCGTGTGTTCCCCGCACGCCGTTCATGATTTCGTTTCTGGGCTACTTTCGCTCGACCAAGATCGATTCATGAGTTGATCGCTATGATGTGAGCCACCGGTCTGCAATCTCATGGGGAAGACAGGGTTCTAATGGAGCTGGGCGTTTGCGGACTCTTGCCCGGGCTTCATTGGGACGCTCCCTTTACGAAGTAAGTATTCGATCCAAGACTGGTCGGAACAGTTGCGTTCGGACTCACTGGCCCGGGTCCGGTGCAGCAGTGTCGGCTCTCGGATGGCGGCAAAGTGTACTCATACCGTTCAATCTATAACAGACGGTGCGATCGAGCTCCTTACTGTGATGGCAAGGTATAAAAGGCCCCGCGGAAAATAGTCAAATCCAACAGCTTCTCATCCACGAAGGACGACGAGATCCTCAGCAGTCACGATACCCAATCCTACTTCCAGCCCCCATTATGCCTAGCGCGTCCTACACCATCCCCAACCTCGTCAGCTACGTCCTAGACGAGCGTTATGAACTGCTCTCAGTGCTCGGCAGCGGCTCGTACGGCGTCGTCTACAAGGCGCTCGACTTGAAGCCTAACTCCCCCTCCGATGCCCAATTCCGCGCCATCAAAATCGTCTGCAAGGCCAACCGGAGGCCCACGCAGCTCGAGGCCGTCCGCAGGGAGGTCGAGCTCCAGAGCCTTGTCACGGGCCACCCGAACATCGTCGGTATCCTCGATGCGTTCGAGGACACCAATTACTTCTACCTCGTCCTAGAACTCTGCCCCGGGGGCGACCTTTTCCACCAGATATGTAGTAAGAGGTCGTACGCCGGCAACGACGCTCGGCTCCGGAGAGTGTTCCTGCAGCTCGTGGACGCCGTCGAGGCCTGTCATCAGAGGAATATCTTCCACCGTGATCTCAAGCCAGACAACATCCTGAGCAATGTGGACGGCTCTGAGATATTCCTCGGCGATTTCGGTCTCGCTACTGAGCGCACCGTCGCGAATGAGTGCGGCTGTGGAACTCAAGCCTATATGAGCCCTGGTAAGCTTCGCATGGCGTCTACCACTGTCGCGAATGGTTTGACTCACGAGGCGAGTGTAGAGGTCATCAGCAAAAATCCATACTGTACTCGCTTCGCCGACATTTGGGCTCTAGGCGTTATTCTCGTCAACATGATCTGCGGTCGCCATCCCTGGTCTATTGCAACTCCAGAAGATTACTGCTTCTCCAAATGGCTCGCAGACCCGAATTACCTTAAGCAAATGCTTCCCATCTCCCCTGGGGCAAACAACATCCTCCTCCGCATCTTCCAACTCGAGCCTCTCAAACGCATCACCCTCGCCGATCTCCGTAAGGATGTCGCCAGCTTGGACACGTTCTTCCTCTCCCGAGAGGAACTCGCTGTCGCCAGCGACTTCGCGCAATACGTCGCGGCAGACCTCTACTGGGGCTACGAGCGCCGCGGACACTATCGCATGCGCGTACCCATCCCGGCTGCCCAGCCTATTCATCTGCCTGAGGCGCGGGACATCACCTCGAGAACGGAGACCGATCCTAGGACCCCAATCGCCAGACAACCATCTTTCATGGCGCAGCCCAAGATCGAGATGCCCGCTCCCCAAGGGCTCTTCGTCGCTAAGGATGGAGATTACTCATCCGGGTCCGACCAAACAGACTCCTCAGGGGCCTCTTCAAGTAGCTTCGTCCAGCGAGTGGACGGCGCTATCAAAGTCGGGCTGGAGATTGATATCGCGGAGGCGGTCTTGAAAGCGCCTCGGCCTGAGAGGGCTGACTTCTCGCCTGTCCCCTTCTCGCCTGTCCCCGTCTATGGCTGACTTGGATCAACCTTCGCCAAGGGTTGCGTACGAGCCATAGACGTTGCGGGCATCGTCATGTTTCGTAGCGGCAGTAGCTATTGTAAACCTCGTACATCAGCTGATATACGGAGTGATAATACGAGTAGGGGTTCGGGTTGATACGATCATCTGCTTGAGGTCCATGTGCGCAAATCCTACCGTGTTCCAGCGGATTCGGAGTGTTGACCATGCTGAAGAGTCCACTGCAACGAAAGTGACCACCGACAACGTGATAGGGGTCAATATACTGCGCGAAGTTGGTATCCATACATAGAACGACAATGAGCATGTTCATCTCGGCCCGAGAGCCCATTTTGCCTAGCCACAGCCACTTGGAGGTAGTTAGACGCCGGTTTCGGAGTTCGCCTATGGGCGTCTGTGTGCTCTAGTGACCTTGTCACGGATCCGGCTTGTGCGAGTCGAACAACGTCTTCAGCCTGCGCCGTCTCCCCGCTTCTCTCGTCTCGGTCTCCATTCTACCGCTTTCTTTCGACTCCGTGCACGTATCTCCTGCCAGCACTCTCAGTTCACGTTCGAACAGCCGTCTCTGCATCGCCACATCAGGCCTTCGCAATCTGAACGTGCTTGGACGATCACAGGACCGCTGAGGATCCCGCCCTCTCTCGTCCACTTTCATCGTGCCTCCATGCCTGCAACCAAGAGGCCCGCTGACGACGCTATTCTCCCGCTGCGCGTTCCAAAACAACCTAAAAGGACAACGACTCACCCTTTAGGCGGTAATAGTTCTCCTTCCCAGCACGAAGCCTTGCTCGCGCGTTGGTCCAAGGTCGGCATGGAGTTCGTGGCTCTAATGAAAGACACGGTTCTGAGTGTCATTGGTAGTGAGTGTCTTGTTTTGGAAAAGACGCGGCAGAACACAGTGAATGGACCTGCCACTCCATAGGTGGTCGAGACGCGCCCGAGAGCTTGTCCGTCCCCCCACCGACAAATAATCTCCCCGCCGCAAACGGACACGCGTCGGGTCCTATACCCTCTCCGTCGCCCTCCCCACCTCCAGCACCTCCACCTCGCGCCTCAACGTCAGCACATCGACTTCCTACCCGCCCACGCATTCCTCCCTTCCCGACGGAGCCAGGTACATCAAGCCATACCGCCATCCAACTCTCGACATCTGCCCCGGCCGCTACCGAGACGCACCGACGAATACAGTCAAGTCAGTCACATGTCGATGTTAGCCAACCGCCCATTCGCCCGAAGTACGTGCCGCCCCGTCCGAACGCTGTGGCGTCAACGTCAAAGACCACATTACCGGCTCTCGAGGATCCAAAGGTGTCTGGGTTCCCTGGCGGCGCGCAGTCGACTGGACTCATGTCCCCGCCATCTACACAGGCGTCAGAATCTTCAATACGCTCTGTCGTGACTCAGAAGTATCCGGAGGTGGGCGCTGCTCTCCAGCAGGAACGGCGAAGGCGGAAGAGATCTGCGAAGTATATCGAGCGACCGCACATACACGCCAAAGAGGTCAGTGAAGTCCGATACAGAGCCACACAAGCGCTGACGCCTGCATCAGCACAAAGCCCGGGTGGAGGCTGAGAATAGGAGGATGAGGGAGGAGATGGAGAGGGAGCTTTACAGTCTCAAGCGTTCTAGAGGCAAGTACAAACATTACTAGGATGTTATGGGCGACTTGATAACATAAGGGCGTGTATCAAGGCTTCGGCTCCGATTTTGAATCCTTCCACAGTATGTTTCTTCGTCACATCTAGTCATAGGCGCATACCTGATTTCAGCATCAGGCCTCCTAAGTTATCAGGCTCATTTAGAGAGGCTAGAAAAAACTAGTGCTCTTTCTCGTATGTCAGGTCCTCAAACTTCTTCTGCTTTCTCTCACTAGTTTGTTAGCATCATCTTCTTTAGTGGATTTGCGGTCAAAGGCCAAGCAGCATGAGAACCGGAGACACTCGTCTCCTGACGTGAGTCCGCTTCGGCACTCCTGGCCAAATGGGCCTCTGACATTTCCTCCAGCATATTGATATGGATTTCCTCCAACGTGCCATCCGGAAAGCCCAGGAGACCCTTAAAGGGTACGTGCAGTTGTGGACCTTGCTTCACACATGAACGACTCAACCTTTCGCAGGCCGAAACCTCCCAAACCCTTCATCCCGACCCTCGATCAGCTCCGTCTCAGAAGCGTCCAGCAGGACGAAGAGATCGAGGAACGTCTCAGGCCCAAACGCAAGCCCCTCCCCACCTCCCTTCCTCCAGCTGACGAAGCGGCGGTCGACGCGCTTTTCCGTCAGAGGGGCGTCATCGCGAAATGCGTGAAGGAGCAGGTGTCGAACGAGGACCTCCAGCGTCTGCGACCCGCGCAGTGGCTGAACGACGAGATCATCAACTTCTACGGCCAGATGATTCTTTCGCGCTCGGAGGACTCGAAGGAGAACCCGGGAGACAGCGTGGTGAACGGGAGGAAGAGGCCGCTGAACGTGCACTATTTTAGCACGTTCTTCTGGTCGAAGCTTAGGGGGCAGGGATATGAGAAGGCGAGGCTAGCAAAGTGGACTAAGAAGGTGCGTGTACTCATTCTCCCAGTATCCTCCGGTCCCTGATCGCATATATCTACATTCGCGCAGATCGACATCTTCTCAAAAGACGTCATCCTTATCCCCGTCAACCATAGCAACGCGCACTGGACGGCTGCCGCGGTCAACTTCCGGAAAAAACGGATAGAGTCGTACGACAGCATGGGCATGGCGCGGGGCGAGGTGTTCAAAGTCCTGCGGCAATACCTGGACGACGAGCACAGAAACAAGAAAAAGAAGCCATTCGACTTCACCGGATGGGAAGACTACACACTACCCGTACGTCTGCTCCACACTCCCTCAGTAACTCCCATCCTGACACACCCGTGCGAAGAACACCCCGCAGCAAGAGAACGGCTACGACTGCGGCGTCTTCACCTGCCAGTTCCTCGAGTCGTTGTCCCGTGGGGAAGAAAGCTTCGCTTTCACCCAACACAACATGCCCTACCTCCGTCGGAAGATGGTCTGGGAAATAGGCCATGTCAAACTTCGGGACGACCCATAGCGTCCGTCTGCCTCTCTTGGGTTTCTTGCGAACGTTTCATCACTCCCGTCTAATCTTGCTTTGGGCATACTTTGATTTGTGTAGCTTATTAGTGCTTACCGTATCCCTCTGCCATAATGGCCTAGCCGTCTCCGCTTTCGGAGCACACTCCTGATATCTTGACGTGCGCGTAGCTCCGAGCATGCATGTGAGAGAAAGCGTGAATGAAAAGCTCCGTCATCTCCGAAACCACCATACAACAATGAAGAACCAAAAGATGACGATGAGGAAGACTATGTACCACAACCAACGGCAACCCTGACGTACGGCCATGTTGTTCATGCGGCGGAACGTGCCTGCAAGGATACCGGAGGTCTCGGAGAAAGCGTCGTTCTGCATGCCATAGCATGAGAGGACTGTGCATGCCAGAAAGGAGAAATGCGAACGCACCATCTGGCTGAGTTGAATAGTCGAGTCCTTCACCTCGGACCCGATGGCCAAGGTGATCTACAGGCGGTCACCACACCTTTAGGGAACATGCACGTTACAGTCGAATATGTTACGTACATCCTTCAGTATCTTGACCTTGGCCGTCAGTCCCTCCAAGTGCTCGTCGTTCTGACTCTCCAGGTCGTCCGCATACCGCTGGCCCATTGGCGCAAACGGATTCTCCCTCCCTGCAACAGCAGCTCCGAGCGGTGACGAACGCCCAGAGGAGGGCGGGGTGCTGTAGTCGGGAGGGCCGAGGAGCTGAGAGCGGCTCTGCGCGTTGGTTCTATACCTGCATGTCATAATACGAATGGGAAAGCAACTTCAGTTAAGGTGTGCATGGATAACGAGTGATTATGCGTACCGTTGCGACATGTTGGGTGAGCAAGCCTGCTATACTCGATGCCTCATAGAAGTTGTGAATGTGGAAGAGGAGAACCAGCCAGATGAGGGAGCAGCTCAGACACGACCCACGACGTGTCCCGGCCGCAGAGCGCTTCTCCACATTGCGGCGCACGCGCCGGCTCCTCTCCGAAGCCGTGCTTGTCTGTAGTTCACCACAGTTATCTGACCCACGTCTCGTTCTGGTCTGTCTGCTTCCTGTTTGTCCTACCCCGGTGACGAACACTCGCCCAACCTGGTTGTATCATACTGAGCTGGCTTGCTCCTGTGAGGTACCAGGCTCCACCCCTGCAGCCTTTGATTCAGTCATACATGACGTTGGCCAAAACGGTACAGAAGTGGTCCCCCAGAGCGGCGACTTCGTGCCATGACCCGAGCGTCGGTACATGGAGGTTATCACGCCGTGCAACCTACGGGCCCATGTGCATGGTGATGCCCCAGCTACCTGACGCATGTCGTGGCCCGGCCGGCTGCCGAGGTCGTCTGGCGTGTAAACGCCAATTCGCTGACGAATACGACGAGACACCGTTCTTCATGACTCGTGAGGTTGCGCGGCACTGGAACACATTTTGTAAGTCTGGGTCTTACCGAGTACGACATCGCCGTGGTCGTTTTAGGAGCATCACAGTACCAGATACATCTCGACCTGCTTCGATTTGGCCGAGGAAGAGGCCGTCGCCAGGCCGGAACTATGTATACACATCATCATACATCGCTCGCGGGGCGGAGCAGACGGGCGCGGCCCTGCGGGGAACGTGCAAAGTTGTTATATTTACATTCGACCCTGCAGCAGGGCCGCGCGCGCGGACCCACGAACGGCGGACGACTGTCACGGACGCTCGTCAACCGAGCAACGCGGCATCGCGAACGCCGCGCGGATAGAGCGGGTGCTCGGGTGCACAACGTCGTGACCAAACGAAAACGTTTGCATTGTGCTAGCAATACAATATCTGCGAGGATAGCGCGCCGGACCGAGAGCTCGCCGAAGCGAGGTGGCGCGCATGTCTGGTGCAAGAAAGCGAACGTCGACTAAGCCATATCTACCAGGCAAAAGAGAGCGCTAGTGAACTGCAGGGTGCGTGCGAAGCAAATCATATACGGAAGCGCAAGTGCGTATAGTGTATTGAGCGCCGCCCAGTGTCAAGAACCAGCAAGTCGGGCGGGAGATATGGTACGGATAAAAGACGAGACGGATGGCGATCGGATGTGAGGAAGGCGGGGCAAGTAATCTGGGGGATACAACAACTGCGGGGTCGTTGTTCGCGGCGGGGAGTATGAAAGTCGATTACGGGGAAAGGGCAAACTTGCAGTGCGATATTCGATGAGATAGAGAGAGGGTACTATTGCAAGACGTAAGTATGGTCCGAGAAGAATCAGAGCGATATACGCGATCCGCGTCGCGAATGTGCAGTGCCCAAGGATGTGGATGTGCTGCACTGGGCTGGAGGGAATGTTACAAGTTGGGCGTAAGATCATCGTACAAGGCAAGTCCGTTCGAGGCTTTGGCGCAATACTACACATCAATCGATACTCATCCGGTTTGGATGGGTACTCATTGGGCCGCGATGTACGTATTGCGACTTCCCGCGGGCTAGCCCGCCTGCGGTCTTGTGCTTATTCTTCTCGACTATGGCGCGTTCGTCTGGTCAGAAGAGCGCGTCCATGACTGAGATGCAGATGATGACTTACTTTGCGCCTTCAACCCACGGCCAAAGTTGCTCATGACCAGAAGGGCAAAAATGAAGGTGATAATGAGAAGAATGATCGCGATGATAGCTGTGGAGATAGCGACGTTAAACCACCAGCGTCTCTGATAGGACAGACCAAGACATACAGAATGTGGTGAGCGTCTGCCACACTTCGCTGAATGTAGGCGTTGCCTTGAAACGCAGGACCTTGACAAGCTGCGGAAAGGAAGACGCCGGGATCAGTTCGTTGGCACGGTCTCATTGCTCGCGACCCGTTGCGCCACTACCCACCTTGTAGACGAAGTACACCATGGCACCACCACAGCCCGTCATGAAGCTGAGCATCATCCACTTGTTCTCGTGTCGCGCGGCCAGGTGGCCCTCGATGAGGACGACGATAGACAACGGAAGCGCGGCGCAAGTGAGATAAAACTCAGCATTGTGCGAGCTGAGAACCAGGAAGATGAACTGGACGGAGAAGCCGACCCAGAAGAAGAGGTCGAACTTGACGAGACAGAGGAAGATCTGGTGGTGGGTAAACATGGTCTTAATCCTGCGGTCTGCGCCCAGGAACTTGTAGACCTTCCAGCCGAACTCGGTGTAGATCTTCCATCCCAGTGCGATGTAGGCAACCTCGGCGACGGAGATGACAATAGGAATAATGATGGCGAGAGTGTTGATTGAGACGTGGGTGATACCGTCGCTAGAGGCAAGCGGCACGGCATTGATTTCGGTGATTTGGATGATAGCGTAGAGGAGGAAGAGGGCATTGAAGATGCTAGGGAGAGTTCAGCCAGAGCTCAGCACATCTTGGGTGAAAAGGAACGTACGCGAGAGAGATGAACTGCAGCACGTTACGGGCCCATACTGCATCCAAAGCCATGATGAACTGGAAAACGCTAGAGAAGCGTTGACCGCAAAGTACGCGGGGTGGGTGCGGAGAGGTACTCACTGAGCCATGGCGAAGATGCTGAGGTAGACAGGCATTCGCCGAGTAGCCATGTCCTGACTTTGCGAGGAGTGGGCTTGGTGGAAGCGCAGGAAGATGTCACCCTCTATTGCAAGATCGATTGCAGTCTCGACGAGGACAGTGAGGAGGTACAGCCGGCATGCTAATGAATCGGGAATATACTGGATTGAAGTAACGTTTGGACGACGGCTGTGGCGACGAGGAATGGACAAGAGACGTACGCTTCGCCATGTCTTCTTCTCCTTCTCTGCTGTCTCTTCCTTCGCTAGCTGTGGTGGATACTCCCAGTCTGGAGGATCTCGGCCGTGGCCGTCGAGGCTCTTGAAGTCTTTCGAGGTCTCGTAGGAATGTTTGGACAAGGGGACGGAGGGTTGACGGCCATGCCGTGACATAGAGGCAGGGTCTACAGCGAATGTCCGGTTCGCTTGGGTGCCGTATGGTGTGGCATACTGGTCGATGAGGTCGTCATACGGGGCTTTGATCTCGTCGTCGCGTGAGGTGGTGGGGTAGACGGGGGCAGGGTACTGAGGGTAAGATGGGTCGTTTGGGGTGTGGGCGGGCATGGTTAAAGAATGACTGGAGGTTGGTTGTTCGGCCTGCGAGGAGGAGGAGAAGGAACGAAGGGAGTCCGACGCGGCTTGGCGGAGGCGGACAGTCACAGCGGTCAACGGGCAGCGATCCCCAGTCGAGGGCGAGCGAGTCAGGCGCCCGTAGCTGCACTGGCCCCAGTTCCCGTAGTGACCGCCGAAGCGCCCTTCTTTGCCCGCCGCAATCCCGCCTCGGCTTTTTGTCCACACTCAACAGCCACCGTTGTCTTCCCGGCCACCGCACACATTCCAGTCGTCGTCGAGCCACTAAGATACTGACGGTCCAGGCCTCAGGCCTACTAGCGGCAACTGCAGCATGTATGCGCTGCCGTACATCGCTTGCACTTCTTCCAAGCACAGTCAGACTGAATTTCAGGATCAAACTCGTTTTCCGCGACGGCTGCGCTCGTGGGCGGACACGGCATACCGTCCGTGATATGACACCTGCAACCTAGCTGGCAAGTGACCTTTCACTCCTCCGTGATTTTCACGTCAGCTTCAGTCAACTGATACACGCTCCATTTGACTCTTAGCACCTTAGATGTTTGTCTGACTCCGAAGCAATGAGCGACACGCTCAATCAGACCGGCGTCGCCTGAAGACGTCATAAGCCAGCCTTTGCGTCCGTCATGCGCGCATAGTCACTCTCCGTCGTCCAATCGCCTCTTCCTTGGGGTTTCCTCTCGTCGGCGTCCTTGAAAGTGGAACGCCAGTTGTACGTGTACGTCGGATACCTCATGTCGAAGTCGAAGATCTTGGGGCGTTCAGTATCGGCTCCAGTCTGTTCTGCACCACTGCAGCTCGTGTATATATACGGTTTTCATGGCAGGAGACATGGACATCCTTGTCTCTCCGTCGTCCCCCTTGCAACATGCAATCATCCAACATAGCTTGCGATGTATCTACACATCGGACCCAGACGCCAGAAACTGAACGTGCCACTATCTCTTTCCCACATGACATCTCCAGCAGGGAGAAGCGTCTGCAGATTTCTCCTCCGCCGCCCAGAACCCCCGAAGTTCTCCTGCCTGAACGCTCAAGGATACGCCTAGCTTCAGCCTTCTTCGCCCTGCTCACCCTTGGCTGGGGCGATGGAGGTACGCCCAGTCTTTCCTTCGCATATCCTCGGCCAGCGCATCTCACTCGATACGTTCAGTCACTGGTACTCTGCTGCCTTGTGAGAATCATTGCCCAGGACTAGCATCTCGTTCTCATTAACATATGTCCTACAAGACTTTGAGCGTGACTTCAACCTCAGCTTCATGACTTCCTCCCTTCTCTTCGTGGCAAGCGCACTAGGGTTTGTCTCTCCTGGGTCAGTTGTCCATCCCAACTCACTGTTGTCCTGTGCAGATACGCACTGGGGACCATCTCAGTAGAGTTCGTCACGCGTATCCTCGGCAGAGGGCGTTTTTGCGCTAGCAAACTTCCCTCCCTATTCTCCTTCCCATCCTTCCGTAAACCAGAGCCCAAGCCTCATGAAAAGGACGAGTCTATAATGGGCTTCTCCATCTCTCGATGCAGATTCTTTACCATGGTCCTGGCAAGCATCCTCCACTCCACATTTTTCGTTGTCATGGGGTGCAAGCTGGGCTTCCCTAGCATGATGGTCGCGTATGCCATTTCGGCGTTCTCAAGATCATTCATTCTAGGTGCGCGTGATCAGTTTGGACGCTGGCCTGGCTCTGAAACTGACGGTCGACCCGTTCCTCATTGTAGCCACACTGTAATGGTGCCTTTCAAGCTATCTCGCTCCGCTCATCTGACGTCTTTGCCTCCAGTAACGTGTATGTCTCTTCCACCTCAAAGCGCGGGCTAGGGTACATGTATGGATCGTGGGGTAAGCGCACGCGCCTATTCCTCCTGCCATTCCCTAAGGGTATTCCCCTAGCTATCGGTGCATTCGGCGCCCCCCTCGTCTGCCAGAGCGTGATCGCAACGGGCATTCGCTGGGCGAACTTTTACTTCGGATCCCTCGTTCTCTCGGGCATCAACACGTCCCTCATCACCTTCGCGTTCCGCCCGACTCCCCGCGAACTCCAGCAGGACGCTGACTTTGCGTGGAGCCTCTTGCGGTCATCGACTTCTTCTCCAGATGCGGTCAGCCCCGCCACGACCATGGTGTCGAATCCACACCCGTCGCCGACCGATAGCTCTGCGCCTATCCTGCCCGGTAAGGTTGTGGGGCCTCATAGTGAGCTCAATGTACGCTATCGTTGGAACGGAGGCGGCTCATCAGATGGCATCTGCCAGCATACTCGATTGCGCTCAGAAAGCCGAAGCTTTGGTCGTCGGCCATTTTCTCAATGCTCTATACGGGGAGGTGGGTGATGTCCCCGTGCCCCAGCTAGGCATACTGACATAGCAGCTCATAGCGAGAGCTCCACGCAAGGATTTGTAAGTGCTGCTGAAGCCGACCGCTCCGTCGTTGTGCTGTTGACGCCTCCTACCCCGTAGATTGTCATCTACCTGCTAAACATCCGTGTACGGTGTCCCGGTGCATGATTATCTGCCGACAAGTACTCACATTTCCCTTACAGAACGCCAATCCCGACACAGTGGGCTACGTGACCAGTGGATTCTGGGGCGGCATGGCGATCAGCCGTTTCCTGTGGGGATTCCTTGGGAACATGTCAGTATGATACTGTTTCCCACTGTCTAGCTAGGGTTGTCAGGCACTCACAACTTTCTTGTGAGGGCAGCGTCACCTTTCCCCAGCGCAAGTGGATCGTTCAAGCATGCATGTACGTAACTGTGTAACCACCGGCGATTGATTGCTAACCTCCTTCCTTTTGCAGTCGTGCGTATGACGACCAATCTCAGCTATGCTTACCATGTCGACTGATAGCTCCTTCCAGTCACAGCAGCCTGCATGCACCTCCTTATCTGGTTCGTGCCTTCCTTCATCGAGAACGCGTTCTCAGCCGCAGTCGTCGGCCTCATGTACGGCCCCATATACCCCGCGAACCTGGCCACCGCCCGTGATCTACTGCCAGCAGAAGTCCACCTCGTGTCCTTGGCCATTGTGTACGCTCCTGCTTTCGCTCACGCAGGGAGTCACTACACTGACGCGACGTATGCGGTCCATAGCGCTGCATTCGGTAGCTTCGGCGCTGCCCTCTTCCCGTTCATCGCCGGGACCCTCTCGACTGTTGTCGGACCCCGCACTCTGCCTTACTTGACCGTCTCGCAATGCGTCGCGATGTTCTGCTTGTGGTCGTTCTTTCCTTCTCAAATACCCGCTCAGCTTTGACCCAATAATCACGCACGTGCTCGCGCCTTGCTACCGTTAATCAGATCTAGAGATAGATTACTCACTGCTTGCTTCCAAGCTCGTCCTACCGTCGTTGAAGCCAGCAAGACTATGCTGAATGCTTCTTGCTGTATGTTTTACCATACAGGGCAGCAGTGCTGCTTTGATAAATCAATTCCATGTTTAACTGACCTTCACAGAATCTATACTCGACAGGGCCCAGAACGCCTGGAGGTGCGCAAGCGAACAGTTGTGGTACATAGAGTACAAGAGCGAGATGTGTGATATCCTACGCTGGGCAGCAGCAAAGCTACGGAATGATGCGGTACATACATACATATCGAGGTCCCTAAGAGCGGGGCAAGAGGCAAGGAAAGCACGGGCACAACAAACGACAATTACAATCAGGACGAAACAGCATTAGACGAGCGCCGCTCCATCAGTCGCTGTCAGTATCAGTGGAGGACCCGGTTTCGTCGCCGTGCCCGTCCACGTCTGCGGGGATGTCCTTCAGTCCCCATATCAAAGATGAAGGGTAGCACCGCAAGACTTACCGACGAACAAGTCCGTCTCGTGCATTCTGATGACTGGTACCGCAGGCGGTGGTCGCGGAGGGCTCGGCATGCGTGGCGGTAGTGGGGCCCCACGTCCCTTGCCGTTCGCCTGCTTGGATTTGAGCGTCGCGTTGCTGATCGCTGGACTCCGGATGACCGTCGACGCTTGCGTCGATATTGAGCGTGCCGGCGAAGATAGTCGTGTCCCCGACTCTGGGGACGAGGAGCGCTGTTCTCGATGGAGAGACGAGACTGTGGACGAAGCGCGCAGCTTCGATGGGATGCGAGCGGCGCTCGAAGTCACAGATAGGAGCTGCATAGCAATTCAGACTGTGAGCTTCGACACGAAAAATTCCGCTCGGTTGCCTTACGTTGTTTGAGGGTTCGGGGTCGGGTTTGATACGGGCTGCAGGAGACGCTATTCTCTCCGCATCAGCACGCGTGCATCATAGCATTGTCGCACGTCCAACTGACCTGCAGTCTTCTGCTTCTTTGACTTCTTCATGGGAGAAACCGACGGGGAAGCCGTCTGGTCAGCATCCAAGGCGTGAGCACATTGTCCAAGGATGCCTCATCAAGCAATAAGGCACGTACTCGCTTGCCATTAGTATTGAATGAGGCATCGTCTGCGAATGCAAATGTGAGGGAATATCGTCTATAGCGCAGGAGAACATGTCGACGTACCCGACTTCTTCGCCTTTGACTTCCCCTTGCCCTTCGGTGGTGGTCTAGGCGAGTCCTCGTATCCATCCACCGCCTCGGAAGCGAGTCGCGGCGAGCCGGCCTTCCCAGCCTCACTCCCAAGCCTGTAAGGGGGAGGGGGACGATCAGATCCCGTCTCTCCCAGCGGTGGCACGCAAAGCAAAGAAACGTACTTGGCCTTCACGGACGCATTCCGCGCAGCCCCTCTTCTGTTCCCAAGGCCCATACATCCCGCCAGATGCGGCGCATAGCGATTTGACGCAATCTAGAACAACACAACACAATTCCCAGGGTGCCCGCCTAGGCACTCCGTCATGGACGCACCTGCCGCTTGCACTCGAGGCACTCGAAGTACACATTCCCGTCCTTGCCGTTCACGGGCGTGTTCGTCCCCGTCGCGGACGGGCTCTCCCCGTTCTTGAGGTCGCCCGATGGGGTCGGTATCCTCGAGCCGTTCGCGTTCGCGTTCGACGGCCCGGGCACATGCACTGTATGACCAGCCCGCGTTCATTTAGCCTCGGTACAGTACACAGGACCAGAACAACGAGCAAGCTAACCTGCACCACACCTGGTCCGCGGCATGCGTCAGTATATGAGGTATGCTCGAGGCATCATTGCCTTGGCACGCACCTCGTATGGCAGACGTCGCAGACCGCCCGGGACCTCGCGATCTCCTTGTGCGACTCCTGCACGACGTCCATGAGGATCTCCTCCAGCATTGCCGCAAATATCGTCGAGCTCTGCAAGACCACCAGGCACGGTCAGCATACATAAGCGCAGCGCGCGCGAGGAGAGTGGCATGCGGCGACATTGACGAAGCGGACTGCACTCACGAGCTCGGCGACGGCCTCGTCGCGCTCTCGTTTGGGCATGGTTGAGCGCTAGCCCCTGACGGACATGTACGGGGTTGCGCGACGAGTCTCCGGACGTCGGGGGGCGGGCGAACGGCGGTGGAGGACTGGTGGCGGCAGAGGAGGACGGTTGCGGCGCGTCCGAGTCTGACTGGCCCGATCATGCTAAACGCGTCTTCCGCACGTGGCCTCCATGCTCCCTGCACCGCAGAAACCTTATTCATTCCCGCTTCTCTGGGCCAATATATTTCTCCTGCTCGCCAAGCGCCAACTTATCCCTTCTCGATCCTATAACCATGTATTCTAGTTGTATGTCGTTACGTGCGTCAAACATTCGTGAGCAAAGATGGATATCATCATATAGCAGGCCTGGGCGACAGGACACTGAGAGCAAACTAAGGTATTCAGGGAGCGAACGTTCATAAGCAATCCAGCCGTCCACGGCTCCTTCCCTCCCAAGCACCCACGCATCCAGCACGTACTGCATCATCATCTATCTTGTCAGACGAGAAATTGTGAAGACACCCAAGATGACCGCCGCCAACGCGCCGATGCTCGCGGGCAACAGCAGGTCCTTCGGGATACCCAGCACCAGCTCCGGCTCGGCAGGAGGGTGCGGCACGTACGGCGGCGGCGCGTACACGCTGGGGGCAGGCGTCACTACGGAGGGCGTGGGCGCGGGCGCGACCTCCGTCTTCTCCACCTCCTTCACCTCCTGGGCCGCGGCAGCCGCGACCGCCTCAGCCTGCCTCGCGCTCTTCTCCGCCATGGCGTCCGCCCAGCCCCTGCCCCCCTGGATGAACAGGACGACACGGTCTTGGCTCGCCGCACGCGCGATTTTCACCGCGTCCGACACGTCCGAGTCGGAGGTGATGAGCACGACGTCGCCGTCCGCGTCCGTATACGAGAGCGTGAAGTCGGTCGGGTCCGGAGGAGGCTCGTTCGGGTCCTCGTTCTTGTAGTTAGTAAAGAAGGGATCGGTCGCAAGCTTCCCGCCGACGATCTCGCGGAGCGTCTCCACATTATCGTGGCGCGCCTGGAACCGGTGGGTACGGCCGCTCGGCGTGCGGAACTTGAAGACATAGGTGCCGTCATCGACGGGCGGAATGGAAGCTGGGGGGCCGACGATAGAAGGGACGCCATCCTGCTTGCCGTAGCCCGCGAGGGCGGACTCCTGGTCGTCGTCGACGACCGACGCGGAGTCGTTGGGGTGGACCTCGGAGTGTGGGGACTGCACGAGATGCGACATGCTGCGCGAGAATTTGCGCGAGTGCGACACACTATCGGCATGGTAGTGCGATCCAGAGAGCACCGACTCGGTATCGTCACCCGCGCCAAGGGACTCAAAGAAGCGGCCCCACATAGGGCCACCCTCAGGCTCGTTTTCACCACCAGCCTCAACCGACATAGCGTTCATCTGAAACGGACACCGCTAAGCCAATCTTCGTACAAGCAGTTGATCCGTCATGCTCACCTGCTCCAGAGTCGCGTACGTCAACTTAAGAACGTCGACGATGGCGACCAAGCGGCCGTCAGCCTCCACGACAGGCAAGTTAAGGTAGTGACCAACTAATAATCCCATCAGCGACCGCACATGCACAGCTCACGTCGACACGCACTATGCATCTTCTTGAGGGCATCATGTATAGTCATGGTCGGCGGCGCGGTATCGGGGTGAGGGGTCATCACCCGCACAACACTACACCGCGTCGCGTCCAAGCCCGCGGCGATGACACGCAGAACGATATCCTTGCTCGTGAAGATACCCGCGATCTTCGCAGCGGTGGTATGACCAGGCGCGGCGGGCTCCATGACGCACACCGCCGTCGTCCTCCGCTCCTTCATGAGCTTCGCGACCTCCCTCACGGTCGTCTTCGGGCCGACGGTCGCAGGCTGCGTGCGCGAGTCCATGACGGTCGTGAGGTCCGGGAGCGCGGTCTTCTCGCGGAGCGCCTCGACGTACGAGAGCATCGCCGCGGCCTGCGGGTTGGAGCCCAGGCCCGCCCCAAGCTCAGACTGGACCCCAGCAAGCGCGCTGTAAAGCTTTTCCGAGGCGGAGGAGCTGCGCTCGACCTTGTCCAGGGCTTCGTGAAACACCTTTGTGATATCGAGCAATCCGACGACGTTGCCCTCTTCGTTGCAGACGGGCTGGACGATGGCTTGTGTCAACCAGACTGCAGTGGCACACGATAGCGCTTTGACGCACCAGATGCCTGAAGTGCTTTTGCACCATCAACTGGAGAGCCTCCGTCGCGCTGGTCGTGTCCCGAGTGACCATAGGGTTCCGGGTCATGATAACGCTGACTTGCGTCGTATGCGGGTCCAAGCCCTCGGCGGTGACCTAGTGCAAGACTCGGTACAATGTCTACCCGCCAGAAGTAAGACAAGCATACCCTGTAAGCCAAGTCCTTGGCTGTGAAGATACCGCTGAGGCCCTCATCGTCGTCTACGACAAGCACGCAGTCCGTCCGCTTCGCCGCGCACAGCTGACTCGCCTCGGACACCGTGATGTTCTCCGGGACGGTCAGAGCGGGGCTCGGCTTGAGCGCGGCGACGGTGCCCTTCTGCACGTTGGGCTTGTCCCTGCGGCGGCGGCCCCCGCCAGCACCAGGGCCGGTGGTGGAGATCGTGCGCTTGCGCGCCAGCTCGCCCTCGATCTTCTTCCGGATCGCCTGCACATGAATTCGGTCAGTACGTGGTGAGACTCGCGATGGGAGCCGACGACGCGAGATCGCGGCTGCGTGCTCGTTAGGAGGGGAGGAGACGCGCTCTGGGGGCGAGGACGTGGGTGTCTCGGACATGGTGCACGGCGTCCACGTGTATTGCGTCCTGGCTGAAGACGCACGCCCTTTTACGATACGCAATCTCTCCCGGAGCCAGAGCCAGTGCAGGTGACACGATCCCAAGCTTCGAGAGCGAGCGGGTGACACGTACCTCGTCCCTCTTGTTCTGCTTCCTCCGGGTCTCTGCCACGGAGCTAGATAGAGTCGACATGGACGAGTTAGGCTGGTGGCGGGACGGGAGAGGAGAGACTGCGCGGTCTGCGGGGAAGGGGATAGGAGAAGTAGCTCTGGGAGCGCCTGCGCTACGATTGTAGGAAGGAGATGGCACAGGGATTCGTGACATCGACGCTCGCAAACGTTCAGAAGCACGCCAACTCGCTCTCCTCAGCCCACTCGATCCCGGCGCCTGTTTTTCCCTGTTTGGCCCGAGCGGCTGCCCCAGGCCACCACGCTCGGCCCGGCCTGTGTTCAGCAGAAGCACGTCGTCATCATGGACCAAACTACATTCCTACAATACTGAAAGTACAAGACTGGCCACGGTATCCAAGCACTATCTGAAAGGGGGGAACTCTCGGAAGCGAGAACTTTGGGTGACCTCTCAACCAGAAACAATAGATTTGCCCGACCCCGATCTGCCCTTAGTAGTGCGACTGCGAGTGTACCAATAGTAGATCCCACCAACTACCAGGATAGCAAGGAAATTGGCTGTGGGATGATGACACATGTCAGACCCAGTTCGGTTCCCATGAACGGATACTTACCTGCGACGAAGCCAAGTACACCTTGGAAGAGGCCCGCAGCAAATGCAACGAGGGCCTGCGCCAGCTGGAGGATGCTGACCGCGACGTCCTGGAAGAGTGCAAAGATAGCCTGGAATACGGCGATAATGGAGTTGATCAACGATGCTCCGATGGCCGTGAGCGAGGAGAGCAGGTTAGCGACAGCACTGCCGAGTGAGTTGGACATGATTGCTGCAAATTCGTCCTTGGGGGGTGGGATGTTGTGAGGAGGAATTATGACGGTGCACTACGATCGACCGCGCCTTGTTATACCCCTCGCCGCGTGACGTCATGACGCTCGCAGGCGGAGTAGACGAGGAGCAAGCAAATCATGATTCGGGCTAGTGCGAATCTGACGTATACACGACATAGTTAGATTGCAATTTATTCTATCGTCCTACTGAATCCCAGAGAGTAGAGTTCGAGCAGAAGTCAAGACAAGTCGTTATAGGGAAACCGTTACTGTACTCGTTACGTTACAAAGCTCACTGCCGGCGTGCGCCCGCACCCGCACCTGCGCCGGCAGCGTTCGGACCCGCAGCAGCGGTCAGCGACGATCCTCCAAATCTGGCGATGATGCCCGCGAATTGAGTGTAGACCTGCGACAGCACAGGAGGCTTTCCAGGGCTGTTCACGAAGCCTAGAATCTTGGCATGGACGAAAGCGATCGCCTCACGTGTGAACTTGGACTGATACCAGCGCTGACGAAGGAAGAATGCGTAGACGAAGGGTGAAAGGAGGGCGTCGCGGAATGTCAACGTTCCGAAAATGACGCGCCCCATGATCAGGAGCTCAGTGAATGCAACAGCCTTCATCGCGTTATCGTAGTTGGCTGCGTGTGACATCAGTCGAAAGTTGCGGGAATGGAGAATCGTAACACGAACCCTTCACCCAGAGCTGCAGCTTCTTGGCCAAGGGATGAGGAGTGGGAGCGGCGCCTTGCTGAGCAGGCGGCCCAGGGGGAAGGAACTGGGGCATCAATGTCGTGCGCGTGAATGTGAGCGCGTGGAAGAGGGAAAAGATGGCGTAAGGCAAGAGCGCGACTGTCCAACTGGGCTTAGTAGACCCGGAGAGCTAGGATGTATTAGCCACGTACACGTAACGGGGCGCGAAGTCCACCACCAGAACGCAAGCAGGAAGTATTGCACATTCTACAGCGAACGCGTGAGACACATACAAACGTGGCAGGCACCCAGAGCGTACCTCATCCAGCAAGGCGCGCTTTATCCAAGCAGCGTTGGGTTGCGGCACCTGTGTCACCGTCGGTCGGTCTGGTCCGCGAACATCCATCGAAAGTACATACCCCTAGAGATTTTCTGGAGAGGCGAGCGTAAAATTTTTTGGGTACACGACTCGCAGAACGAGTGAATCAAAGACTTACTGGCATACGATGGCATAACTGACGAGCGCTCCCGTGAAGCTTGCTGTAGCCCCGAACCACCTTTCAACACCCCTCTCCAGGAACTCCTCAAGGCATAGTGACGCACCTTTGTACCAGAACGAGGAGACAGCTCTGAACAGCAACTTCGCGAGGAAGTACCGAAGCGAGCATATGAGTAGGAGGAAGTGGCCAGCAGCCCACAAGTAATGCTATAAACCCCGGAGCGTTGCATTCAGCATTTGCATCCAATGGAAATTCACTCGAGATCAGGTTGTACCGACCTGCGTCGTAGCCATTGCGCTCTTCAGTGCTGTCGTAGGGGGGCAAAACTTGAGTACGAAAGCGGGACGTGGACAAGTGACACAGGGAGCACCGCGCGGTGACGCACACGAGGTTCAGCTTTAGGGCCGGTCGCGCGGCACCACTTCATCGAGCGCCCGACAGGCACCAGCTTGCACCACTATCAACAGCTGCATCCCGCACGTAGGCCACGTTGCGGGACGCTGTCGGTCGTGCCCGCGGCTATCGCAACGTTGTGGGTCACGCCGGGTCGTTTGCAGCACGATAGCAATGAACCGATGCATAAGTAAACCTACGCGAAAGCACACGACACATCAGAGAACGACACGAGGGCTCAGGAGGAAGGCTCGGGTGGAACGGGGATCCAAGGGGATGGTCAGGACAGCCCGGACCGGAGGTGAGGTCAACCGCTCCATTGCGTCCCCTGCGTCCTCTGTTTCTTCCTTTCCATGCCTTTCTTGTACACCTCCTTCTCGAGCCGTTTCCGGCCAAGCGTCTCTTCTCGCCTCGATCTTGACTGCTCGCGCATACTTCTCCGCGAGCCCTGCTCCTCATCATCCTTCGCGTCCTCGTCGCCCGACTCTTTGTCCACCGCGTCGATCTCTTCCCAATCCTCCTCGTCGTAACCAGGCTCTCGCTTCCGCTTCGTAGCAGATTTGCCGCCGCCAACGTTGAGATTCACGCGTGGAGGTACGGGAAGGCCGAACGACTTCCCGACTTTGGTGAGGTCAAGTTGGTTGACGTCGTAAATCTTCTTCAGCGAGTACGATGCATACGCCTGCAGATATGACCGATAGCCGTCCCTAGCAGACTGGTAGAGGTGGTAGTTGCCTTGTAGCAGCCTCTCCAGCTGATGCGACAATCAGAGATGTACAAAAGGCGCCGAGATGGATGCGTACCTGTGACTGGATATTGCTGATCTTGTCAGCAGGAAAGGTGTATTCGTTCAGCGGAACCTTCGCCTCCTTGAGGTATCGAAGGAAGCCTAGTTCACTCGGGAGGAGGAACATGAGACTCTTGCCGGCATTTCCTGCACGAGCAGTACGGCCAACTCGGTGGATGTAGTCTCGAGGATCGTCTGGCGGGTCGTACTGAACAATCCAATCGACCCGAGGAATGTCGAGTCCTCGTGCCGCGACGTTTGTACAGAGGAGTATACCGGTCTCCGCATTGCGGAACTCCATGAATGTAGCAGTCCGCTTTTGTTGTTTTTGGTTACCCTGATATGCTCGTTAGCGCAATAACACTGGACAGCCGTGGGAAGGAGACATACATGGAGGTCAAGTACCGGCACGTCGATGTAGTTGAGGAGTTCGGCATGGTATTTCACCGATCTACAACTGGAGAAGAATACGATCGTCTTCTTCTTCATGTTCTTCTTGAGGAATGTAAACAGGAGGAGAAAGCGGCGATCAGAAGGGCAGACGACATAGCCTTGGGTTAGTGTAGAGACCGTGCTTGTGTCTTCGGTCTTGTCGACATCAACTAGAATGGGACCAGGGCGCAGCGATATTCGTGCGAGATCCGTGACCTTGCTGGTTTGGGTTGCTGAGAATAGCATAGATTGCCGGCCCTCTGGAGGACTCTCTGAGTATAGTCCTGGAGAACGGGTAGGAAGTAAGGCATACCGTTCGGAAGGGTGGCTATAATTTTCTTCATCTGCTCCTCAAACCCAACCTCCAATATCCGGTCCGCTTCATCGATTACGAGGCTCTTGAGGTTACGGAAGACAAAGCCCTTCGTCCCCTGATGCATCGAAGATATGAGCCTCAAGACACGGTATGATAGCTGAACGAGACGAACCTCCAAGTGGTCGATTAAACGACCGGGCGTCGCAATCAGGAGATTGACACCCTTCTGCAGCTTGATCTCCTCTCCCTTGCGAGTCGCGCCTCCCATGATGATACCAAACGTCTGTGAGTGGTACTGCATGAGCTCCCTGGCGACCTCAAAGATCTGCAGGGCAAGCTCGCGTGTGGGCGAGATAATGATAACACCGGTACCTAAACAAAATACAGAGTCGCAGCACATAGTCAGTAAAGCGATTGACAGATAGACAGAAAGACCCTGTCAAGGGTAAAACGTACCATTGCGAGGTTTGAATTTCAGTCGGTGCAGCAGTTCTACTGCAGGAATGAGGAAGGCCAGTGTCTTCCCAGAGCCCGTCCGCGCAGCACCTAACACGTCCTTCCCAGCAAGAAGAGGTGGTATAGATTTTTCCTGGATTGTAGTCATGGTCTCGAGCCCCATCTCCTTTAGGGCCTTCATCGTCGGCTCGGAGAGGTTCAGCTCCGAAAAAGGTTGGCGGGGGCGTTCTCCCTGCGGGGCAGCGGATGTGCTTGATTCGCCCATGGCCATAGATATTCAAACTATGCGCAATAGATGAAAATTCTCCAAGACCTAGAGGTACCAGTTAAAGTACAAGACAAGGAGGAGGCCTGGTGCCCGAATCTGGAGGAGGAGGGGGAGGAGCGTACGAAGAAGCGCTGAACAAAATCTCAAGGACGCTCTCGCATTGGCTCGGCAAACGCCGGCACGTCATGTCTTCTCTCTCTACTACTCAAAGTGGTCTGCTACGTTTATTCTTTGGATCTGCACTGGTCTAACATGGCATTTAGTCGTCTTTGCGGTTGCACTGGCCACATCTCTCAGCGCAGGATTTGCCTTGGGAGCATGGGCCACCTACAGGGAACGGCACGCCGCTGAACCGCGAGCACCATCCGCGACGAAGCCGGAGCCCTCGAAGGATGCCCGAGAGGATAGCGATGAGGAGGTGGAGGAGGAGGAGGCCGATGGGGATCTTTCTGCTGTAAAGCCTGAATTTCTGGAGCCTTGTAAGATGGTAGGGGTGCATATCCTCGCTTGAAGGAACGAGACTATGACCTCGCGCGTAAAGGTGCTGGTCGTACGAACGGATTTGGGGATGACAACGGGAAAGATCGCTGCTCAGTGAGTTACTTCCGATGCTCAAGGACGAGCCATGTCTCATGGCTCCTCTTAGGTGCGGGTAAGTGCAGTGAGCTCTCGCCTCTATCAACCTGACACTCAGTCTCGATGGAGCCATGCAACGTTGGCCTGCTACAAGGCTCTTCAAAAGACAAATCCTGCTGTGAGCATACCCTCACAGCGTATATATAGCCACAGGCATTGATTTTGCCAGATAGCTGTTGAAGCACTGGGAGCGGACAGGGTAGGCAGACCATCATGCGGTGGACAGCCATGAGGCGTACTGACGTAACGTGCAGTCAAGCGAAGATTGCGCTCAAAGCAACTTCAGAAGACGAGCTCTTGGAGCTGGAAGCGATAGCCAAGAGTTTGAATTTGGCCGCCCGTTCTATCCTCGACGCGTCAGTCACGGATACTTGTGCCCTATGTATGAGGCTGACTGACATCTATCCAGCGGTCGAACACAAATAGCTGCGGGCTCGCGCACTGTTCTTGGTATAGGCCCAGGTCTGTGTCCTTCGAGTTTTTCGAATCGCCTTCGTTGTGACACTCGCTCTCAACAGGTCCCGTAGAACTCGTAAACAAGGTGACCGGCAAGCTTCGTTTACTGTGATTGCATCTCGTGTGTTATCTCCGTCTGTTTGCCGTTTGTCTCTCCCCGATACTTGTCCTAGACCGTTTGCTATCACCATGGCAATACAATGTGTTCTCTCAGATTCCGTCCGAGATCGGTGCGAAATATCTGGAAACATCTTAGTCTGGCGTCTGGTATGAGGTGACGTCGCTGGTTGATGGGAGCACTAGGCCTGGTAGGCGCCCATGCTGGGTGGCGACATTTGAAGGGGACGCTCCCGCCAGACGCAATCGAGGAGCTCCTGTGGAGTTCTCACCCGTCTCTTATCCAGGCCAGTCCGCCCCAACTTCTGTCTCTACTCTCACAACACCTAGATATCTCATCATGGCCAACATTGCGCTCGCTCGTGCATACCAACAATCCTTTGAGTCTCACCCTTACTATACCCTCGCCCTTACAAATGGCGCACTCAACGCGCTCGGCGACGCTGTCGCGCAGGTCACGCAGAAATTCGTGCGTATCTCGGTACTTCTCTTCCGATAGCGTTTGCCGTTTACACAATCCTGCCTAGATCGATTCCGACAACGGCCGGCGGAAGCGTCGTTATGACATCCCTCGCACGCTACGCTTCTTCGCATTTGGTGTCGGAATGGGTACGAGACGATCCCCTCTTCGCGCACACGCTGTAAACTGAAGGAGCTGTATCGCAGGTCCACTTATTGGCCGGTGGAACTTCTTCCTCGAACGCAACTTTCCCTTGCGATCCATAGGGAGTGGGAACACTGGCAAAGTCAGCCTCCGTGCGCTTGCGCGTCGCGTCGGCGCGGACCAGCTGATCATGTGAGCGGTCTCCCACTTCGAGCGTTCGAGTCAATGCTGACTCTTTGCCATAGAGCACCATTTGGTGTATGTAGATTTCTAAGCTCCTGCGACGCGCGAGCTAACTATGTCTACAGTTGGCATTGTTCATTGGCTCCATGGGTCTCATGGAGGGCCGCGACGCCAAGCACATACAACGCCGCTACAGGGACATGTATAAACCAGCTCTGCTCGCAAATTGGGAGGTGTGGCCTGTCGCACAGGTTAGCATAGCTCTTTTGCATTGATGCTGGAGGCACTGACGTATGTCTCCGCCCGCAGCTCATCAATTTCAGATACATGCCCTTGCCTTATCGCGTGCCATTTCAGTCCACCTGTGGTGTATTCTGGACGCTGTATTTGTCGCTCTTGAACGCGAAGTGAGTACCATCTGACTTTCTTGCCACAGCCCTATACTGACTTCTCTTCAAGGGAATCTGAGGAGCAAAATCGGGAAGATCACATGCAACGTACATTGGACTCGAAGTAGAGATCATCTCACAGAGTATTCCTTCTTCGTCTCTTGGGCCTTCCTTGGTCATCTGCAGTAATACACATTGATGCACGGAACCATACTACACCTTGTAGCCATAGCAGTCTTTCTTCCATCCTCTCATCACACACGATACGTCCATGACCACAATACTTCGCATGATTGTACATAGAGCTCAACCTTAATACTCGTCTAATGTCCACACAAGACCTCCAACTGCAATCGCTGGATCCGTCGCTCCTTGTGCTCTAGACAGGCTTAGCTCCAGCTAAGGATCAGCTTGATAGTTAATCGCCTCTTAGAGGACCGAGGGAGATCCCAAAATTTGTCGCGTACTCCGCCCGAGTCGCGGATCCGCCTCTGCAAACCGGACTTTGAAACGCTGGCTCGGATCTCGCATCGGTGAGCGCTTTACGAGCGCTCCGCGCGTCCTCATCTCCCGACGGCGCGGCCCGAGTTTAGTCGAGGGTACTGAGTAGGCAAATTCCGAGGCTGTGTTCGTGTCTTCCATTATCTGCAGATCTCCGAGAGAAGTCTGCTGCTCGGCAGCACCAGATGGCCAAGCAAGGGAGATGGGGCATTGCTGAGGAGTTCGAACCCGCACATGCATGCCATAGCTGGTCCACTCATGATGGGAGTGCTTACATCTCTATAACCTCTGTCTCGCAGCCTTTGGAGGTTTCATTTGGTGCTCCTCTCTGGAGAACCAAACAAAACCTCAATAGGGGGAGCGAACAAAGGTGTCTGAGTCATGGCCCTAGGGGACCGGGTGCTTTATGAACACAAAAATGGGGTACAAAAGAGCCTGCAGCACACCTACAGCACTACCCTTCTTTCTGAGGCACAGTCTGTGGAATGTACTAGTACATTCCTTGGATTTCTAGACTCTGAAAAAAAAGGGTAGGCAAGGGCTGTCATTCTTCTGTGGCTTCTGTGACAGGGTGTATTCCCACAGCTTCTGCATTTAGGCAGTCTTATTTCTGTCAAAATCAGGATTTGATCGGACTTATGCCGTATACTTGGTGTTCTTTTCGCTTCAAGCACATCAAATGTCACGGAATAATCCGGTTGTGAAGCATTTTGCCACATTTTGCCCTGGAGTCATACACTGTCAGCGCTAAGCCCCTTGCATAAAACGATCCAGGGGTCTGCTGTTTCTGCCCTCAAAAATCCCCATCCCCCTGCTGTTCAATCTGCATCATCTCTACAATTCCAATAATTTTACACTTCCAGCATGCCCCCTAGACATGTTTTGCCAGGCAAAGCAAAAGAACTTCGAAACGGTACTTCCATTTTGGGGCGCTCTCCGCAGTGCAATGCACTGCCTCCGTAGCGCGCGTTCGCTGACGCTCTCCGATCGAACCCCAATGCTGCAGCTCTCTACGATGTGAATAAATGTGCCCCGTCTTACGACGACAAAATGAGGGTGCTGGAGGCGATCCGGGAATCCATTCCACATGTGGGCTGGTACGACAAGAAGCGGCACTTGACTTGGTGCTCCGGCAAGGAGCATGCGTCTCTGCGGAAGGACGCCAGGCTGAAGCACACGTTGGTTGGTACGTCTGACCAAGTCTATCTCGTAATTTGGTGACGGCCGGGTCACCTTACTTCGATCTAATGTTCCTCACTACGGACACCTCCTCACTTGCAGAGCATGTCAGGGGCTGGCTGGCTTCCCAACCGGACCCACCCTTCTCCTTGATTAAGTCATGGGCCGCGCATGCGGGTGTTACTCCTGCCGCCATTGTCGATGTCATCATGATTGTCGAATCGTCGCAGGTACGTCGTCTCGGCATTGATGATTATATGGACTGATAATTGCATGCTACTCGAGACCGACGCATGAGGCAACATCGCCGCCGGCATCTCATAACACAGCAGGCACCTGGAGGGTACTGAGGTCCCGGGAGCAGCAAGCCCGTGTGTCGACGCGAATTCCTGGCCTAAAGATTAGATGTTTTGCCGTAGGTTGAGGGGGGCAGAGCGGTGTGATGGGCATAATGTGGCATGGGACAGCGAGTATACAAGGGCAAGAGCACAACTCGCGCTGTGATGGGTGATCCGTCTACTTCGCCTCCGTTATAGCAGGACTACATGTGGAAGCTTGCGCACCTCGCCTGATATAATGCATACACTACTTTTAGAGTAAAAAAACCCCGCAGACAGCCCCATTAACCAGTTATACCCAAGCCCACGTAGCTGAACATAGCCATCTAGGTTGCGCCATACTTGGGCTTGAAGTACGCAGGAGGCAGCTTGGCAAGAACGTCCACTAGCGGCCGCTCGACCACGACGAGCTCCCCGGGCGCGACGAAGTCCACGAAGAGTAACGGGCGGTAGTGCGTCACAAGCTTGAAGTTGCGCTGCTGCACCTCCTGCTGGCCCTCCTCCAAGCTGACCTCGACTCGGCCGTCCGCGCTCGCACTCGCCTCCGGGGCCTTGCGCTTGCCCCGTCTCCGCTTCTCGAAGCCACTGTACCCGATGCGCTCAGTAAGCATGACCTTGCATATCCACGTCGCGCCCCAGAACAGCGCCGTCTTGGGCGGGAGCGGGGAGCCCTCGCCCTCTGCGCCCGAACCTGGATCGAAGGTCACGCCCAGCACGGGGTCGTGCAGGTGTGTGAAGCGCTGCGGGACCCCGTTGACGAGCGAGCGGGCCCAGCGCGGGAACTGGCGCGCCTCGACATCATACACCTCCAGCTGGTTGTCGGCGAAGCCGAGCACGAGCGTGCTGGGCGCGGAAGGGTCGAACGCGAGCGCGTGGACCGGCTGGGGAAACGTCGGCAGCGAGCCATGATGCTGGACGGCGTCGAGATTGAAGATATGTGTGCGTCTGCGGTCGTCCGATGTCGCGAGCCACTGGCCGTCGGGGCTGACGGCCATGCGGGTAATGGTTGTACGGACTATTCTCGAGTCTTCGAGGTCGGAGTCGTCATCAGAGGCCTGAGCGCCGTCCGCACCAGGCGCTCCTTCGTTCTGTAAGCCCATCTCGACATCGCTGTCTCCATTCGCGGCAGGGGAACTTTGGCGACCCTTCACTAGACGGCCCTTGACGACGTTGTCTCGGATTCGATGCTGTTCGAACTTGCGCAGCACACGTGGCGAGTGCCCTTCTGAGCCGAGGTCAACAACGAGGACGATGGCTGAATTAGAAGTGGCGAGAAGAAGCTTCGACGACTCGGGAGTGAATGTAAGGGAGGATGCACCAGTGGAAGCGCCGTTGAGCGTGCTCTGGAGCGTAGCGGAGAAGTCGCGTATTCGCTTTGGCTTGAGATCGCCGTTCTTCTGCTCGCGCTATGAGGTGTTGCAAACGATGACTACAGAATCTCACAACGTACCTCCTCAGAGAGCTGGAACAACTTTGTCTCGTGCCAATCCGATACGGCTATCCACCGCCCATCGTCCGAGACGGCGCCCGAGACAAGGTTCGTCTGTACATTTAGATCCATGTCCAATACGCGCTCCCACCCACGATCTTGTCCCGGTATGTCCGCGCCGAGGTCAAGGTCATCTCCCCGAGGCTTCCTCTTTGCCAACCGCCACACCGTCACTCCGGCCTCCCTGTTGCAGAGTACAAGCCTAGCTTTCCTCGCCAAATGTACCGCAGATGTACCGGAAAAGCCGCTCGAATACGCGAGCCTTCTATGGTATGCATCCTCAAAGGTCGCTTGCGTGCTTGTGGAAAGAGGATTCATGATCTTGCCAGAGAGCGTTGCGGTTGGAAGAGCCGCAGGGGTGGTAACTACAGACATGTCGAGTCCTCCTGACACGAGGACAGGTGCGATGTCCGTGGGGTAGTGTCGTTGATGTGAAGGTGGGAGAGGAGTGTATGGAGGCCAGATCGCAAGGGCGCGGACATCATGCGAGTGTAGTCGACGAGAACGGGACTGAACCCATCGGCCTGTCGCGCGAGAGACTAGGGGAGAGGGGTCTGTGGAGGACCGAGAGGTCTTGACGTACGAGAATTGGGTGACCTTCTGGTCAACTCCGGACGTGTACACGACAGAGCCGTCCTAGTAGAGAATCGACATGGCCCCAATCAGCCGAGAACATATGAGGATTAACATGTTGCAGGACGTACAGGGCCTACAGTTAGACACAGCACATCTGCTGCGTGCCCCTGGAAGCTTTGTAACTGAGTACAAGTCTTGGAGTCCCAGAACTTGACAATGCCCATGGAATCGCCAGACACAATGGTGCCCTCGCTGATCGTCGAGGATGTTTGTGAGCAATCTTGCGGATAAACAACAGAAAATACGTACCCCAATACACCCACCGCCCAAACCAAGGTACGCTCTCCGCGAACCTTGTCCGTCCCCATCCGGTCAAGCGCGCGACCAGTTGAGAAATCCCACTTTCGCAGGCTGCTGTCAGAGCACCCAGTTACGAGCCAAGAGTCCAGCCAGTCTTCCTCATCGTCGTCCGAGTCTGAGTCTGCGTTTGCAGCTGGCTGTTTTTTCTGTCGGGGAGTAGGAGGACCCCATGCGATGCTTAGGATGCGGCTCTTCACCCTGTCCAGGCGACGCAAGTGATTGAGCTCATCGTATTGTAATGATACTAGACGGACGGCGCCATCTTCACAGCCCAGAGCAAGAATGGTGGATGCAGGGTTAGGCGAAATGGACCAGATGGGACCACCTTGCGAAGCTAGCGTTCGCTAGAGGGAGGATCAGAATCTGTGCTTCGAACACCAAGGTACGGAACATACCTTGATGTTACCCTTCTCGATATCCCACTCGACTAGCTCGCTACCTCCTCCCGCACTAAAGAGTCTGAGGTTTGACCACGAAGGGACCTCCTCCTGTGCGGCTCGTCTTGAGGAGCGGAAAGTGAGGGCAAGTGATTCGACTTTTGAGGGGTATGGTCCAATCAATGTCTGTGTTACATCTGTGTGAATACAACGGTGTGCGTATCGCTCCATTCCTCATACCGTACCTTACGGACAACCCATGCCTGAGGCGCTTGACTGCGAGGATTCGGGCCCGTCCACTCGCAAAGCTCGATGTTCCCGTTCGCGCGTCCAACTGCCAATAGTCCAAACCCTGGAAACCCTTGACTGGTAGCAGCCTTCTTCCCTTTGACAGACGGGAGTGGAAGCGGAGGGAAAGCGAGCGCAGTGACCGCCGAAGGCGCAAAGTCCACGAATCGGCACCGATGTACCGCTAGGGTCGGGGGCGTCTCAACCATGATGCACACGCGTTTTCGCCAAGGGATAGAGGCCGAGAAATAGACCCAGTACACAAGTAAGAAAGATACGGTGCAGAGCGTAGAGACCCCGAGAAAGCGGTCCTCTGTGTGCCGCGCCTCGAACGCGGAAGCACGGCAAACTTTTTCCTTTTCCCAATCGGGAAGGAGGCGCATGACGCGCTGGACGGCGTTTCACGCTCCTGCTCATCCAGCGACCACCTCGACTCCGGACAGCATTCATCCTTTGCTGTCTTGCATCTTCACAACACCCTTCTTCACGACCTCCTCTATCTGCCTTGCTCACTTCATCTACCAAAATGTCCTTTCTTGGCCGCGGTTCAACACCCTCCTCGGGTGGTATCAATCAGGAGCGCGTAGAAATGGCTACTCAGGAGTGCGTACACCGCGAAGACCTTTGTCGTATCACTGGTCCTTCTAACGCGTTGCCGCCAGGCTGGACATGATTACAGACATCTTTAACCGCCTCGTCTCGTCAGTGCCTCGCGGTTGACGCGTCACATTACCCTCAATGTTTACCTCACCTCACAGGTCATGTCACGCCAAGTGCATTAGCACACGGTATGCGGAGGGCGAACTCAACAAGGGCGAAAGCGTCTGCATTGACCGCTGCGTTGCCAAGTTCTTTGAGGTCAACAAGAAGGTCGGAGAGAAGATGCAAGCCGTCGGCGCGGCGGCAGGAGCAGGCCCAAGCGGATTCACTTCGCTATGAGGTGGAAGCTGTCGCTCACCGTCGCCTTACAACGCCCCACACATCAGTGTGTCGATGCCAGATACTCCAGGTCGCCCTTCGCCATCCCCACTTGCTTTGCATGATATAGCTGTATCCGTACCATCGTCTAATGCATCACACCACACGCACAATCGCTCGCCCACTCTAGTAAAAACCATCGTATAGCCCATCAGCGAGAGCGACGTACATGACCGGTATCTAACATCCAGAACCAAAGGAAACCCAAGAAGGGAGATGTGCAGAGGACGGTATGTCACTTCCCGTAAGTGGGGAAGCACTCCGCCAAGCTCTTGCTATGCTTATTTTGCGCATGTTCCTCGAGTCTGTAAGGGGCTCACGTAAGGATCCGGCCTTGTAAGTTCCACAGCCTCTACTCACGCAGGTGCACGGGTAGTAAGGAGCTGCAGTGTACGGTCAGGGCGCAGGTGCTGCAAATTGACAAGCTGGAGAACTCACGAAAGTTTGTCTGCATACCGAGCAGACGATGTTCAACGCGGCTTGGTTGGTCTTGATCTGGCTTTTTGCGTTGTTGGCCGTCTTGACGGCATTCCTCTCCCTCTTCTGCTGAGCCTTAGCACCCTACACGCCGGATCGGATGCGGTCAGAGGGTGTCGGAGAAAAGCGTCGGGAAGCGCGTACGTTGCCCATAATGGATGTGAGGAGCAAGAGATGAAATCGAGGACAAAGCAAGAGAAGAAAGGGAAGACCGGCGAGCAGGCAGCCAGAGGCTAGGGGAGGAGATGGAGAGGGATCGTCGATGTCGTCGAGACCGAAGGCAAAGCTCCGTCCACAGTGAGACTCAACGTGGGAATACTAGGGCGCCAATATACTAACCTCTCTACGTAATCGGGATTTACAGCCAAGATATCTTTTCCGCCCCGATGCCTACTCATGAAACCCGGATGAACGTCTGCGACGGACACCCTCTATGCCACTTTTTTAGAACAGGCAAGGTGTTTCGATCATTACAGATGATGGCTTGTAAGGAATTGAGTTCTCTCGCAACGCGCTGACAGGGAAACGGCAGATCAAACTTCAGACAAAAGTACGCATAGCTGAGCACACTGAACCCTTCACAGTGTCAATGACATACAAGCCAGCGCATGATTCGAGCGCATAATTGAGCGCATCTGCAGTTACTGAGGCGCGAACGTTCGACGCCGTCATCGTGTATCCACGACTTGCATATATGAACTTGAACGCCTCAACAAGTATGTTTGACTCAGTATGAGACATCCTACTTTGAATAGCTGTAGATGAATGGTCGCATGATTACTAGGCCCCGCAGATATTATACGCGAACATGAGGGCTTCTCGGAGCAAATATCTGATATGCATATGTTTTCCCGGATGGATGCCGCAGAAGAGATATGCAGAAAATGGATCCATGTCATCGTTCTACTCCCGCTCTCCACTAGGGTCACATTCGATGCTTGATGAATGCTAAAGCGTTAAAGTTGAAAACAGGCAATGTGTTAGATCAAACCAGTGTGCACACCCCGCTCGAAGACTGACTGAATTATCGATCTAGGCCAAGTACTAGTTTATGTCGGGGAGGTACGGTAGGGTTCTCCCTTAGTATAACCATCACCCGACAGTCCCAATGAAGCTTATACGATATCAAGATCGGTGGGTAAGGTTCGACTACGAGAGCAATCAGTCTACCGGTGGCCACCAACACCGGTGGAGCCTGGCGCGAACGACTCAAATCGCACTGAGGCCGCCCGATGCAAACATGGGTGACTAGGAAGGTACTATCTGCAGCGCAACCACCGGTACGCGCGACGATACCTGTTATTGTCACCATGACAGTCGCATTGTGCTTACTGTCAGACCCTCCGCAGTACGCAGACAACATGATACAACGTCCAGGTAGTGTACGAACATTCCAACATGGACGCATAAAACCCATCGAAGGACTGAAGCAGGTCACTTCAGGGAATGTCTGATACCGATGGCCATTCCTCTGCCGATACGAACAAAGCAGACATACAAACGTTTCTAACGAACACAAGCGCACTAGATCCTTCTGATACATCAATGACGAGAACAATCAGCGCTACCAACGACGATCAGACAAACTCCGGAAACTCCAGGTGATCCTCGTCCCGGGAGGAGTCCGCATTCTCCAAGCCGTCAATGCGCACCGGCACTTTGAATCGGAGATCCTTATGCCCTGGTCGCTTCAAGATATACGTCTGTCCGTCCCGAAGAACAAACTTCTCCTCTCCCGCTCGGACGATCGACTTGCCAAACATCGCCTCCAACGAACGGAGACGCATGGTACCAGTTACACCGAGCCACGGTGTAAAGGTTTCGGGAGCTATCCAGAGCTCGAAGCCAGCAGGCGTGTTGAGAGGTTGCCCCGTCTGAGTGTGGACAAAGTCTAGACAATATTCGCGCCGGACGATCGAGCCAGGGAAAAGACGTATCGAATAAGGACTGCCTGGAATTGGACGGCAGAAGACGTTCGGAGTCCCAGGTTTGGGCTTAGCCTGACAAGCTCGGAGTCAATAAGGTATGCGAAGACTGCTGTAAATCAACTCACTCCGGTGACAGCGCCGCGAATGCCGAGGACAGATGTCGCCCGCGCTTCCAAGGCCTGCGTGCCAGCGACAAAAGCCTCCGGATCTTCCTCCGGGTCAGTGAGGCCCGTCTCTAACTCTAAGAACATCTTGAGCTGCTCGTCCAGCCACCAACGGATTCTGCTCTCCGGCACGTGGTAATCGCTCCCGGTGAGGGCCATGAGCTCGAAGTCGTTTTTAGGTACGAAACCTGGATATCTATCTTGAAGCAGTTGGAGGCATGCGCTTCGTATCGTGTCATCCGAGGTCGACGTTGATGCACTAGGCGCAGTACGCGAGACGTTGTGGCCAGGTGGCAAGCCCCGCGACCCGGCAGGTAACTGTAACCGCGACGAGGACGACGACCCATCTCTATCTGCGCGCGCCGTCAGAGAGCTTGCCTGGTACGTCGGTGGCCGAGTAACCGTACATGTCGAGGGAGGCGAGATATTGCGGCGTGCCCTTGGCCGCTGACTACTATCGTACGGACCTGGGGCTCTCTTTGTCTCCCCCAGATGTCAGACAGTGTCCGCTGAGTCTCGGAGCCCACTACATACCTTCTTAGACGTTCCTCCTGTTCTCGCCTGCAATCGCTCGCCAGAAGACATGTCGAATCTTCAAAGCGGAGAGGCAACGGTGAAGCCGTCTCGGACGATGTGGTTGTAAGCGGAGAACAACGTTGAACATGTACATAGAATTAACGCGCGACGTCAATGGGTGTAGCGTGGTTGGAATCTGATAATCTAATCTTGCATAAGAGAACCGGCGACAAGATCGGCGATCCGAGCTTGAGTGTTTTGCTGACTGTGGCAGTTCAGATCTTCCACTCTCCAGGGACGAAGGCACACGCTTTTCCCAACGGCTCGCCCGATCCGGGCACGGATGGAACTGGGAACAATTTAAGCTCGAGTCAATTCGAGCCTATGTCTCCTTCCCTCACTCGTCTCTTCCTTCGCCAGCCTATCTTTCCTCTGCAACGGACGCTCTCTTTCAGGAGAACCATTGGAACCGTAATGTCTGCTAACTTGGACGCTGCGCGTGCTCAGGTCGCAGAGCAAGTCAAGGTCGATATTTTCACTTCGACCCAGGATGATGTGTGTGACTTCCGTTATCGCGGGATCAGTTCGGTCCTGACCACTGCGACAGGATAACAAGAGAGGCCTCAAAGAGGTCTCGAGGAGTTTCATCTGTAAGTTGTGGCCGCCCTTATGTGACCTGGTGGTACTCATGTGTGCATCAATCAAGCCGATACCATTACCGGTCAGTGGCGTTCCCGATCACTGGTGATGTTCTGCCTCTTATGGTGATTATAATCGACAGTGCCTACCCCGGAGATGTACCTGTACGCTGCCAGGGCATCCCTCGGTGACGACGTATACCATGAGCCTTCCACACTTGCGCTCGAAGCGCATATGGCTAAGGTGACCGGCAAGGAAGCGGCGTTGTTCATGCCTTCTGGGACCATGTCGAACCAGATTGCCTTGAGGACACATCTCCAGCAGCCTCCCTATGCTGTACTGTGCGACCATCGTTCGCATATCGTCCGGTACGCTGGTCTCAGTACATTCAAGAAGGTTAGGCTGACGAATTACTCAGGTATGAGGCGGGTGGACTGGCATTCCACTCTGGTGCTCATGCGCAGATGGTCATCCCCTCGAATGGTCTGATTCGCAGCGTCCTGTAGGTGAATGATATTCTCACCATTACGTCGCAGGGCACCACCTTACACTCGAGGACGTACAAGAACACGTCGTACTCGGCGATGAGATTCACAGGTAACGGTTCCTTGTGTGTTGCAGGGCGAGTGCTAATCTGTGTGAAGTGCTCCTACGGCTATCATCTCGTTAGAGAATACCCTGAATGGGACCATCTTCCCCCAGGACGAGATCGTCCGTATTGCGGAGTTTGCGCATGCAAACGGTCTCAGAACGCACCTTGACGGTGCCCGAATCTGGCATGTCGCTGCTGAGACCGGCACACCGCTCAGCGAGCTACTTGCGCCCTTCGACAGCGTCAGCTTGTGCTTCAGCAAGGGTCTTGGTACGTCCTAGCGACATCAGAGGCCTAACCGCTCAGGGCCGATGTACTCATCTAGGCGCTCCTATCGGCTCATGTCTCGTTGGTCCCGAGGCGTTCATCAAGAAGGCGCGCTGGTTCAGGAAGCTATTTGGTGGAGGCATGCGCCAGACCGGCCTCATGGCCGCATCCGCCGCCTACGCACTCACGCACAACTTCCCCCTCCTGCCTGCTGTGCACCAGCTCACGCGGAAGCTCGAGAGCGGCCTCGAGGAGATCGGTGTCGAAATCACGAGCGGGGCTGAGACGTGCATGGTACGTGACACGCTCCTTACGTGTCCACACATGCACTTTTCCTCCGTGTGATATGTCAACTTCGTGCTAACGATAAGCCTCGGGTTTTCACCCTGGCAGGTCTTCTACGATCCGTCGCCGGTGGGCGTGACCTATGCGGAGATTGTCGAGCGTGCGAGTCAGCTGTCCGACCCCCTCGCCGTCGGCGGGTCTCGGCTCGTCGTTCACATCCAAACTTCTCCGCAGGCCGTGGAGGATTTCCTGGCCGTTGTGCGGAAGCTCGCGGAGGAAAAGAAGGCCGCTGGGTTCGTGCCTCCCGAGAAGAAAACGTACCCCAACGGTCGCCCGTACAGCAGCGTCTATGTGAAGAGCAAACGCGCCCAGTAGATTAGATGGAGGGTGATGCCTATCGAGGGAAGGGGTCTAGATGATCAAGTGTGAAGTTGTGTACCGAAGCGTGCGATGTGTACATTAACTGCATCGGGTTGGTTTACGTCTTGGTTACTAGTGTCCACACGATGTAGGCTGTGTTCTCTGAGCTTGTTTTCACATAGACGTGTGTGCCTGTCACACAAAATAGACGAAACAACGATCTGCCCAACCCGTCTGAGTAATGGTCTAGCCCTTGCCAACATAGCGCTGCTTCTCGTACTCCCTCCACAGAACCTTCATCGTCGCCTTCCCGCCTACGTCTAGCGCTGAGACCATCATGGCATCCCGGGTATGCTCTCCCAGCATCTCACACAACGCGAAAAGGCCGGGTTGCAGTTCCTTCCGGATGCCTGAGGACACCAAGCAGAGAGGCTCATTCACCGCTTCGACGTACGCGGTGAGCACATACGCGGCGTGCTTCGAGAACGCCCGCGTAAGTGACTCGGGCTTCTGTGAGTCAGCTGCTGCACCATGCGTCCGCACGATCGTCTTAGTCGTCAAAGTTGTGAGCAGCCGGGCAAGGGCCTTACTTTCCTGACCGGAGAGCGGGCCGGATGGTGAGATCCAGCGCGGAAGCGTGTCCATGACCAGGCGACTCTGTTTACCGCCGAGCTGCGGGCGGAGGCTTCGGAGGCACGCAACGAGCTGTCGAAGGACGAAGCCGAGGTGTGGGAGGGTGTTCAGGACGAGGTCCCGGCGGAGACGCACGAGAGCATTGAGGACGTTCACGATACCATGGAAGACCGTCGAGTCAGTTGACTGCTCGTGGGCTGTCGAGCCGGAGAGCAGCGCCCGAAGAATCGACCACAGGCTCGAGAGGTCAGCTGTTCGTATCGAGGCGGGCTATCTCACGCGTCAGTTTGGTCATCATGGAGCCCAACAGGTCCGATAGCTTACCCTGTCACCGCACTGTCGAGCAAGGAAATCAAGGACCTCTCCACGGAGACAGGGATCCGTTGTAAACTGCTCATCATCTGCGAAGAGATTTAAGCATTGTGTAGTATGCGACTGGCATATTTTCGCGGTCCCTTGACACTATATTAACCACCGATACATTGTTTTGCCTCAGAAACCACTAACCTTCTGGTGCATCCCGCAGAAGAATTGAAGATAGGCGAATGAGGCGAGCCACATCTGGTGAGGATAGTCCTTCGTGCAGCGGCAGACCATCATAGACGAGATCAAGTAGGGAGGAAAAAGTGTCGGTAGAGAGCGTCTTGCAGGCGCTTGCCAGCTGCGACTCTAGACCGGTAATATCTGTAAAAGCATGTTCGACAGAAGCCTCTTGTTAGCTGGCGGAATGATACGTACCGCTTGGACTAGCCGTGCGAGCGAACGCAAGGTAGGCAACTACCATAAATCCTAGGCCCTCTCGAACCTCGAGAGTAGCAGCGTCTTGCAGCTCCCCAAGTAGAATGGACAACACGACTGATCCAAGAGATGAGATATTCTCCTTACTACCGACTGGTGAGAGTAATCGGCGGGATAACTGTCGGCCAATTACGGGAATTCGCACGTCTACTAAAACAAAACGGTAGCTTCAATATACTCCGCCATTATCTCGTGAAAGGAGAGCATACCGTCGACGTCCAGCCATCGTCCGAGTATCCGCGAGTGAAACCAAATGTCCAGTAGAGAGCGGTCCAAGGGGATTGTATAGTCGTCGGAACCCAACCCCAGCCTTGGTAGGCTGTAGTTGAGCATACTTTTGTGCAAATTTCGCAGTGAATCGATGCATGGTGCGGGAAGCCTGTCAACGCGGTCAGTGTGAAGGTGGAATCAGACCTCAGGGTTCTCTGAGACGTACTCAGATGGCGAAGCGCTCTGAACGAGGGAGTCGATCAAAAGAGAAGATGCTTCAAAGTTGATTTTGGCGTCCGCGGAGTCGAACGCTTCGGCATAGCGATGGGCCAACTCAACAACTGAGTCGGCTTTGCCCTTCTTCGCAAGGCGTACGAGGGATCTGTCTCGATGTAAGTGATGAACGATGTATAGGGTCGAGGGGAAGAAATACCCCTGATACATGTCTACCAAGTTCATTGTGGCCAACCTGAGGTCCCTGCTGGCGTCGTTGACGGCTTCACCGTTAATGCCATGCTCTAGTAGGTAGCCCATGAACTCCTTCGATATCTGACCACATTCCTGATTGAGTATGTCCATAATGAAAATACGAGACGCAGACGCACGACATTCTCGATCAAGCCGAGATGATCTATGGTCCGTCGCAGGACTTTCCGAATAACCAGCAAATCCTGCTCAGACAGCCAGCTCTTCGCATAGCGAAGGGTCAGATACACGGTGACGTCTGCTGCGAAACCCCGCTTGAGGAATTCGATATGAGTCGCACGTGGAAGGTACTCTGCCGGAATGAGAAGGAGGACTTTGTATGCCCATGCGATTTGCGAAACCACATCGGGCGACGGGCGGGTCGTGTCTGCCGCGAGACGAGAGAGAAGATCGGGTAGGTCGACGCCTGCCATCGGGGCTGTATGTTCGACCAGCTCCGAAATGAAAGCATCTGGCATGTGAAAGAACAATGAGAAAATTTTCAGCTGTTATGACTAGCATTGTGGATCTACCTCGGAACGTGAGCAGCTCCCAGAACTGTGCATCACGTAACAATCTAGACAATACAGTCTGCACGCTCAGTCCGATTGGCGATTGCGAGACATGAGGCAACCGCCCCGCGTTCACAAGAATGGCTGCCAACCTCTCCAGTTGCTTCGATGTTGCCCATGTGCTAGCAGATCAAGAGTTAGTCTCGGTACCATCCTTGTAGTGGTGGTACAAGCACTCACTCGAAGTCAGGTAGCCACCTGTCCACTAGTAAATGTAGGACCGCTACGCCGCCCGTATCATGCCCATGCAATGCATGGACTCTACCTGTCCAAGAAGCAGTGTCACCAGCGACGTGCATCTCGAGGTAGTCAAGTAATCTGTCGAGTACAGCCTCCGGCTGTAGAAAACCAAGGCTACATTGGTGTAGCATTGTCCGAAGCTGCATGCTATGGTGAGGTGAATGTATGCGCCCATGAACTGCGGCACGCACCATTTCCACGACAAGGTCGGGTATTACATCCGGAGATGGTACGCACTGCAGCATGGCAGACGGCAATTCATCTTCGAGCCTGAGCTCGAGTTGCAATGCTGGTGCACGAGCGAGCCCGTAGTGCAGACGCAAGGCTCCCGTGACAACGATTTGCCAAGATCGTGATACCAGTTGACTAGGCCCCCCGAGCCCCTGCGCCAGAGCGGGGGAAGCAACAGCGTGGTACAGGTCTTGCACCGACCTTTCTGCCTCCGCGCGCGCGTCGTCTGTGAGGCTATGCAACGGTAGCGAACGCAGCACGACAATCATAGTGCGTGCGATGAGGTCGAACGAAACGGCGTAGTATTCCGATTCTGAACCGTCTTCCGATGAAGGTGCGTTGCTCTTCCTGCGCTTTTTCCTCGGGCCATCGCCACGAACAGCGGAGACCCTTGCGTCCCGCTCGACCAAGCGCCCATATGCGTCCTTGAGAGTCCGCGCGACATAGGCGATGGTGTCCAAGACCTGACCCGGCGTGAGGAAGCCGTGGACGGCTCGGGAAAGCTCATCGAGGAAGGGGAGACTGGTCAAAGGGCCCGCGGACGCGAGCTGATAAGCAGTATGTGGGCTATCGGAGATCCGCTTGAGATGCTGAACCGAAAATGCCTCCGAGACATGCTCGATCGCAGAAGGCAAGGTTCTCGTCTTCGATTCATATTCCAGGAGGAGTCGCAGGTACTGCGGGGCGGATGAAATCGAGCCAGGGACCTGGAGCATATTAGGCGAATGAACCATTTGGCAACGAGGTCGGGAATGAGGAGACTCACGGCCAGAAGCCTGGGGTATATGACAGCGAAGGCTGCGGATGTCAGGTCATAGTCGATTCTGGCGAGCGTCGCAAGTATTTTCAAGGCGCAATCCGTGCGCGAAGCATGGATCTCTGGAAACGGATATGGATTGAGCGTGCAATGATACAGACCGCGTACGTACGAACCATCCCAAGCCACAGCGAGGGCCTCCACGGCCAGATCGCCGTCCCCGCGCAAAAGCGTATGAGCCTCCTCATCCTTCACACTGAGTAGATTTTCCCTCTCAACTACCTCAAGCAGGGAGACAAGACATTGCCATGAAGCATCATCTGCAGATTTGCGAGCTAGAGTGTTGCACGTGCCGTAGAAGACCATCGACGCAGCTTGCACTTGTTCGAGGATGTGGCCCGGAGCCCGACTAGAACCCTGACCGAAGAGCGCGCTCTTGTGCCGCTTCACGCTCTGCACATACGACGCAAACAGCCGAGGGATAGAGCAGGGCACAACAGCCGGAGACTGTATGGACGCGTCTTCCATAGCTTCCAACAACGCGGCGTCATACTTACTGTCGGTCATCTGCTTCACGACCTCCAGCCCGAACATGGTTTCTATGCCGGCATCATACACATCGGACAACAGGGCTTGTCCGTGCCCGTCTGCCGGCACGAGTTGCAACCAGAAGGGCAAGTGCTTCTGGAGAAACAACGTGTTAATTTGCTGAGAGGCGCTCCGTCAGCCAGATAGCCTCTTCTACACAAATCGTACCGAGAATTCCCACCTTGCGCTTCGCAGCCGAGCTCGCCAGGGATGTCCGGTACGACGAAACTATGACTGATAAGGCGTTGGCGTGATCTAGTTCTTGCAGAGTGCCCGGTGACCCATCGAGAGCCGACAGCATAGACGACACGCCCAGCTGAAGAACTGCGCCGAAGCATTCCAGCAACGTTTCGGGGCTGAATTTTGGGACTGCCAGAGGCCATAAGACAGAGACACACCAGGCAACTAGCTTGTACTGTTCGAAGTCAATGCTATCGCTTTCGGAAAGCAGCTCGAAGTATGAGAGGATGATAGGTGCAACAGGTACCCGGTTCAGCAACGGCACGAGCCAAGGTCTTGATGTGCGAGTGCTAGGGTCGCCTTCGCGCGCAGGGCTTGAACAGGCGAGAACGTCAGCAAGTAGCAGCCAGTACCGCGTGTCGAACACGGGATTCTCAGACCTGGTCAGTTCGTTAATAGTCTAGAAAGCGGATTGCGAAGCGAGGGCCGTACCGCTCTCGCGACCTGTCCTTCAGCAAACGCGACAAGAGCCAGTCTGAGATCGCCTCCGCCTTGTTAGGAACATAGAGCAGCGAGTCCTCCCATGCCTGTCGTGCAATGTCGATCTTCAAGGGTCCTCCTTCGTGGGGTGGGTCTGAGGGAGCCTTCAGAGCGCGTATGAAGTCCTGCGCGTTTTGCAGACCCCGCATGGCTTCCCCGATCGGTAAGCTGCTGGGGTCGGCAATGTGAAGCAGGTATTTACCCGTGAGGTCCAGGTGAGACCGTGCGAGGGAGGGTGAGAAGAGAAGAATTTGGCAAGATGAGGCCTTGGCGAGCGGTGCGGACATGTGCCTGCCGACGAGCCCAGGACGGGCGAGAGAGAAAGTTTAGCGTGCACTGCCATATATGGCGAAGCCGGCGGGGCACGTGGGATCAGGGGCAGCGCCGCGGAAGGTGAACCGTTCGCAGCAGGCGCCTCCTGCCCATCGACTGTACACTCTAGATGGCCCCTTCCCAGGCCGTCCCTCGCCTCGCCCTGGGATGGGCTATCTTCCTCCCTTGTTCTCTCATCTGGCGCACCGCCCTTTCATCTGTATTACATTGGCTGGAGGACGTCAAGCACCACGCCCGCACATGTACTCTCGATAGGTCTACTCAACTCGGACAGCACCGCAACCGCTCAGAGCTAGTCACCTTCTCTATTCATGTCACTCAGTAAACTCTAATGTCCTTCTACAGTACACGACGGAGCGTGCGGAGACGCGTCCTGTATATATTCTCGCCTCCAAGCTCCATATTCCGCATCAGCTTCCCCCTCCAGTTCACTGTGCCCTCACCTACCTTCAGTCTCGTCAACGCCCCTCCTTCCGACAATCGCTGAACTCAGTGTTGCACCATCATGACTGGATACCTTTGGTTGGTCTGGTATGAGGCACCTGCGCGGTCCGCCATCAGACACTGGACCCTCGCAGTGACCTACGAAGCAAACGATCGCGCATACGCTACTGTATACGAGGTTAGCTAACGTTATCTCTATCTACCGAAGATGTCAATCTCACGCACGTCAAATCAGGTCGCGATCGATTCTTCCGGCCATTATCAGTCGCGGGTGACGCGCCGCGTGCACTTGACCAGCAACCATCCTTCAGGCGCGTACAGCGGCAAGATCCTCCTCGGAGAAATCAACGACAACGTCCTCTGCTCTCTTGAGCCGTACAGTGAGACCGCCGCCGAGCTTGTGAACAGTCGTAACCGCAAGCGAGGGCCCGGCGCACAGACCTGTCATGACTGGGCTATGATCATCGTGCGGAGCCTTGAGGACTCCATGCTGCTACCACAGGTGAGCCCGATGACACCGGACGTACCACCGTGAAACCTGACTCAACCTTGCTCCTAGGGGGCACTGGCCTGCGTAGAAAAATGTCCACGCATCGGCTGAGCCGGTGATATGCACTACCCCACTTCCATCATGTTCTGTTGTATCCGCCACGTTGCACTGTATCGCTACCATCTACGGCTCTCCACCGCTTCTCTGCACGCTCTCAGGGTTACTGTTGTAGTCTTTCCTTTGGGTTTTATGGCGTTATTATATATTGGTATACCCATGGGCAAGCTGTTGTACAACTCGACTAATGCTTCACATGGACTACCTACTGCTGATCAATATCTCTATACGCACTGTACCATTGCATTCTGTCAACTTCCCATACATGTACCTTCTTCCACTATGATATTGTCCTCGTCCTGTCTCCGTGGCAGCACAACCCGGGTAAGAGCTTGCTTGTAGCGGCAGTTCTTGGCCTGCGTCCAAGTAGACATTGTCGGAGTCAAACGCCGAACGCACAAGGCATCGTGTTGTGGCTAAGCATCCGTCGAGAGCGATCGTCTACGCGGGTATTATGCTTTGCAGAAAGGGGGAGCGAGAGACAAAATCAAGCTGGAATGCTCTGGAGTCTGGACGGTTTAAGAAAATTGTTATGACACAAGTGCCGAAGTACGGACTCCGGAACCAATTATACGGTTGGTCCTGGGAAGACAGCAACAACCATAACCCGCGGGTCACGACGGCATCGTAAAGTTGTGACGTGCCGTCGGCAAACTTCGAGATCATCGAATCAGAAGACAGTCCTGATTCAGCGCTGTACGTCATCTATTCCGCTCGCGAATTTCGCATTTCCTCTCCACGCACTCGCATTGCAGGTCGTTCTTGCACTTGGAGGCCTCGATTTCGTGTCTCACATAGCGTATGTCTTCAGGACAAGCAATATCTCACACAACGCCTCGATTTACCGGATACCCAATGCGTTGACCCTGGCCAGGACGTGTGGACTTCTGACTCAGCAGCGGTAACCGCTAACTTCTACTCCCGCGGGGTCGCCGTCCTCCCTTGGCTGCAGCATTCATCATTCCTCTTCTAAATCGATTATGAGCACCGAGCCCGACAAGTACGACTTGCAAGGTTGCGCCCAGCTGCAGCAGGAAGAATGGGAGATACTCGAGGTGCGTCATCCATCATGGCCTCCGTACTTATATCGATCCTCATCTGCGTCTCCAGTCTATTCATCCAGACTGCTTATCAAGAGACTCGTCTAGTGGCTTCATCAGACTTGAAGTGCCTGTAGAACTTGCGGAGTCGACCTGCGTCACAATACAGACCGGCCAGGTAGACCCGGAGTCGTCATATCACCCCGGACCAAGCTGCCCCAAGGCCCTGTCGCTCGCCTCCCTTCCTCCGATACTACTGGATATCTCTTTACCACCGACCTACCCATACACGCCACCACAGATACAGACAATACGGGCCACCTACTCTTGGCTACGGTTCGATGACTCCGAGCTCCGCGATTACTTAGGAAGGAAATGGGAAAAGGGTGAAGGGGTACTCTACACTTGGGTAGAATGCATACGTAGCGGGCAGTTTCTAGACGAGCTGCAATTGACCCAGGCGGAGAATGGGCGGCGGACCATCCGGTAAGCACTTCTCAGCATTTCGATCACTTGTTTGTGCGCCTGTTGACGCGAAGCCCAGCATTCATCATCCTATGCCGGGCCTCATCAAACCCGTGCTCGAGAGCTACAATGCATCTACTCAGGCGGCGAGGTTCTCGCAGAACTCGTATGAGTGCGAAGTCTGTCTCACATCGATCAAGGGGGCACGGTGTGTAATGCTCCTCTGCGGGCACGTCTTTTGCCGATCGTGTCTCGAGGATTTCTGGAAATTATGCATCAAGGAGGGCGATGTAGGGAGGGTAGGCTGCCCAGATCCCGGCTGCGTCAAGGAGCAAAGGGAGGCAAACGAAGAGGAGGTGCGGCGTGTGGTCACCGAAGAGGAAGTCCTCCGTTGGAAGTGGCTACGCGCGAAACGAGCCGTCGAGAAGGGTATGACGACAATAGTGACTGCTTTGCGAGGCCGGGCTGAATCTATTCATAGATCCGACGGTAGTGCATTGTCCTATGGCGCAGTGCCAAACTCCAGTCCCGCGGGCTCCCAATGTAGAAGAGGGTTCGCCGTACGAGCGTTTACGAACATGTCCGGAGTGTGGCTTTTCATTCTGTGCATACTGTAAACATGCATGGTACGCACATAGTCCGTGGCGCTGCGATGGACCATGACTGACCCACACTGTCTCCGCCCACAGGCATGGCCCGGTCGCTACGTGCCCCATCTCGGCCACTAAAGCGATTCTGACGGAGTATATGGCTCTACCTGAGGGGTCTGCCGAACGCAAGCAACTGGAGACACTCTATGGACGGGTGGCGTTACAGAAGCTTGTGGATCAGTACGAGCATGAAAAGAAGTTCCGCGAGTGGCTCGCGCAGCGCATGGGGACGCCCTGTCCAGGATGCGATTTGCCTGTCGAAAAAGCCTCGGGGTGCAATCACGTATGTCGAACAATCTGGACTGCTGACGCTGACGGTGGAACTAACGACCGGGGACAGATGACGTGTGTTAGGTGTCAGCAGCACTATTGCTATCGGTGCGGAGCAAAACTGGACAAGATTCACCCGTACAAGCATTTCTCGACGCCTGGGATCAGGTGTTTCCAGAGGCTGTTCGACGAACACATCGATATCGACGAATGGCAGCCAGTAGAGGGCTTTAATGTGATATGACGCTTGTAAAATAATGCAATGGAATGGGGACTCGATGTCATCTCAGAATTTCGCAGTCAGACGATCAAGGAGTGCGGGACAGCGGACAGTGGATAGGGGCGGGGTGGCCGAACCCACCGTAAAATTTAGAATGCGGCGGCGGATGGGGGCGGGATACGGGCGCCTATGATATGGGCGCCTATTGCTCGGGGAGCGGGATGGGCGGCCGGCGCCGTTTCTGGCGGATATTTCATCGACGTCGGTCTCGAGCCTCACAACTCCCCTCTTTCATCCTCCCCTGCATTCTCTCGCCTTCCGTCTTTTTTTCTGACGACGACGAGCAGCCTCGTCTTCTCTTCTTCGAGGCTGCACGGGGCCCCCTCCTCGGATACCACTTTGTCCATACCCCCATCATCCGCATACCCCCGTGTCTCCCTACCGCCCGATCCGCTCTCGCTGCCCGCTGCTCGCTGTATTACGCTCGCATCTATCTTCACTTTCGCACAAGATCTCGCTATGGAAATTTACACCACTTCTTTCACCTACCCTCGTCGCCTGCGGCACGCTCATTCGCCTACCAATTCGCTCGACTTTGCGCCCCGGTCCAACGAACTTCGCCGTGCTAGCTCCTACCCAGCGATCCAGCAGCCGAACGGCCTCGATCCAACTGGTGGCGCGTCCCCGACCGACTATGATGCCCTCCAGAAGCTCGCCATGATGGCCATGAGCCTCCATGGCGTCCATATCTCCTTCACCCCAGCCGACCAGGGCCGCGCATGGAACTTCCAAGTCTCGGGGGCCTACCCGCAGGTCATGGCAGCAAGGGGGATGCTATTGAAGGGGTGTCCGGTCCCGGTACGTTCCCCCCATCCTTTCACCATGTCCTTGCCACTGAGCGACGCCTGCGGCAACCAGAACCGCTCGTCCATCAAGGTCACGCGCTCTGAGATCCTTGACTCGCCCTCCTCGAAGCCGACGCTCAAGCCTGAGGTCCGTCGTCGCCTCGACGACATCGCTTCTCAGACGTACGCCCACATCGCTGTCGTCAACAGCCCGCTGTCATTGTCGACACGCACCCTTCCCGATGGTATTACGAGTAGCGCTGGATGGACCGGCCTCGAGTCGGAGCGGGTATGCGAGCTTGTCATCACCGGAAACGGCGACTCCGTTGATCTCGCCCGTGTCCGATTGCTCGTCATGCTGGATGAGTTGGTAAGTATCCTCTCCATAACGTCATCACGTGCCCCTAATGCCGCAAGCAGAGCGGTTTGCACGCTGAGTCGTGCGAAATTGACAACACCCTGCATGCCATCATCACGGGCAGAAAGCGCAATGTACTGCAGACCATCCAGGAGGAGACCGCTACGAATATCTATCTGCCTTCTCCCTTGCAGGGTATTTTGGGGAATGACCTCACTCAGTCACCATCGAATAGTTCGCCTACCACGACGAAGGCGAACATGAACACGATCTTCATCACCGGAGAGTTTTTCGGGGTGCAACGCGCCCGCGACATGTTATACCAAATGTCGTTAACCAAGGTTTGTGCCTCCATGCTACTTGTGGCCGCGGACACTGATCGCTAATCCCCATCCGCTCACGCAGAGCAAGCAACTCATCTCCAGGGACAGCGCGGTGCTCCCGCGCAAGATGGATTGGATGGTCACCGAGCGTGCCGAGGATCTCAAGATGTTGATGCACGACAACGCCACCTTCATTCAGTTCCCTCCTATCGGTAGTTCTACCAGTTTAATCACGGTTATCGGCGACAACCGAGTCAACGTTCAAAGGACCATCAGGTCCATCATGCAACTGGTGTGTTTCAACGTGTCAGAGTCACCTTGTGACTGTGGAGACTCAACCCTCTGTTATCCTAGGCTTGCCAATTCTATGTGGCCTCGCTGTGGCTGCTGCCGGCGCAATTCAACGTTCTCATGCCTTCGCAGAGCCTGAACCCTTCTCAGGTCTCGGCGATTTTGAAGCAGGTCTCCTATGCGTCCGGGGCCGAAGTAGTCTTCAAGGGCATGTGTTTTGAGATGCACGGTTTGGAGCACGAAGTTCGTCTTGCGGTTTCCATGCTCCTTGACTTGGACATCGTTAAAGTACGTTTCGCTTCTGCTTTGTTCTCGTGGTCGATGTTAAGTTAACTTCGTGCAGACCTACCATCACGAGATTCGATTCCAGATCGAGCTCGCTAACGAGCATCGCGAATTCATCAGCGGCAAGAAGAATGGGAAGATCAACAAGATCATGCAAACTACCAACGTCAAGATCAAGTTCGAGACGTTCAACGAGCATAACTTCCTCATCGACATCGCCGGTAGCGACGCGTCTGTCTTGCAAGGTCTGACGCTCCTGCAGGAGGAGCTGCCAGCGGAGATATCTTTCCACGTTCCTGAGTCGTACCACAAGCGTATCATTGGCGTTGGCGGTCGTAGCATCCAGCGGATCATGAAGAAGTACGGTGTGTACGTCAAGTTCTCTAACGCCGAGGAGTTCGCTGCCATGGGCGGGTATAACGACAACGAGGACAACGTTATTGCTCGGACGCCGGCTAAGAATGCCATGAATCTGGAAAACCTCAAGCAGGCTGTCATGGAGCTGGTAAACCCGAAGGTAGGCGTAGGTCTGACCCGTCAATCCCGCTTCTATCTAACTTGCGTATATAGGACAAGGACTACATCAATGAGACCGTTTCCATCCCGAGGCGGTACCACCGCACTCTGCTCGGCGAGAAGAGTATCTTCATTCACGATATCGAAGCGAAGACGAACTGTTCTGTTCGCTTCCCCGACAAGGAGACTGCATCCGACTTCGTCACCATCTTCGGACCCGAGTCGCAGGTTCAGATTGCGGCTACGATGCTCTTTGTACGTCCGTTACTTTTCGTATGATCCATCATGTGTCTTACACTAGCCTAGGATCATGTTCCATTCGAGGCGGACATGGCTGTTCCCCCTCATCCCGACCTCGGCAGGATCTGCTCATCCCCCGACTTCGTCGCTTTCGCTGAGCGCGTCAAGCGTGAGCTGCAGGTCGTCATCTCGCCCAACATCAAGACGGCTGTCTCAAATGGCACTATTCCTGATGTGCCCTCAGAGTGTTCTTTCAAGTTCAGATGTCAGCGCAGCAACAGCGACTTCCTCGTCACAGCTCGCGAGATGCTTGAGCAGTACCTCATCGACCACAACGTTCACGTGTACCCCTCGGCCACGTCTCGCACTCACCAACGCGGAGATTCCTTCACAGACGCCTTCCCTCACTTCGATAGCAAGGTGCTCTCCACCGCAAGAACTCGTCATCAGAGTATGTTTTTTGTTAGACTTGCGCGCCGTTTCCGCTGTGCTGACATGCAATGTACCGTAGACTCCGCCGACCTCGGCCGCCCTTCAGAGTCCATGATTGACCGTAGATTACGTCTCGCCAGCTCCTCGCCCGACGTCAAGGCTTTGTTCAACAATTCCCCGTCGTACATCTACCATTTGGAGGAGGAGGATGACTACGATCAGTCTAGCTACATGCCCGGCTCTTCGGGCAATGACTACTGGCAACCTATGCCTCCCATCGTAAGTCTACGCAGCATTTCGTTGTGTGAGCTGTCATTGATGCTTTCGTCCGTAACAAGGGATCGAACATTCCTCACCGGACGCATCACACCGCTGAGGACGCTCTCAAACGCGGATCTGATTCGCTATTAGAGGCGAAGTTGAAAGATCAGCTCACTAAGCCCCGCTCGTTGACTAATCGTGCGCAGTCCCTCGACTTGACATTCTCTCTGAGTCGTATCAACGAGGCCCCGCGTGGGTCCGGACTCTCGCGCCCCGAATCGCCCGACACATCCGTTACTGGAACTGGGACGAATGGGACGTCAAGTCCCACGTCGGCGACGGTGCCACTGTTTCCCAGCGTGTACGGCCCTCCTGGCGGTCCACGAAGCGCCGTTGCTGGTGCATCTGGCTCGGGACTCGGCCACGCCAGGGCGCGATCGAGCTTGGGAATCGACGAAGACCCCGTGGACGATGTCTCGCGGGTAATCTCTAACCTCGGCCTGTAACGATCGCACGACATCTTACGTGCAAGAGCGCTCTATAGAAAGAAGCTTGCCAGGACGGCCGTCTCAAAAGCGCGTTGTATTCCCAGCAATGGACATCGATCGCAAGCGTGATGCTGTCTATATATACTGAATCGTCGATATCCCTTCGATTCGTTCAGCTTGCTTCCCTACACTCCCTCTAGCTTCTCGTCCGACGTCGGCCCCAATACTTTTGTTTCTCGCTTCGCCGTTGACCGTCACGCCCATCGTTCCACCCATTCAAGCATGCCACAACTGCAAAGTCCAGTCTCACGCGCATCCCTACGTTACCAACTTCTAGCTTTCGAACCCGTTCGTCCGCTCTCTTTTCTCAAGCCTTCTTTCTCGTCTCTCCAACTATTTCCTCAGATATTCGTCTCTCATCTGTCGTACCCATTCGACTGCTGTGCCAGTTTGTCATCACGTCTCTCGTACCTACATCTCCCTGCTTGCATCTCTGTACCATAACAGCGGCAGCTAAAAGATGTGTCGATACGTTCCTCTATCCTATCTAGCTACTAGTACGTAGGGACTGGAGCTGGTCGACCGTCCGAATTATTCGTATCCTATCATAGATCAAACGAATGCATGATCCCGCATTCGCAGACACACGCGTACCCCCCTTTGACGGTCCAATCCAAACGTCGCTCAAGGTGACTCCTCAAACCGCGAGCAGTCTGGGCCTTTCCTGGGAGAATGGCGGTCTCGGGGCCTGTTGTTCGTGTCGCCCCTAATTGGCCGCGTATGCACATCAAACCGAGCATTGTTCATAACGATAGCTTTATGTGTATGGACGAGGGTATACTGAAATGAGCTATGCATTGATGCAGAGGGTGCGGAAGTATTGTACTACAGACTTGTGTCCATGGGCGAGGCGGAACGCGCGAGCCAAAAAAAAATGTGTATCGTCACATCAGATACCGCACCTCAGACGGAGTCGCGCATGAAATCCCTCGCGGCCCTACAGCACGATCCATGGTATCTCAAATAGCACAAAGTCGAAGTACTCCTGCTCCAGCAGATTCGCGTACTCGCCACCGAATTCGTCTCCTTGCGCGGAGCCCCCGGACTTTCCCTTGGCTTTGTCTGGGTTTGCGCGCTGTCCGAGGTAGGTAAACTGCTGCTGCAATATCGACAGCGTCCGCTTAGTCGCCTTCGGTTCGGGCTGGACAGGTCGGTGAGTGTGCGCGCGCGATACATTGCAGTGCTCAGGCACCAACCTTGATGAAGTAGCCGGTGTAATGCGCGGGGAGACCGTACCTCAGAACGCTCTCAATGAACAACTGGATGACCTTCAGGTGGACAAGGATCTGGAACGATTCTGAGAAGTTCGTCCGTGATAGTTGAAGAAGTTCCGTCTGGCATAAGAGGCTTTCAGCCGACGTTCCGATACGGATGACACATTCGTGGACGTACCCAAAGCTCCTTCTCTGTCGTATCCGCAACTTGCAGGTCTTCTCTTTGTTTAGCAATCGCCTCTTCTGAGAACGTGAAATCACGGATGATGAACCTGGTGACAGGCAGACGACAAGGTGTGCTCAGTATCAAATCCCCCAAGGCCTCTAGAGTGCTCGTACTTGTTGTCACGGCATTTCTGCGCGAAGTCATCATGTACGCGCTTAAAGATGACAACTGAAAAGAGACTGTACTCGTCATCGGAAGCGATTAGCCTAGCAGCACGGAGGTTAGCTGATTATCTGGGAGCCGAATGGGTAGACTAAACTCACGTGGAGGATCGGGGAACAACCATGGCGGTAAGGCGTTCATATTTCGTGTTCCAGTCCTTCACTAAGTTCCTGTTGATAGCTGTCTAAACATGCTACATGTCTGGTCGACGCCAGCTGGCTGAAGAACGGGACCTACTTTGGTACAGCGATGATAAGTGTTTGAAGGTAATCCGAGTCGTTGATGAAGTGTTCCTGGTGAACGATATCCACAAGGGAGCGTACTGATAGGTTTCCCCTGAAGCGATATGAGACAAGGGTGTGTATGGTGTATATCCATGATCACTTACGTCTTCTTCCGCTGCATCTGCGTAAGTTGACCCTTTGCAAGGTTGTAGTTGTTCAACTTACTCTTCATAACATTGTCAATGGATGTCATCTCCTATAAGCGAGTAGAACGTCTGAGCAGACGGCTGATTCATGGCGTGCAGGGTACCGGACCTTGTTCAAAACGTCGATCATCTCTCGGAGCGACCGTTGCGTTCCATAGCGTCCCTCGTTCCACGACCATCCGCGGAGAAGATATGAGTCCACAGGTTGTTCGTTGACCAGTATATGCTGCGCGAGCTTAGACGGGTCGTTGTTCAGAAGATTCCGGAGGGTGTCCACCGTCTTGGCGACGGTAGCCGTGAAGAAGGTGTCGGTCTTCGGAAGCTCCTCAGACAAACTGACAAGAGATTCGAGGGTCCCTGTCTTTATCCAATTGAATCAGTTCCATTGTTGTCACAGGGATATCTTGGATGACGATTGACCTTGAACGACGGGATGGAGAGCTGCGCGAGGTTGGACGGGAGAACGGACTTTGAGCTTCCGGTGAGTTTAGTCGTCAGCTCGTGGTGGAGGCCCTCGGCATCGCCGGTCTCAGGGATGGAGATTAGCCAGGTACTCTGATCAGAGGGCATCGTGCAAGCAGGCTGATAGGTGCGAACAAGAGCGAGCACAATGTCGGGGACGGCGAGAGAGCCCAGTCCGCCGGCGTCAACCACTAAGTAGCATTTGAGCCCATGATGGCATGGCAGCGTAGGGTTAGGGTCAGTCACGTACTGACTTCAACGTGTCCGACGCTTCGCCGGTAGGACGTTACCTTGTCCCCACATGTACGCTCGAGCCTTCGGTCGACATATTATCTCTTGTTCAAGCCGTGGTCCAAGATCCTATGCCACCATGTTCGGCGACCATTGCCCCCTAGTCGTTACCCCCGCTCAGCTACACAATCTCCAGGCTGAGAACAAATCCGCGTCCCAGGATCTGATCGTGCTCGACGCGTCATGGCACATGCCCACCTCCCCCCGCAAAGGCGATCAAGAGTATCTTGCTGCCCATATTCCCTCTGCGAGGTTCCTTGACATAGATCGCGTCGCGTCCCCTCACCTACTGAACCTCGCGCATATGATGCCCGACCCCCAGACGTTTGTGGCCGCTTGCTGTAAGAAGAAGCTCATTGGAGATGGATGCTTCGTCAATATATCTGAAAGAGCTGTCCAGCAAAACTAGGCATCGCCCCTTCTACTCATGTTGTCATGTGAGTTTGCCGCATGAGATGGAGATTGGTTTGAGTATGTTGTCTAATGCGCCTTGGTCAGCTACGACTCGCATGGCGTGTTCTCTTCACCAAGGGCACTGTACATGTTCCGCACCTTTGGCCACAACAGGTCGAGCATTCTGGACGGTGGACTTCCCGGCTGGCTAGCCCACGGTGGCAACATTGAACAAGGGGAACCGAAAGTCGTTCCTCACTCGAAATACGCTGCCCCTACGCTCAACCAGGAAGCGGTGAAGGGTAATGCAATTCATTGTAACACAGGCGCGGTCTCGGCGGTTTGACAGCATTCCAGATTATGAGCAGATGGTAGCGAATGCGGAACTCGATCCTTCTCACAGCCCGGACGCGTACTATGTCCTCGACGCCCGTTCCAAAGGCCGGTAAGTCGACCATCCGGACATAAGCATTCGAAACCTCCGCGTTGGAGCTGACTTAATACTGCTCAGCTTCCTCGGTACTGATCCCGAACCGCGGCCTGGGCTGTCTTCAGGACACATCCCGCACTCCATTTCTCTCCCGTTCAACACTTTCCTGGAGACCCACGCTGTGCCAGAGGACATAGCTTCCAACATTATCAACAACATATCACTCAAGCTTCTACCCACGTATACCCGCCTGCGTTCCACGCAAGGCATGCTTTTCGCTCTCGAGGAATCGCTTGGGCACGAACGTGCCAAAGAAGTCCTGGAGGGTAAGCGTCAGGTGGTCGCCAGTTGCGGGAGCGGCATGACTGCGGGAGTCATCTGGCTAGGACTCAAGTTGCTCGGTGTAGAGCGTGTCGGGATTTATGATGAAGTAAGATCTCGCCTCAATTGGAGGAGTTGCTTTACTGATTGCTTCTGTCAGTCCTGGACTGGCTATGCGATGCGACCTGGGAGCAAGATCGTCAAAGGAGAGTAGAAGACTACGTAGCGTAGGCATGAGATCTGATCGTGACTGTCAATACGCCGCTACTGCCGTATCAGACTCTTCTCGTGGGGCTGTAAGGTGGGCCCCTACCTCCAGTCTGAGATATAATCATGTTCAGACTCGTACACGCAAAGCCATCCGTGTCGTGCGGTCAAGTGTGTCTACATGTTGATTGTACAAAAGGTCCTACACGGCTGCTAACCATATCCCAATGTGCATAGAAGCGCCCTCGTTGTCTACCTCGATGAAGGCATCGCGGATCTATGGTCTACCTGGTCGGTCATCCAGCATTGTCAAGAAGGGGGGCGTCTGTGCTCGCGGGACCGTCCCCTGTACGCAGGCAGGCCGTCCCCAGTAGCGGACCTCAGCGCGCTCTTGCTTGCCTCGACGTAGATGTGTGACTTTCCAACTGACATGGCCATGAGATACGAGCGTATGGTCTGAGAAGGGCAACGTACCCCTCCGTCAAGAAGACATTGTATCCCTTTTCTGCGGCATCTTCCATGAGTGTTTGTCGCGCGAAGACTACGGCGTCCTTCAGATTCGAGGCCTTCTTCAGCTCGAAGTCGTAGACGCCACTCATGGTCGCGTCATAAACTTTGACGACGTTAAGATCTGTGCCATGCATAGATGACAATTTCCAGCGTCGGCATACCAACCCTAGTACGAGTGGGAGTACGCACCTTCTTGCTCCTCTTCCGTGAATATGGGGACAGTGTCCACCGCTTGTTGATCAACGACTTCCCAAGGCTGGACATTGCGGTGGAAGAATTTCATGCTCGTCGACGAAGATTGGAGTACGTGGGGGATATCCACGTGCGGCCGAGTGCACGAGAAGGTAAGGTTGTGAGGTTGAAGGCTGCGAGTCAAGCGAAGTCGATTGCAGCCAGGCACAGGCACGAGACGAGTATAGAACGCGCTTTAGCCTATAACCGGAGGGAGTGAAATCACCGTTGGAGCTGTTGTAGAGGGCTAGAATACGAGATGCGCGAGTATATGGGGAGATTTGAAGCGAGGGAAAGGCATTGAGTCGAGGAGAGTTAAGTACTTATTGCGGCTGTGCCCAAGAGAACGGAGTGCATCGGTAGTTTCGCCCTGTCCAGCGCGTTCGATCGCAAGCGTACGCAACTGCAGCTGGTATCGGCGCGCAGCTGTCCCCCTTACGTGTCCATGTGGCGGCTGTGCGATTCGGAACGGAGTGTGGACCCCTGAACAAGCCGCCGTAGTCAGTCCTGGAGTGAATCGCCTCGCCCGCGTACCGCGTAAGCATGTCTGTCAAAGTCGTCTTGTTATCGGGGCGCTGGGCGGATACGCTGTGGCGTCCCTCTGCTCTGAACGCGCATAAGCAGCGGCGTGCAACGGATGCATGGCCCAGAAAAGAACACAGAGGCGGCCGGGGTGCTCAGTTGCGATTGCGACATCCAATGTTCGACGGGGATGTGGATCGCAGAAATCGGATTGCCGACTGCCTGATTGGAGGTGCGCCTGGCGTTGAATAGAGCTGTATAATCACATGCGATTAACTTCGGATGTAGAGCCGCCCGGCTTCGTCGGGCCCTCCGTCGGACGCGCCTCTCTCTGTGAACTGCAAGTGCATGGTCCCCTCGGTTCTCCACGGAGTCGGTTCTCGACTGTCCCGAGGGACAGCACAAATGTCCATCGTAGCATATCATATTCGCTCTCATATTGTGGCCCATCGCTCCGACCAGTCCCATACACAATGGGGATCCAACCTGACTCGATCAGAACAGCCAAACATAAGTACTAATGATGGGTCTGGCTTGCTGTGCAGCAACCTTTTTATGGCACCCATCATTGTGATGCTGCGCTTTGCATACCGCCGGCTTCGGAGGAGTGACCCGCTGTGACCGTCAGGCATCAGAGGGAGGTCACGGCATGGGGCTGTAAACGCCCGTAGAATTGATCGGCTGTGCAAAGCGGCGCGGTAAACCATCCCTCGGCGGCCTCCAGCGAGATTCGAGGCCTCGGCCTCGATTTTCATGAAGAATTTGGGTAGTTAAGCTCCAAACGGCGGACTTTTCCATTGTTGTGCAGCTCAGTCGAGAACAAGATGGAAGAGGTAGATCGGAGCAGAGGTGCCTAAGTTCGCAGAAGAACCACTCCGATCGCATACACAGACGTGGGCTTGATCGTATAGTATCATCTACGCCCTTACTGTGTCAGCCTGTCGGGTCGAGAAAACCTCACGCTCGACGATCCTCTAGGCTGTCAGCATGGGATCCAAGCAGGTATAGTGATATGTGCACGTGGTCATGGTTGTGCCACATCCGGTGCCGTTAGTACATGGTATCGGGTTATACTAATGTACGACACGTCATTCCACAAATTTACTACACAAGATATCCAAGATAACATCCAGCTTCCGCTCAGAGCAAAGCGGCAACAACAGCAACGACACTCGCGAGGCTCGAAGCACCGATGGCAACATTCCTGAGGGCGCCGTTGCTGCCAGCGGAAGTGCTAGTGGAAGACGGGCTAGAGCTCGAAGGCGAGGTTGCCGTGGCCTCGACGGTGGTGGATACGGGCGTCGCTACCGAGTTCGTCGCGTTCTTGCAGGCGACAGAGGACGGGATTGTAGCGCTGTCCGAGAGAGTAAGGTCCGCACACTGATTGAGAGAAGTTGGTCAGACACCGGACACAACGTAGCGCCTTGAGATGCAAGTACCTGGTAGAGCTGGCCATCACCGCCGTCAAAAATCAGCTGGAGAGTGACATTTGCACCGTCCTTTACGCCGCTAATGCCGGAGGACGCAAGGTCGATGTTGATGCAGAATGCGCCTTCGCCCGTGGTCTCGAAGAACGGCAGGAACTGCTGGAAGTTACCGTTGCTGTCGTGGAACAGGTTGAAATTGTTCGGGTCCTGCACGGTGGCAATTATACCACCCACTGCAATGGGACGTTAGCCTGTAAGGTAGCCGGTAAACTATGAGCGTACTCACGAGTCCACTGCGGGTGCTCCGAGTTAAGGGAGATGATACCCTTAGAGGTAGGGAAGGACGTGCGATTTGAAACGGCGTCAACGTAACCGTCTACATAAAATTAGTATACAATGAGAATTTGATCATATAAGAAGCGTGAGAGCAGACGGACCGCAGAAATGAGGCTCCTGGTCTTCGACGAATTCACCACGAGGAGGGGGATACTGGAGCTGGAAATGGGCCGATACGACGGTCAAAAGACCGGCCATAAACGTAAAAGTCGTGAGACGCATTCCGGACGTTGGAGACGTATGAGATGGGCGACAAAGTATTCGTGGAATGGGGGTGGGGAATGGAGGGACGAGGAGTCCCGTCTTTTAATGGCTGGGTCCGAGTCGGATAGGCGAGATTCCTTGAGCGCTTGCACAGATTAAAAAGTTTTTTCTCCTGTGTTTGCGCGAGCAACCGCTCATCCCATGTAGCTGTGTGCCTGTGTCCTATGCGACACGCAATTGCTCAATAATCATGAAACGTTCGTGGTGACGCCACCCTTCCGGTCATCTGAGCTTGACAAACACAATTATCCCGCGCAATGTCACTTCGGAATGAGCAGCGGGTGACATTAACTCTCTGTTACCGTTCACGCATACCGTCTCGCATGTAATCAAAGTACACAAGTTAGCTAAAACAGAGCTCTCCCTCTAATGATGACCAGGGTGGCTCCTAGAACCAAAGCGCCCGAAGAGTACCTCCCCAATCGCTAACCCGACAACGATCGAAATGAGATATCCCGCTTGGAAGGTCCTGAAAGAAAAATCTTTTTCAGCACACAGCCATCAGCGCTAGACCTTTCGGGGACGCACATGACCGCCAGCATCAGGACATAAAAGAGCAGAGCCTGGAACGCGAACAGCGCACCGCGTGGGACGTCGTGAGAAGGAATGAAGGGTGGGATCATTCGAGAGGACCGTTGGGGACGGCGGGCAGCCTTGGTTGCCAGGGGGTTGACCTCCACCTCTTCCACGCCATCCAACATCGCCGACTTCGAATCAGGGGAGTTGGAGGGGTTTTGGAAGGAGGGATCGGAAGAGTGGCACTCGTCCCTTGATGCAGGGGACGACATGGCTGCTAAGGCTCTGGGCACAGCGGCATGGATCGCATCAACATAAAGCCATGTGTGCAGGGAACGAGGGACGCACTGTTTCTTCCACTGGGCCTCCAACACCCCTCGCATTCCGTTTACCCATCGTTCAAATATGGCGAAGAGGAGTAGACCAATACAAGCGCCAGCGATAGCCCCCTTCGAGGAGGGCTGCCAAGCCTCGAAGAGCAACTTATCGCCGCTTGTGAAGTGAAGCCAAGGAATCATTGTGTCCATGACTGCAGAATTTGATAAAGACAGATCGATTGCGGAGAGGTATCGTCGTCGGCAGCAGGTTGGGCTGATCGGTTGTGGTGGGGATCGATGAAGTCCGTTTTCGGTGCACTGTGAGCGAACGAGAACCCGGGCATTGCCGGTCGCAGCCAAACACGGACAAACATCCGCTGCGACGCGTGGGTGTGGCGACGAGAAACAAGCCCAACTATGGATGTTGTTCGTACGGGCGTAGGCATGTACCAGTAGATTCATCACCGATGGACATGGGTGAGTCAGCGATCGGTAGAACTAGGGTGAACAGATAGCCACGTACGGGTTGTCAAAGCTGGGCGGACGGTGAATGGCTGGGGAAGCTGAGTGATCTTGCTACCCTACGAAGTCCAATCCATTCGCTAATGCTAAAGCATACGGGACGCACCTTGATGGGGACAGATTCGGAGAACTGCGCTCGCACGTCCCACACAGTCTGATGTTGACTGGTCACGCACCTAGCATAAAGTCCTCTAACTGGACAACTCCACGATCGCCAGCTTCCAGACCAAGGTGAAGTTGAGCGAAGGAAGACGAATGAGCAGATGTGACTGAGCGAGACTGCAAGATGTGCCGATGAATCGCAGCCAACGATTGGTTATCGGCGACCCGAACGAGCTTGTTGAGAACTACGCTCCCACTCGTTCGGCCAGGGACAGGAGATATGCATGAGAACAGCAGACGAGGGACCGAAGCAGGATGAAGAGGGAGGCGAAACCAAGAGAGGAGAGGAACAACCGAGGGGGGGACTACAGAGGTGACGGTTGAGAGGAGAGAGGCAGGGATGAGGGAGATTCGCTGAGGCAATTGTGCCCAGCCAATGGCAAAATGCCGCGGCCGAGACTCCTCAAACGCCCTGTCATGTGATGCTGTTAGGCACGACTTGGGGCGCCTATATGACCTGTCGCAATCAAGTCGTGACTTCACCAGTTCCCAATAGGATCGTCTACTTTAGTACTTACCTCGGGCTGGCTCTCATCCGCTCTTTCAAGAAGCTCCTTCTAACGACGATCTGAACCTCGTCGGACCTCCACATGTTGCGTGCAGCCCTCACTCGATCGGCCGTGCGGGTCGCCTCCCATGTCAGACCTCCTACACCCTCTACTCGTATTGCTCTGCAGCACATCCGGTGTGAATCATCCAACGCTTCGGACGAGCGGCGGAAACGACTGGAAGCAGCTGATAACTTGCGGCGTGACTGGGACGCCAAGGTCATCACTTACGAGGAATTGAAACCGAAGACGACACAGCCGAGTCCTGTACGTACCTGACCTCCTGTGCCGTAGGACCGCCATCTAAACGAATACAGGACAAATACTTGATTGACGTCCGGGAACCTGATGAGGTCCTGCAAGGCTCGATCCCCTCCGCCGTTAACCTCCCGCTTTCTCAGCTCGCTACTGCGCTTCATCTGCCTCCCGAGCAGTTCAAGGAGAAGTACGGGTTTGAGAAGCCACGACCCAACCAGGAGGTCACGTTCTACTGTAGAAGTGGAGTGCGCTCAACGTCTGCGTCCGACGTTGCTAAGAGGAATGGGTACACAAAGTATGCATCCCGCTCTTGCTTTTCCATGCCGCACCTGACACCTCGATTCCAGTATCCTTAACTACAAGGGTTCCTGGCTGGAATGGACCGAGCGCGAAGGGACGAAGCCTGCAGCTTAGATCATGTTGACCTCCCCAATGTATCTACATCACTGAGCGTCCACACATATGCCATCCGTGTCACACATGTCATTTTGCGACATATTGGTCTATAATGATGTCGACATTGTAACCCTAACCTCTGTTCAAATCACTGGTTGCGTCACATCCCGGCGGAGACTGCGCGACCCTCTTGCCGTCTGACCGTCCACCCTCTCCTCGCCGCGCTTTGCTATACAATTGCAAGTCTCCAGTGTTATATATATCTAGGTTGCAAGGCTAGCAACATGAATCTTCGACAAGTCTTCAAAGTCTCTGCGCGGCCAGTGTCTGCCCTCAGATGTGCGTCGCGCCTCAGCGCGTCCCGCCCTCTACACGTCCTGTCCCAGCTTTCGCGCACACGAATACCACCGCCCTCATGCCCGCGAAGACATTATGCTACGCCGCCACCGCAGGTGAAGCACAGGTCCGCTCGCACCGAAAGCAATTCTGCGGCATGATGTCGAAGATAGCTGATGTGCTTCCCATGTGCGCAGCGACCTTCCCGTCAACCTGTATCACCAATATTCCGATGCGACCATGGAGAAGATGCTAGAATCGTTGGAAAACCTACTAGACGAAGCAGGAGATCCAGAATACGAGGTTGACTATGGGGTGCGTGGCTCTGCTCTGCTCATCGCATGTGTACGGTCCCCTGACCGCAGTCCAACAGAGCGGTGTTCTAACCCTGAAGTTGGGCAGCCATGGAACATACGTTATCAACAAGCAGCCGCCAAATAAACAGATATGGCTGTCATCCCCCTTCAGGTGCGCCGTCTTAGTTCGATTCGGATGAACGAACTGTCCCGAGCGCTGATACCTGCCCCCAGCGGTCCTAAACGGTATGATTATGTACCCGAACGGGACGATTGGGTGTATGCGCGAGATGGCCGGTCCTTAAGCGAACTTCTCAACCAGGAACTGAGCGATGTCTTTGAGCGAGAAGTGGATCTAGGTTTGGCAGAAGTCTCGACACAAGTCAGCTGAAGGCGGCGGAACTATGCCGCAAACACCTATGCTGGGATGATATAGCCGACCCTAGGGTATGCTATGGTATGCTTCCCTGGCATTCGTGCAAACCATCTAGCAGTGCCCTGGGAAGCATTGTGATATGCTATATCTAGAGGGTTCTCGAAGTGGATGGATATGCGTAGTAACATGTAATCAGAGCCAGCATGATAGTAGTGGAGATTGCGTATTATACAAGGATGGAGGACGATGCGCTGCGATGCGGAACGAACAGTAACGATGCAAGCAATGATATGCCACGAAGGACGTGAGGCAAGGAAACACAGGTTCATTTGATGCGGATGTGCGATGCGATGCGATGCGGAGAAAGGGGAAAGTGATTACGAACACGGGGACGGAAGGTCGGCAGGAACACTACGGGGGAATTAGTATCGGTTTTGTGTGTCTTGGCCGTTGTGCTGCTTCCTGCGGCTAAGGAACAGGGCTCCGAGGTACCTGATAGGGCAGGGGATAAGCTTGAGCAGGGATCATCCAAATCCATGGGAGACATACCTGTTTGTGTCCTCGTATTGCTGGGTCACGCGTTGTACCTCGATGTGATCGACCACAGAAGTATCCTTGGAAGGGGTTGATATGGTAAATGGGGCCGAGGGCCTGTGCACCTCGTGGGGCGGTGCGAGCAGCGTTCCTTGGGCGGAAACAGTGGGAGCCACTTTGTTAGGGGCAGAGGGGAGCGAGTGCCCGAAATCGGGGTGGGGATGTATCGGCGAAGCCAGAGGGATATGCGACGGCGGCGAGGTAGAGGAAAAGAGTACGCGATGCCGCTGCTCTGCGTGCAGGTCGTGCAAGAGGCTATTGACGTACTTGTACGCGCCTGCGTGCGCGAGCCGTTGGGCGTGCTCCGACGGCGCTGAGCGCGCCGCGACGGTCTGCTCGTCACCCTCGACATCCTCTTCCTCGTCGCTATCCCCGCCTCTCCACGGTGCTTTGCCCTTGTCCGTAGCCTGAAATTGTGGTGGCTCAAACTGTCGCCTCCGCTTCGCTACTCTCTCGGACATGTCGAACGCGGGCTCCTGTGGGAAGTAGGCGTCGGGGACGAAGGAGGGAGTGGACCTTTGGCGTTTCAGCATGATTGAGTGCGCAAGTGTGTGTTATATGGATGGATGGCACAGCAAGAGAGCTGGGGACTTGTAGGAGGCTCGATGATAGCTAACCACGCAAGGTCCTGCAGCTGGTGGCTGTTGTTCCTAGGCAGCGCGGCGTCAAAACCTCGCTCAAATGAGACGCGTCCCGGTAAAACGCGGTCTACGTAAGCGTGCAAGCGCCCGTTGGCGCAGACCCTCAATGAGTGGTGTGGCCTTGCCCAGGACTTTCTCATTCTACTCAACATCGCCTATCGCTCTCTTCGTGTGCTCTTGGCTCCCTTTACAGGCTCATAATGTCGGATTTGGACGTCTTTGCTGCTATGGGCATCGCCGGATTTGGCAAGAAGACGAAGCAGCGTCAACTTGATCCCAACCGGTTCGAGAAGAACAAGAGGGGAGATACGGTGAGAGGCATCACTCAGGCAACTGGCTCCTCAATGTTCAATGAATAATCTTAGGGAGCCCCTTCGATCTCTACCGCCGCGGCTGTGAAGTCAGAGGACAGCGCTGTTCCGGGACCCAGCTCCCCTTCAGCCACTCCGCAAGCAAAGTCAGACGAGCCCGAGTTTGACCCAGATGAGGTTGGGCCCCCTCCTCCGCCCAAGGCGGATGGCAACGCAGAGGAAGAGCCCGAGTTTGATGTATCCGACGACGAGCCTGAGGAGGCGCAGTTTCCCATCTCGCATGAAATCCTCCTCAAGGACCACACGAAGGTCGTCTCCGCCCTGACCATGGACCCCTCTGGTGCGCGAGTGTTGTCTGGGTCCCATGACTACGACTGTAAGCTGTGGGACTTTGGTGGAATGGACTGGAGGTGTAAGCCGTTCAAGACTTGGGAACCTGCTGGCTCTTACTATGTGCGCGCCCCTTCTAGCTCGTCCAGTGCAATGGGGAGGTTGACCTCTTGGCCGTGGCGTTCTACAGATACATGATGTGAAGTTCTCGAACGATGGGCAGCAGTTCTTGGTCATCTCTGGGACGACGCAGGCGAAGCTTTATGACCGGGACGGCGAAGAACTGTGAGTGGATCCGTACCTGTTTTCACGAGCGGACAGTCTGACCTGACTGGCAGGGCCACCTTCATTAAGGGCGATCAATACATTCGTGACATGAAGAACACTGCGTACGTATACAGAAATGCACTCGGCTTACTCGAATCTCATACGTGGCTTGATGTTCAGCGGACACGTCGCAGAATTGACGTCTTGCGCGTGGCATCCGAAGGATTCTCAGACGTTCATTACTGGTTCCTTCGATTCAACGATACGGTGCGTTTTCTGCCTTGTGTTCCCGCGAAGCATCGCAGTACTTACGTAAATGTAGTATCTGGGACGTCGAGAACAAGCGGAAGCAGAAGACGGTGATTGTCGTTAAATCGAAGGAGAGAGGTGCGCGCACAAAGGTGAATGCGTGTGCGTACTCTCCCGACGGCGGCCTAATAGGTGGTGGTGCGTTTTTCGTGACTCGTATGACTCGTGTGAGCGGCGTCGCTGATCGCTTCGATGCAGCCTGCTTTGACGGAGCGCTGCACATGTGGCAGACCAAATCTAACTTTGTGCGTCCGAGCATGACAATCGAAGGCGCGCATGCCAAAGGCTCTGAGACGGGCTCCCTTGTTTTCTCTGTTGACGGTCGGACTGTTCTTACTCGTGGTGGAGACGATACTGTGAAACGTAAGTCTTCTGTCGGCCGTTCTCGACATGTCAGGTTAACGTCATGAAAAGTATGGGATCTGCGATCGTTCAAGAAGCCCCTTGTTGTGCGCTCTGGCCTTGCGACGCTGTATCCGAACACAAATGCCATCTTCAGTCCAGACAACAAGTATGTCGTTACCGGGGCAGGTGCGGCGACGAAGGGTGGCAAGGGCCATTTGCTGTTCATGCAAAAGGACACTCTTGAGACAGTCAAGGACCTTGAAGTTGATACGACGCCTGTCAAAGTGTTTTGGCACTCAAAGATCAACCAGGTATGATGGTCCAGAATGGCTCCGTTGATTGCGGCTCATTGAGAATCATAGATCGTCACGGGTTTGTCAAGCGGGCAAATATGCGTTTTGTATTCGCCGGATATGTCGGCCAACGGCGCGAAGCTCCTTCTCAACAAAGGACCACCAAGGAAGGCCACGATCGAGGACATGTCGGACGCCGTGGCAGCGCCTACTATCATCACGCCACACGCTTTGCCTATGTTCCGCGACAGCGAGGTCGGTCGCAGCACAAAACGCAAGCGGGAGAAGGAGCGTATGGACCCCAGGAAAAGTCGGAGACCGGAGCTGCCTGTCACTGGCCCTGGCCGCGGAGGACGTGTTGGGGCAAGCGCGACGCAGCACGTCGTGCAGAACCTGGTCCGAGACACGACGAGAGACGAAGACGTACGTGCACCGGCTGTCTTGTTCTGTTCCTTCTCGGTCTTCTGCGGCATCTTCCGGGGCATCACCGGCTTCCCTCGTCTAACATCAGTGGTTATGCTTCATCTATCTATCGGATACAGCTGTCAGAAGGGCTTCCACCTGTTGGAACAGGCTCGAGGACGCGCTCGTGGTCGTGCTCATCGAGCCGCACGTTGAGAAAGAGCATATCGCGAGACGGATGGGACTATCGGGCCTCTGGAAGGATCCAATCAGATCCGCTTTGGTGGTTGCCGTTGTGACACGCCGAATGCGCGTTGCCCTCCGGAACAGGCCCCGGTGATCCAAATCTGGCCCAGTCTCCCTTGTCGCCTTCCCATCTTCCTCTCCCCCGCGATGTTCTCCGTCCTCCTGCCTGCGCTGAAAGCCTAGACGTGCTGACAATCGATTTCCTTTGCCAGCCACGTGAGGCGCTGCTCAAGCTGGCCGCGACCGCCGACGAGAATCCGGTTTGGACCGCAGGTGAGTGCGAAAATTTCAACCCTGATGGGGCTGGCTGCGTTTGCTCCTGTTTGGCCTCGGGCTGTGATTGCTGACGTGTGAATGCAAAATTCGAACTCAGCTTGGCGCGCGAACCAGCCAAAGCCTGTCTTCGCCCCCACCGAGGAAGGGCAGGAGGAGGGCGAAAAGGACTAAGGCGATGGCGAGGGGTTGGAGGAGGACGAAGAGAACGTCGAGGGGTCAAAGGGAGGGAAGGGAGGGAGGGAGAGCGGGATAGGGAGGAAATTGAGGATGGAGGGGCTCGAACCTTATTTCGTTGAGCGTATAAAGACCTCTAGCCCAACTTCGGAGCTCTTGTCTCCCCAAATCTCACCTGGCTCTCTTTGCCCTCCCGTCACACCTGCGTGACTGTCACGCGCCTCCCGGTCCCATACGATGCACGACGCGCTCTCCTCCGCCCTCAACGGCGCCCATACCGACTCGGTCTCTGCCCCGGACTCCCCTGCAGTCGACTCAGTCGCCACACCCATCAACAACTCACTTGTTCCCGACGTCAAGATCGACGTCGATTACACCGAGCAGGAGAGTGACGCGCGCCACGAACCTGCTCCCCTAAAGCTGGATAAGTTGGAGAACGCGTCTATTGTTCCTCAGCTGGGCACGCCAGTAGATCCTGGTACGTGTATCGCGCGATTCGACGCGTCGTCCTCGCCTGACGCGCGTCAAGACACTATCCCTATCGCCCCTCCCCACGGTACCCCTCCTCCACCGCCGGGCGAGCTCTTAGACGATGTAAAGATGGCTGAACAAAACCCGCCAGTTCCTGGCGGGGACGTGGAGATGTCGGAGTCGAGTGGCAAGGTCAACGGTCTTCCCAACGGACAAACGCACGAGTCGCCCGTTGCGACTCCGGTCTCACCTTCAGTACCCGCTGTTACATCATCGAGTGAAACTGCTGTCGACTCACATCTCGCATCATCTCCATACGCTAATAATACGAATGCTAATGAGGATGATGATCATGACAATAAACCCCCGCCCGCTAAGAGAGCTCGGAAGTACTCGGATGCAGAGAGAGCGTCGCTCGCCAATGTAAGCACATCTCTCCACTGTGCGCCATGCTGGGCGTACTAATCAGTGTTTTCTCATCACATTCTGAAGACCGGTACTCCACCTCCAGCCTCTGTCTCGCCTCCTCCAACCGCTTACCCTCCTGCGGAGCCTGCTGGACCCTCTACCCTTTCTGTCGCCCAATGGCGCTTCTCATCATCCACGGTTCGTACACTGAAGAAGATGAAGGATGCCGGCCCCTTCCTTAACCCCGTCGATCCCGTTGCTCTCGGCATCCCTCATTACCCCCAAGTCATCAAGCGTCCTATGGACTTCTCCACCATCGAGCGCAAGCTTGCCGCCTCCAACCCTGCAAAACCTGATCCGAATCCCTCCAATCCCCGCTACCACCACGCTGAGCAGTTTGTTCAGGACGTCCGTCTGATCTTCACAAACTGTGTCACGTTCAACGGCCCGGACCATCCAGTGACACAGATGGGGAAGCGGGTAGAGGCAGTTTTCGACAAGCAGATCAAGCAGATGCCTCCTCCAGAAGAGGTAAGCTTCTAACCTATTCTCGCAACTGTGCCAGCGTCTCACTCGTCGCAGCCCAAGGCCCCTACGCCGAAGAAAGTCGCATCCCCTCCCCCGCCTCCTGCACCGGTTAAGAAGCAGGCACGGCGACCATCTGCGCCTGTGGCTCCCGTCATTCGGCGGAATGAGGAGGCGGTCGTTAGTGCTGGGCGTCCGAAGCGCGAGATACATCCTCCTCCCCCTAAGGATCTGCCGTACGCTGACGCGCCCCGCAAGTCGCGGAAGACCAAGGGGCCTAAGAATGCGATCGTAGCCGAGCAGATGAAGTTCTGTGAGAAGATTTTGAAGGACTTGCATCAAAAGCAGCACTACCAGATCGCGCATCCGTTTTACGAGCCAGTCGGTCAGTTTAGTTCCTTCAGAACGTCAACCTGAGTATGTTTGCTGAGTCGACGTCGCCAGACCCCATCAAGATGGGTATTCCCGAGTACCCGAAGATAGTCAAGAAGCCCATGGACCTCTCCACCATGAAGAGGAAATTGGATACGGGCGATTACCCGACGCCTGAGAAGTTCCGCGACGACTTCAGGCTCATGGTCAAGAACTGCATGACGTTCAACCCACCCGGTAATCCCGTACACGAGGCGGGCAAGTCGCTCCAGAACCTTTTCGATGAGAAGTGGAAGAACTTGCCCATTCCCCGCTCTCACGATCTCAGCGACGATGAGGATGAAGAGGATGAGTATGAGTCGGACGATGAGCGTGCTCGTACGTGCCTCGTTCTCCTTGTAGTCTGATCTGACACTGAGCCCATAGGACACGTAGGCATGGAGGGCATGATCGCGGACATGGAGAGCCAGATCGCCAGCATGAAGAACAACCTTGCCGCGCTCAAGAGGAATGGCAAGGAGAAGGAGAAGAAGAAGGAGAAGCGCGAGAAGCCAACTCCTCCCGTTGCGTCAACATCCAAGTCCGCGCCCAAGCACTCGAAGGCTCCTCTCCAGAAGAGCAAGAAGGGGAAGAAGCCCGTCACCGACGACGATGTCCTCACGTTCGAGCAGAAGAAGGATCTCAGCGATACCATCAGTAAGCTCGATGGAGCGAAGCTCGAGAAGGTCATCCAGATTATTCATGATGGTGTGCCCGAGATACGCGACGTACGTTCACGCTCCAATTGCACGACTAAAACCAAAGGCTGACCGTATTCCAGAGCACGGAGGAGATCGAGCTCGAGATCGATCAGCTACCTGCGGCCGTGTTGACGAAGTTGTACAACTTCGTCATCAGGCCAATGAAGCCTCCAGTCAAGCGTCCTCGCACAGGCAAGGGTACGGGCACTGGCGGGCTGAAGCGCAAGAGCATGGACGAGGACGTCGAGACGAAGAAGATTCGGGCGCTCGAGGAGAAGCTCAAGTCGTTCGAGCAGGGCGGCCGCACGTCAGGTGGTACCACCAACGGTGCAGCCGCCGGCGACATGAGCGAGCACTCTTCGGCAGAGTCGAGCTCAGACGAGAGCTCGGCCAGCGACTCGGAGTAAGCTGTATGTAGTTGATCTCTTTTCTGTCGTATGGACCCGTCGATACCTGTCGTCATAACTTCGTCCTTGCCGTATCGCCAACCCCTCCTCCTGCTCGGTGGTCTCGTTGTTTGGGTAACTGGCTGTTGTTGCGCTCACGTTTGTCGTCAACTTATACTCTTGCCGCTCCTCGTACATATCAAAATTACAGAACTCATCCTTGTAACTAGTTAGTACTATACGTTCATATTCCATATCTTTCGATATCCACTTGAGAAGTCGCACGATTGTGGGCAATGCGGTGAAATACTGGAGAGGTATGGTCACCGGCGCCGTCCAGGTGCACCCGCACGGAACTTCTGCCATCCGGATCGAGTGGATTCTTGTCGCGCAGGCTCAGCCGGGGCCACAGGGGGAGGTGGTCTGGGTGCAAACGCAGCAGGCGCCGGGTTGTGTAGGGGAGGCGCAGCAGTAGGAGGCGGGCCGTTTGCGGGAGGGATCACATTCCATCCTCCTCCGCGGGGCTGTGGGGCAACGCTCGCCCATCTCTGACGAGGCTCGTTGTATGTCGGTGGCTGAGGGTGGACTGCGGCTGGAGGCGGAGGCGGAGCGCCGAATGATGGAGCAGGCGGGGGACCGCCGTATGCTGACGGCGGGGGCGGCGGGTCGCCAGACGTCAACGGTGGAGGACTGCTGTGTGTCCAGTTCGGAGGAGGCGATACGGCGTTACTGGTCTCGAGGGATGTCCACCCTCCAGTCCTAAAGGATGGTGCGCTCGTGTAATCAACCCGTGACACCGCCGATGTGGATGCGGATTCAGATGGGAGAGCGGGCGCTGTGCTAGGAGCGGAGACAGGTGCCCAGCCACTCCTGCTGCCGGAGTTGCTCGAGGGCGGCCGGGGTTCGCCCACAGTAGCCCACCCTGATCGCTTGGGAGGTTCAGCGGGGGGAGAAGGCGTAGTCGCACTGGGCGTCGTGACTGTCGCCCATCCACCCTTCTTGAGACTACCGCTGGGGCCAGCAGACCCGGCGAGCACAGACGAGGCCTCGACTACTGCAGACCCAGCGACGGGGGGCTTAGCCATCTTCACGCCGGCGGCCTTCGCGATCTTGCGAAGCTCCTTCTCTTCACGCTTTCGCTCCTTCTCCTTTCGCTTGTTGATCTCCTCTTCCGTGTTGCGGCTGGCGCGCTGGGCAAGCTGCATGTCCCGGAAGCGGACCTTGTGGTGGTGCGCGTAGGAGTTGGTGTGCTCGTCATATTGGGCGACATTTTTGAACTGCTTCTCGCAAACTTCGCAGTAGAATGGCCGGAGGACGCTGGAGATCTCGGATTGGACCGCAGCGCGGCGCGCAACCGCATCCTGCAGGTAGGCAGATGTAAGGTCGTGCATCATCGGTAAGCATGGCATGGGGGCGCACCTCGCGCTGCCTCCGCTGCTCCTCCGTCTCTTTCGTCTGCCGCTCTGAATCCAATTCGCGGCGTTGCGAGACGGTTGATTCGACTACGACGGATCAATTCGCAGTTATAGCTTCCGAACGACAATGCACTCACTCATACGAACGTCCTGATTGGCCTTTCCGAGTCCAGTCAAATCGTTCTTTACATAGAACGGCACAGGTTCAACACGACCTGGGTCGCAGTTGAGCATCCGATGGTCATGGAGGGAGGTATATCACACACCATCGCCGGAGATACCAAGAGGCGTTCCTTCTACCCAACCCATCTTCGCGAGCATTGAAAAGCCGACGTTTGTGCTTTTGATTTTGGTCTCCACGGTGATGACTTCGCGGGACGGCTTGTTGGTGTAGTACTCATCGTACTTGTCTACGTCCATGGCATCAGGGGGCGGCGGAGAAGGTGTCCGGGAAACTAGAGAGATGTCGTCCTCGGTATCGTCATCCTGGTCGCCTTCGTCGCAGGGTCGCTGGGGGAGGTTGGGAAGGGAAAGAAGTATGCAGGGTGTATTCTGGGTGCGAAGAATGCACAACGAATACCTTCAACGACGGGTTGGCAATCTCGTCCGGCTCTGGGCGGTTGAGAGGGATCGCGTTCCAGCGCGCAACAGATTCCGCAGACATTCTGAGGGCGTTTCAAGAGGATAGTTGTCGACGGGGGACAAGCAACGGAAGCAGAAAGACGAAGAGGGTGACGGCTGAGAGAAACACACTCTGGAGTCGCAGTGGCAGGAGGAGTGGCGTTGGCGCCCGTGGTGCTCGGAAGGGACACGTGACTGAGACGCGGTCGATTCGCGCGTCGCGTCCGAGTCTGCGGCAATGCGACTCGACTCTCCCTCAGCCACAACCACTCCATCCTTCCCCCGGTTCCTTCTTCCCTCCTCCTCTGGTAGGGGTAGAGATGGACTCAGACGACTACTTTGACGACGACATTGATGCCTCTTTTCTGAATGCCGTGGACGCTATCGAGGCTGCTCATACCGCTACGGCTGCTGCGGCAGCCCGTCCTCCTGCACCCCAGGCTGCCCACAATGCCTCCTTCAAGCCTGCTTTTGCGCCGAAATCTGCGCCACCCCGAAACAACAGCTTGAAACCTGTCCCAGCATCATTGACACGTCCGCCGCGTAAAACGACGCCTCCAGACGTGATTGAACGCGAAGGCTCTAGTAGTGACTACGGTTTCGATGACATGCCTATGGACGAAGCCGCCCTTGCAAGCATAGATAGAGCCGCCGAGATTGGATACGCCCGTCATGGCGCTCCTCCCTCAAATCAGCCTATTGCAGGACCCTCTAGAGTCGGCGGTCTCGCCCGCGTACCTTCCAAGACTACACAAATGAATCTATTTGGAGAAGTCGCGCGCGAAGGGGAACCTCCAAAGGCTGCAGCACCGAGCCATAGGACGTTTGAGCAGACTCGGTCCAAGCTGCGGCAGATGCCACTTCCAGGACAGGCGAAGAGGACCAAACTGTGGGACCGGACCGCATATGCGAAGTCGGGCTGGAGGAAACCCAAGCCAGACCCGGAGAAGGAGAAGGGGAAGGGCCGTGGCATGGATGACGAGGACGACGAAGAGCCGATCGAGTTTGAGCAGTTTCCAGCTCCAGCAATATCCGTCGGGTGAGTACGAACCTCCGAACGTCTGAGACGTGCTCTACTCACGCTCTTATGTACGCTACTTCAGTCCGGTATGTCGGAAGTTATGTGTATACATGTCGACATACCCGCTAATTATTCGATGTAGACGCCCACGATAAAACTTGTCCCGGATCGGTTAGCTGCGAAGTCCTGGATATATCCCCTCAACAAACCGAAGCGCGAGTATCAGTACAACATCGTGAAGAACTGTCTCCTCGAGAATACTTTGGTTGCGCTTCCAACTGGTCTCGGGAAAACGTTCATCGCCGGAGTTGTTATGCTCAATTGTACGTGTCCTCCCAGCAAATCGGCACGTGAGGGTTGTGCACTTATACGCCCCAGTTTACAATTGGTTTCCTCAGGGAAAGGTGATTTTCGTCGCCCCGACCAAGCCGCTCGTAGCCCAGCAAATAGATGCGTGCCATCAGACTTGTGGCATACCGGGTAGCGCAGCCGCGGAAATGACTGGCAGTGTGCCCATGGCCAAGCGTGCAAATGCGGTATGGTTATTCATTTAATGTCTGCAACGCTATACTCAACTCGTATGCCAGTGGAAGACACAGAGAGTGTTCTACGCCACGCCGCAAACGTTCTTGAATGACCTCATCCGAGGTATTGTCGACCCCCTCGATATTGTGCTGATCGTGATCGGTAGGGGTAATGGCCAATTGGCGCAGTACGCAGAATTGACGCAGTTGACGTAGACGAGGCACACAGAGGCACGGGCGATTATGCCTATGCACAGGTCGTGCGATACATGATGCAGCACAACCCACACCACCGTATACTCGCTCTAACTGCAACCCCAGGCGGCAAACCAGAAGTGGTCCAGGAGATCGTCGACGCCTTACACATCAGCCATATTGAAATCCGCAGCGAGACTGACCCCGACCTCAAAAAGTACCTCCACACCAAACACGAGCAAGAGCACTTCGTTCAGATGACCGAAGACATTTGTGTACTTCGAGATGCACTGTCGGCTATGATGGTGGTAAGTCTACCACCGTCGTAAGACTCCCTCACTTTGCCTGATTGATGTCGCCTTGCAGCCTCTCATCAAGAAGATCCAAGGTGCTGGGTTTCTGAAAAACGGAAACACGCAACCCACGATGCTGCACCCATATCGATGCCAGTCGACACTCGGAGAGATGACGAAAGCTCGTGCTCCACAGTATGCCATAGGTGCCGTCGCTCAACTTGGTCCATTGGCGAGAGCAATGGGATATTTGGTATGAAGCAGCCCCACGTGAGTCTCAGCATCGCTAACATGATCACTAGATGGAGATGAGCATCAACATGTGCTACGGCTTCCTAAAGGGCATCGCCGAGGGCGCCGACGACAGCAGTGGGAAGAAAGCTATCCGGAAGTCCGACGCCTTCAAAAGCCTCATGGCCAAGTTCGAAGAACAAGCCGCCCGTGGCTTGTCGATGCACCCGAAGATGGACGTCTTGCGCACCCTGCTGATTGATCACTTCGCTCAGCGATTGCCCGACGACACCGATGGAGGTGCGCGCGCTGGCGAATCTCGCGCGATGGTGTTTGTGTCTTTCCGTGAGTGCGTCGAGGAAATCGTTGAGCTCCTGAACAAGGAGTCTCCGATCATCCGAGCCAAGCCCTTCATCGGACAAGGGACGGACAAGCAGGGCAAGAAGGGGTATGCCCAGAAGGAGCAACTCGAGGTCCGTCCCTTTCCAACCTTTCCAACCTTTTCCACTGACTGAACCCACAATACCACTGCACATAAGGTCATCGAACAGTTCAAGGCCGGCAAATACAATGTCCTTGTCTCAACTTCAATCGGCGAGGAAGGTCTCGACATCGGCGAAGTCGACCTCATCGTTTGTTACGATGCACAGAAGACACCTATCCGCATGGTGAGCTCACTCCCTGCAGTCACATCTAACGACGTACGAACACTGAGCGTTCAACGTTGCTACACAGTTACAACGCATCGGACGAACGGGCCGTAAGGCGTCCGGCACTGTGCACATCCTCCTCGCGCAAGGCCGAGAAGAGCAGAATTGGCAAAAGGCACAGTCTAACTACGCCAATGTCCAGCACTTCATCGTACGCGCGTCAGACCTCGAGGTCTATGGGGACGTCGACCGGCTCCTTCCCCCCGACATTGAGCCCGAATGCAGGGAGATGGAGATGGAGATTGAGCCATACATCCGCGAGGAGCGCCCGTCCCGCAAGGGCTCCAATGCGACCGGTTCGCCAAAGGGCCCGAAGCGGAAGCGCAACGATGACCCCATGCGTAACATTCCGGCGGCGGCAGCGAAGGGCTTCGTTAGTGTGGCCGAGCTGCTCACAAAGGGCAGTGCGGCCCGCAAGAAGGCAACCCAGAAGCTGAGCAAGGTGGATTGGGAGCATGCGGACGAGGATGACTCCGATGACGAAGATATTGAGGCTGGTCTCTTCGCGCAGCCTCGGAGGGTGAAGTCGACATCTGCGGCGGACTCGTCTAAGGGCAAAGGGAAGAAGGTCCTTGCTCGGAGTGCGACGGCGGCAGGGCCTAGGAAGAAAGCATCAGGGCCGAAGAAGAAGGGCGCGCAGCAGACGACGCTGACACAGCTGGATCTCGTCTCAAGTGACGACACGGACGATGAGGCGATTGAGCGAGGTTTGCCATTACCCTCAAAGCCCGCCACCACAGCACACAAGCCCAAGGCAAGACAATCTAGTACACCTCCAGTATTCCGCTCCGCGAGATTGATCCTCGAGCGATCGAGTTCACCGGAGATACCTTTGAAGGACGTCGTTGGCATCATCGACCTTCCCGATCCCGACCAGACACGCTCGGGCGCTGCGATGCTGGACTCCTCTCCCGTTCAACGGTCGAAAAGGTCGTGCCTTAAGATCCTAGATTCTTCGCATGAGCGTCCTCTCAAGCAAGGGCTTCTATCGCGAAGCACCAGTGACCAGAGCCAGGAAAGCAGGCGGTCGCTACCTCCAGGGTCGTCAAACCCACCAGAGTGCTCTACTTCCCCAACTTCCTGCAGTGCCTCCGCAGAGAAACAGGCCCCAGGAGCCGACAGTATGGCGTGGCTTATCGAGGACGACGAGGATCCCGACATCCCTGAACTCTCTGCCGCACCTGGTCCTTCACGGCCGATGGCCCCCGCTGGTTCATTTTCCGATGAGCCTCTCTTCCTGTCATCTCCTGTGCGTGAGATGTCCCCGCTCAGACTACCGTCTGATGACTACGAGGTTGAATTCGTAGACGAGCCCCACCCGAAACCATCGTCTCGTCCATCAGCCAGCAATTCCATCTCATCGCCGAGGAGGTCAATAACGTCTCGCAAGTCGGACATGGGGCCTCCCGCGCTGCCGTCCAACCTTGTACCTGTCTCTCCATCGCTCTCCGACGACTTGCCACCCGAGCCTTCTTTCGCTGTCAGACCTCCGGGCAAGCAAGCACGCAGACGAGTGGCAGGAGACGTTCTTGACCTAGAATCCTCTCCTCTTGCGCCTCCTCCAGCATCCCAACGTCGCTTGAAACATGAGCGTCCCAAGTCACCCACCCCTCCCCCCGCTCAGCCGCTCAGGAAGAAGAAGCGCAAATTTAAAGACACTGCAGAAGCCCAGCGACACAACCCCTGGATCGACGTTGAGGCAACCCACTCGGGCGACGAAATGAGCGTCGGGTCCTCACAGCCCGACCTCGACTATATCGTCCCTGACAGCGACGATCACGCTTTTCTGGAGGAGCCAGCAGAGACGCAAGTGTCCCCGTCTTACGACCAAAGCGCCGTCTACCGTCGGAGCCTCATGACGCAGGCTCCGGGAGGTGGCGGGCCCGTTTTTGCGAACAGACCCGCTAGACGCGGCCAGGCGGCACTGAGGCTAGATCGCGGTGGGACGTCGAGATATCGGCGCGCATTAACTCCGCCGTTACGAGACGATGAGGACGATTACGAGCGTGACAGCTTCGTAGTCGACGATGATGCAGAGATTGCCTACACGCAGGCACCTTCAAGCGATTTGTGATAATCGACTGGCGAGTGTAGTGAAGCGATCGGGATAGCTGTGTACTATACTTATGCATATATACTCTACGAGAGAAATGCGATGGTTCACGTGTGAATAAAGAAGAGAGGGAGCGAATGGCCGAGGAAGTCCCCTTCATTTTGATAGGGATAGGAACTGCCAGACCTTCGAGGCGACACCAGCCATCGTTTCCTTCCACTCTTTACTCCCCGGGTCTGTCGCGCCGCTTGCATTGTCTGGGCTGTAGAGCGCGTAGGGAATGCCGCGATCTCCGCCATGGCTCACGCCCGGGACAAGTGGGAGCTCGCCAAGGACGCCCACCCCGAACTGCTCCGCAGTAGCCCGAAAAGATGCCGGGGACCCGAACAGCTCGTGTGGTGTCGAACATGACGAACAGATGAAGTGCGACTCGTTCAACAAGAGGCCAACGATCTGGCCGCATGGTGAGCTCCACGTCCGTTGCGGCTGAATTACGGATACGTACCGGCACGGATATCTTCTGGAACATCGACACGCCCTTGCGGACGTCTGTCAAGGCAACATCTTGCGGCGTGGAGACGATCACAGCACCTACACAGCACGGTCTCAAGACCAATCCCGAATTGTGGACTGCGACCTAGGCATGTTGCTCACCGTCGACATTGACCAGTTGGCCGAGCGTCAGCGGCACGTCACCCGTCCCTGGAGGCATGTCGATGACCAGCACATCGAGTTCGGCCCCGCTGCCTGGGTCCCTCCAGTCTACGTCAAAGAGCAGCTGCTGTACGGCCTTCTGCACCATGAGCCCGCGCCACACAACGGCAGTATCGGCGGAGGAGTCGGTTCCCGGTATCTTAGGCAGCAAGAAGCCCATCGACATGCATGGAAGGCCATGGTTGACGACGGGCACGATGGCTCCGGCTGCACGGGTGTACGTGTTAGTAACAAAGTGGCTCAGATTCGTGCTCGAACGCTGACCTGCGGTCAACTCGGGCTCTTCTGCCTTCTCGAGAGCCATGAGCTTCGGAATGGAGGGCCCGAAGATGTCCAAGTCGAGTATGCCGACGCGCGGCCTTGTTCGCGGTGCATGTTCGGAATGCATCGCGAGCGAGAATGCAAGGTTCACTACATCACAATATGATTTCGGTAAATGACAACTGTTAGTTTGTGCAACAAAGTACATGCAATGGACCCACCGGCGACGGTGCTCTTGCCTACGCCGCCCTTGCCGCTAGCAACAGCCAGGACTTTCTTGACATAAGGTAACGATCGTCTCTGTATAGGGCCGCCTTTACGTGGCATCTGCGGCGGGGGCCCGGGTCGTCTTGGAAGTCCCTACATGGGTCAGTGTGCAGACCGTCCCACAAGGGCCAAGCGCACTCACCAGGGGATTCTCATGTTTCAATGGACGATAAGATGACAAACATCGTCGTGCTATCCATCGAGAAGCTGCAAGAGTCCGATACGCTGATGGCATAATGCACGACGGAGTGGTTTGTCACGGTCTTGAACTTGAACCGGACGGGAAGGAGCGATCAACGCTACTTATTATGCCTGTCTCATCATGGGCGCTTATATGCAGCACCAACCCGGTCCGCTTCCCGCCAGACAGTCCCGCGGGGAACTCCAGAGTTACAGGTCCAGACTGCCTTCGTCATAAGAAATCTCTACCCTCCCATAATCCTCACCGATCAACAAAAGCTCTGTCTTGTTGCCGCACGGGCCATTGCTGGACAGGGCACGTCGAATTGGAAGGCTGAGTCTCGGACTGGACGCCATACATCCAGCACTGTGCAGTCTAGGGTTGACGGACAATGACTAAACACTTGGATCTTCACTCACTCCAATGGATAGACGTGTGTTAACCTACATCTTGTCCACTGATATTGTGTGCTCTTTGTAGGTGCAGCAATATCAAGGCACATTCTAGGTGAGTATGTGAGTATATGGCTGTATCCATACACTGTTCACAGGATGCAATGCACAACCACTGGCAAGAATCTTATTTTCCGCATAGAATTCATATTCATGTACCACGAGTAGCAACTGCTGCTGTCATGATGTCTATAGATATCAACCTGGGTGGCGTCCCAATTCCTACCCACCCAGCATGTACTCGAGGGCTCGAACAAGGGTCGCTGCATCTCGAAAGCCATGGCCGATGTCCTTCGCACTTCCAACTGAGTACTTCCCTTGGTATCCGAAGAATCCAGTGGTATGCCAATTCCCGCCTCAGGACTACGGAAATGTAACGAATTCCGGGGCGTCCTCCGTGCTGCGGCTGCTCTTCCCGCCTGCGCGGGTCGCGGGCCATTAGCGCAGGCGAAAATGTTGTCTTGCCCGAGCCGGGGAGCCCGACTGGCACAAACAGATCAGCCTCCTTCGGCAGCGAACCTTCGCTCTCCAACGGATAGGGTGGCCTACATAGGTATGTTCGTGCAGCGCTTCCAGATGGCGCTGCAGTACTTCGCCACAAATATCTTACTGCTGCGTCTCGATACTTCTAGGGCGGATTGGGCGCTGTGCGGCGATGGCCTACTAAGCGGACATCGCGGGTTCTGTCCCGGTCGAGTCTCGCTTGGCTAAGCCGAATGGACGAGATAGCACGCTGCCACACTAATTTTGCTCACCTTTACCTCCACCACAGTGATCGAGCTCTCGTGCAACACGCATGGTCCGGATGGCCGTGGCATAAACGCGGTCACATTACTCGGAGCAGCAGAGCATGACGCGCGTTCTCGCCGCCGACATCCTCCTGACCGCGTACTTCAATGGCGCAGGAATGACACGCGCCCTTGGCTTGTCAGTGCTCAGTGCTCAGTAGTCGGCGCTGGGCCTCGAACAGCACGTCGGAATAGAACACGACGCTTCGTAGCTATGCCGCATCCTGGAGCATGTTAGCCTCTCACAACCCATCATCCTGAATAACTTGTTTTGCCAACGCCCGATGACGTCTCATGAATTCATGCTCAGGCAGTCGATCGTTGGCCGAGAAAGACACAAGGACGTCATAAGTCTTCCGGAGTCCTGACTTGCCGGTGTACTGCAAGGCGTCATAAGGAGGCTGACCATGGGCTGACATGGGCGGGTTAGCAACGCTGACGAGCATATAATCCCTCGGCAAGCACGGACTGCTCTCAGTTTCGGACCTCAAGGTACGTGCTTTCTTTCCGGTGGTGGCCCATTCAAGGTGCGTGGTTTCTCTTCGGTGGTGGGACTCGGCTACAAGGTACGTGGTTTCTTCCTAATCGTGGCGGTTTCCGCCTGAAGGTGCGTAGTTTCTTCACGGTGGTGGCGGTTTCGGACGCAAGGTACGTGGTTTCTCCCTATCGGCCTCTGGCCCTTCCAAGGTGCGTGGTTTCTTTTCCCGAGGGAGGGACTCCGGTCCTGGCGCATACCTTTCCGTGGTCCTCGGGATAAGTACCTTCCTGCTCGCCGCCTCAGGCTGAGCGGCCTGAGACGGAGAGCAGGTCGGGAAACCAAAATGCGCGGTCTTGTCTTCTCGTTGCCTGTGCCTTCAGACTTTGTTATATGATCTGTGATTCCTTCTACGGGATGAGACGGTTAATGCTCTAGCGTAAACTTCTGTTTTGAAAGCCGCAAGTTGTTCCTGGGTCATAGGTAGCATGAGTCTATCAATACGACGCAGCGAAGCTTTCAACGTCAACCCAAGTTAGAAGAAAGGACGCCGTACCTTCTAGTCGGCATTCATACTGCTTGCATGTAATTTGTTAGCCATGGGACAGCAGCACGCACTAAAGTCCGGCGCAACCAGAGAAGAGCTTATTGCCAATAGAGCTCCGTTATGTCCAATGATACAGTAGGCCCCTATTTCAGCTTTTCAGGTTCATAGAGTATACACACCATTCAAATGAGCAACTTGAGGGCACAAGTATTGGCCAGTTGCGCGGCCGTTGCCTCAAGCGCCGGAGGGTACTTACGGAGGATGACCTCCGCGGGTAATCCAGCCACAATGCCGCCGAGACATCGGCCACATGGCATAACGTTTTGAGACATGGCAGGCTGCTTGTCAAGGCCACCTGTCGCCTTTGTCGCATCGCCTATTCTAAGGCAACGCGCTTGGAACGCCGGCGTGCCGTTTTGCTAGTGTGTCAGGCACAACCGACAGGGTTTGTGATTATGTACATGCGATCTAGCGAACCGCGCGCTGATACGGGGTCGCCTTTGAGACTGGGGTGGCAGGACAAACGATGGGCTGAGAGCATGCGTTCTATCTTTGCCATCGAATTCTCGGCGTATACGCCCTGTCACGATGCCCGTCATCCAAGACTGTGTTTAGAAGGCTAGTTGGATAGCTTCGGATGCTTCGACCAAGCTCGAATGGAGCGGGCTAATCAGTCTACCGCACAAGCGTCGTTGTACGCGGCTTGCCGGGACTGAAGCGCATGCACAGAAGGTCGCCAAGGAGATCTCAAGGCCGGCAACCGCTCGCCGGCCGAGGGCGGGCACGCCGACACGGCCTCCGGCCGCGCCAAGCAGCGTCAGTGATCCTTCTTCGTAGGCGTAGGCGCCAGTATCAAACCCGGGCGCACTCAGAACAGGTTCCGTACTTCCTCCCTCCCACCACCCACAGCAGTCCTACGACGCCTCCGACGACTTCAGCGGCCCCGGTCTGTCCTTACGAGCATCCACATTCGTTACTTCGCTCCCCGTTCCATCTGAAGCCATGTTCTCCCGCTCTGTCGTCGCTGCCCTCGTTGCTGCTCCTCTCGTCGCCAGTACGTCATCCCTGTTTGGTTTCCCTGCTTCAGGCCGTACCCAGTGTCGTGCTTACCTGTGTTCCTCTACTAGCTGCCTTTGCGGCATCGTGCACCCGTACATACACCGTGAAGGAGGGCGACTGGTGTGATACCATCTCCGCTCAGCACAATGTCTCTACGTGAGTTGCCCAATATTCGTTCGCACCCTCTCGGCGGTCTCATACACGCTGTGCCGATGCAGCTACCAGCTCGCCGCTGTGAACCCGGATATCGACGACCTCTGCAACAACCTCGCTGTTGGCCAGAATCTCTGCTTAGGTACCGAGGGCGAGGATTGCAAGAGCACGCACGTCGTCGAGGCCAACGACTCTTGCGAAGGCCTCTACGGCACCTACGGCATCAACGCGACCGTCCTCTACCACAACAACCCGCAGCTCGACGCCGCTTGCGACAACCTGTACATCGGCGAGGTACGTCCGTGCCTGACAGCGCAGCTCGGTCTCTTTCGCGTAATAATAGATTGACTCAATTTTGCGTCCTTCGCGTCCTTCCATTTCAGGTCGTCTGCGTGGCCAACTCTCTCGTTGCGCCCGCGCCCCCCTCTGGCACGGTCACTATTGCCGTTCCTACGAGCACCAAGGTCGCCACCACTTCGATCGCCATTCCTACGAGCACCGAGGTCGCCACTACTTCGATCGCCATTCCTACGAGCACCGAGGTCGCCACCTCGATCGCTGTTACCTCAGTCGCCCACAGCACGATTACCAGCTCTGCCCCCGCGGCGACCGAGACTGACGACGACGATGACGACGACCTCCCCTTCTGCGACGAGCTCTAAATCCCACATGATTGCGTTCGCCGTAGACGTCACAATCGCTAATGCCCCCTTCCCTCGTCCGTGAAGGCATTTGTTTGTTTTGTCGCTACGCTCTTCCATACCCGCACTATGTTGTGCATTCGTTGTCATCATTACCTAATTTTGTTTCCTACGTAGATAGTTCCAGCGGACTATCAGTTGTGTCGCACGCAATGTTGAACATCGCTTGGGTCCCGCGGGCCCGTGGTCGTAGTGAGATACGGAGAATATACAACATGTTGAATCCTGAACTGCCATACGAGAGCATACACACATTGAGAGCTCACTACATCTAGAGGGTCCATGCAAGAAAACAACGATAGCAATAGGTGCAAGCACGTACAGTCTGCTCTCTGCCGCTACGATTCCTCCAAATACCCCTGCACGATGAGATGCTCGATATCTGACCTGCGCACGAGGAATCGATGCCCGCGCTTGAAGTCGATTGCCCCGAGCTCCGTGTGCACGATCCCGCAATCCCTCACGACGCGGACATGCACCTGCAGATCCTTCGGCGGATACGATATCGGCGCGAGCAGGTCCACGTCCTCCGTCAACCCCGCGCCCGCGCCCGACGCCGACGAGAACGCCTCCGTGCGCAACGTGAGGAGCGACGCGGCGTACGATCGCAGGAAGTCGACCTCGTGCGGAGAGAGCTTCGACCGGATGTCCTGCGGCGCGGCCGACGCGGCTCCCCCCGCGCTCGCGTCCGCGGCAGCCGGGGCGGGGGCGGGGGCGAGCGAGAGGAGGAGCGGCAGCGCGCCGCCGACGGACCAGTAGAGGTCCTTCAGGAACTCGACGCGGTGGTGGTGGTACGCGAGCAGGCAGCGCTTGTTGCGGAGGATCGCGGTCTGGTAGAGCAGGACCGTCGGCATGTACGCGTTCTCGCCCTTCTGGTTGCGCGGGCCGTCGTCGCCCAGCGTCGCGTCGGGGTCTGCGTCGGGGGCGGGGGCGGCGGAGTGGGCAAGGGCGGCCTCGATGGCGGCCTCGAGGTCGCGCTGCTCGCGGATGATGGAGCGGACGAGGACGTCGTTGTACTTGAGGAGGGTGTTGGTGGCCGTGGACCGGCGGGACTCGGTGAGGAGCTGCGTGGCGAGGTCGCCGTACTGGTTTGCGTTGCTCATGGCGGAGATGAAGTGTAGGAGAGACGGATGGTGGTCAAGAAGCAGTTCCCTATGTCCCTCCAGAGCAGTGCCCACGCGCCTCCCTGCACTCAAGGCGCGTCGCGACGCGTTCTGTCACGCTCAGACAGCCCTCGGCGTCTGCAGAAGGCGTTCAAATAAGCAGCGAGTGTTTCTGAGGCTCGGTTACGAGGATCTCTGAAGAGCGAACTGCACCTTAGGCCAACAACCCTGTTGGTGACGTTGCATCATTGGGAATTGTATATGAGGACGATGATTCCAGAACAGAAAACGACCCGGAGACTCTTGTCTTCTTGTAACTGACTCGCACGATACTCTACGATGTGAGAACCTGTACTTATGATAGCATACCGCGAACCACAGGACCCATCATAGATAACGAATCGCGCCGAACAAGTCACCGATCTCGTTCCACCACGTGTATACCGCCCACCGCGGCGTTGTGACGAACCAGCGCAGGACGTCCCGGGGGCGGTGCCGTGTCCGGGACGTCAGCAAAGCGGGGGCACGGACACGTCTTCCACGGCCGCGCGCAGAGATAGCAGAACTCCTTCTGGCACCGGCACGTCATGTGATAGCAGCCCACGGTGAGCTCTACGAGGTGTTTGCACGAGGGGCAGCGCTGCCAACCCTCCTCCTGCCCGAGTTCGAGCACGACGTCGTCCGAGTGGTCCGCGCATGTGCGGCCTGGGTGCGCGGCGAGCTTGCAGCTGCCACAGGTCTGTGCGCGACAGGAAGGCGAAGTGCAGGCGATGGACGTAGGGGAGGCTGTCGCAGCGCCTAGGAATGCGGAGCAGGCAGGGATGTGGCAGTAGATGCGGTCCTTGGTGCCGAACTCGCGGCTCTTCTTCTCGTAGAGTTCGATCAGGGAGCTGTCAAGGAACGGCCATGCATCGTCGAGTTTAATAGGCTGTTGACAGCACTTCGGAGGGAAGAGCGTCTCGTCGCGAGTCGCGTTCTCGAACATGAGACGGAGGCAGGAGACGTCGAGGTGGTGTCCGCAGGGCGTGTCAATAACCATACCCTCTATCTCGTCTCCGCAAACCACACAGGATGGGAGAGACGTGGGTTCTGGTGGATCATTGTCATGAGAAGGGCTGTAGTCGAGTAGGAGGGAGAGTTCGTCTTCGTCTTCGGTTTCGTCTTCAGGGGATGCAGGGGTCTGAGGAACGAACGCTAAGCGTCTATTTCGTATGTCGGGGGAACTAGAGCGACTCCTATACGTGTATCAGCTGCAATACCCACATATACGGGTGGCATATAGTACACACCTGGTGGGCCCCGCAAGCCGGGCTTCCTCGTACGGCCCAACAGATAGGTCGAGAAGCCAGTTGGACGACGCTGTCGAGTTTTGGGAGCTACGAGGGATTATCGCAGCATTTGATGCGAGATCGTCCGCAGAGTACGCTCCAAAGCTTGGTGCACGAGTATAGAGTGAATAAATGGGAAGGGAGCTGGAAGGAGATCCGAAACGGGTTACGCTATGGCATGTATGCGGTCAGCGGAAACCCAAAGCAGCATGGGCGAAAACTGATAATTACATGCGCCCTCTCCTCGTACCCGGCCCAGAACCGGATGCTTCGGTGGTGTGGTCGAGCGGCGGAGAATCGGACTGCCGTGATGAGTTGCTTCTGCAAACCTAATCCGTCATCTCGCCAGATAGAGGTGATCCTCGAGTTCTTACCTGCTCTTGCCACGAAGCCTCGGGGGAGGTCGCGGAGGAGGCTCTCTCCCTTGCGACAGCGCTACCGCCATGAGATGGTCGTAGTGGGCCATCTCCTCCATCTCCATCAACTCATCCAGGAGTTCCTCGTCCACTGAGCCGTTAGCGAGATGATCTTTGGTGTGTATGAGTAGTCCCTCAGCTTCCTCTGCAAACAACGCGAGCGCAAGGTCATGGTCACTCAGGTCAACTACCGAGTGAGAGCTCTCGCGCTTGGCTAGGATGTCGTCGATATCGTCGACACTCATGGTAGATATCAACCCCATGAGTGCCGAGAGGCCATCCTGGAGAGGGGGAACTGGTTTACGCCTGACGGGTGATGTTGTTCGCTTCAATGGAGGTATTGGGGACTTATCGAGGCTAGCAGATGTGCGAGGAGGTGTCGGAAGTGCAAGAGAAGCGTTAGCGACGCGCATTGCCATGGCTGTGGGTGGATGTATGAGAGAGGGAAGGAATTGCAGATCCAGCGGCCACACTGGATGCTAATATATAGACATTTGGTCGCTGCAGCAAAAACGTTGAACGCGGAGGCTATGCGCCCGCGCGCAGACAGAGACGGGAGAACGAGGCAACCCCGTAGTGAGGCGGCCAGAAAGTTTCGGACCTTCGAGTTTGACTGCCCACAATGATTGGATTTGAGGTAGCAAGGGACAAGGACGTCCTTTGCATGGAGCTCTAGATCCTCCTCATATTACTTCAGTTCAAGCTCTCGTTGCATGGTTCGTCGGCGTGCAGGAGTTCAGTTGCACGTATAGTGAAGTACGCCTTCGTCAATCGAGAGCGTTCCGTCGCCTGTATAAGTAACATTATTCAGTGCGCCAGGCAGCTATCGAGACGTGAGACGCAACGTACTTTTACTCACACCCCTTTAGTGGAGACGAGTACCCAAAGAGTTGCAATCCGAAGGGATCGACAGCAGGGCGATGCCGATCCTCGTTGTCCTGGATTTGTCTGGATGAAGCTGATGTGAGAAGGCTGACCGTCCGTCAAACTCGGACCGGACCATGTAATCTCATACGAAGACAGTGTGTGCATGTGAAGGGCGTGTGGCGAGCTTCCTGCTGCAGCAAACATGGACGCGTGCAGTTAGGCAACAAGTATAAGGTTATGAACGTGCCAGAGTTGCATCGAGTGCGGCGCTTACTGTGGGTGGCAGTGTACGTGTGTCCCCGCGTTGCACCGTGTTTTTACGACATCCGGTGAAGGCATGCTGGAGCCCGCCGATACTAAGCACCTCTCGCACCGTCCTCGCCCCTTTGAGTCGCGCGCCCTAGATGCCATGCTCACCCTATTACCTACAGCTCAAGAGCGAACGTATCCCAAGTACCGTCAGCCAGCGGCCCGTCTCCGCTTTCTGGCTAGGTCACGCCGCCGTTCACCTCCGTTCTGCCGAGTTCAACGAAGAGTAGCAGACGGCTTCTGCATCACGTTCAATGGCCTGTCGTCCGTCATCTGACCGGAGACCATGTACTCTGACGCCGATGGCCGCTTCCATCATTCCCGCCCCGACACCGCACTCCATTCGAGACCTCTCATTTTGCCTTAAAAGCCACTCCTCCTCTCACCCCCCCTTTTTCTGACCGCCTAGTCGAGCCACGCCCGCACCTTGCCATGGCACGCAAACTCCTCGCTCTCGTCTCGGCAGTGCCAGTGGTTGTGGCGCTCAACAATGGCTTGGCACTAACTCCTCAGATGGGGTGGAACACCTGGAACCATTTCGGCTGCGGCATCAACCAGGACACCATCGTGAACTCGGCCAAAGCCCTCATCTCCAACGGCTTGGACAAGCTGGGTTATGAATGTGAGTACGAACCACGCAGCTGCGATTGAGTCCGAGAGCCTCATTGTGAACACGCGTCCGTCTGCAGATGTCCTCGTCGACGACTGTAAGCTCTTCCTCCTCATTGCGGTAACACAGCTTTGTTGACGCGTTGCAACAGGCTGGCAAGCTGATGCTCGCGACCCCGACACCGGTGCTCCTGTCGAGGACAAGAGCAAGTTCCCGGATGGCATCAAGGCCGTCGCGGACCAGGTACACTCTCTGGGTCTGAAGGTACGCAGCCATACGAGCGCGATCGCTCCCCGCCTCATGTGCTCCTAGTTCGGCATCTATAGCAGCGCCGGAACGTAAGCAGCAGTTTTAGTCGAGTGGTGTCCTAGTGCCGTAAAGCAGACTGAACTTCGACGTCAGGTATACATGCGGCGGCAAGTTTGGTTCCCTGGACTACGAGGAAATCGACGCGAAGACGTACGCTTCCTGGGGCGTCGATTACCTCAAGTACGACAACTGCAACAACGAAGGCCGTGCCGGTACACCCCAGATCTCGTACGAGCGGTACAATAACATGTCGCAGGCTTTGAATGCGACGGGGCGTCCCATTCTTTATTCCATGTGCAACTGGGGCGAGGACGGTCCATGGAACTTCGCCGTTGTACGTCATATGCTATTTTCGAAAACATCTGCGAAGCGTGACGATTACCTTCTTGGCAGAACATTGCGAACAGTTGGCGGATCTCCGGAGATATTTACGACGTGAGCCGATTTTGCACATCTAACAACGAGGGGAGAATGTTGACTGCGTTGCAGAATTTCGACCGTTATGATGACCGCTGCCCATGCACAAGCATGCTGGACTGCAAGCTGGCTGGATTCCGTGAGCGAATCTTATACGTGCGCACATGAACGTCTGTGCTGATTGCCCGCCTCAGATTGCGCTATGTCTCGCATCATCGATTTTTCTGCTCCTCTGGGGCAGAAGGCGGGTAAGGGCCACTGGAATGATCTCGACATGCTCGAAGTCGGCAATGGTGGTATGACCTACGACGAGTATGGTGAGTGAATCCTAAGCAGTGACAGAGTGCCAGCCTTACAGCTCATTGCCTAGTCACGCACTTCTCAATGTGGGCCCTTGCAAAGAGTCCTCTCATTCTCGGTAACGACGTCACCGACATGGTTAGTTGCCCTGCATATGGTGGCTATATCGCTTACAAATGATGTTTGGGCACGCAGTCGGATGAAACAAAGCAAATCATCACCAACGATGCTATCATCGCTGTGAACAAGGACACCAACGGTTCTCCCGCCATCCGTGTATGGAAGAAGCCTGTTTCCCAGGGCGGCGACATCCAGCTTTGGTCCATTACTCTTGTAAACTAGTAAGTACTTCCATCTCTGCCATCACGGCATGCGTACTCACCCACGGAACACTCTTCCCAGCCAGTGGGTCTTCGCCGTTCTGAACACTTCCCCTGTAAACCAGACGGTGGATATCTCGCTCCTCGACGTCTTCATTGATCAGGGTAGCTCCTTCGGCTCTGGCACATTCACCCTCTCCGACCTCTGGCAGAAGGACTCGTCTGGCAACTGGGGCGCCTCGGTTGGCAACGCCCAAGGCACATTCACCGTTTCGGTCAACAGCCATGCCACTCGCGTCTTCAAGGCAGTCCCGGCGTCGTCGTCGTCCAGACGAGAATTTGAGACTGTTGACGATCCTCATGCGTACTACCCTGGCGGCGACTCTCGCGAGTTGCTCTTGTGAGGGGAAAAGAGCTGGGATGGAAGAATAGTTGGATGAAGACGAAACTAGCGTATTCGGGGATGGAAATAGGTTTGCTCTCGTACGCTGTGTGCGCGCATGCTTGTAAGATAGATGGATTGCTGGCATGGACCGTAACGTGGCTGTGTTGTGAGTGCATACGCGAACTCCGACTAGCGCACCGAGACATCATATGTATTGTATACTGTACCATCCTTTCAGTACCTGTTGCAACATCTGGGAGTCGTAGCAAGCACTCCCCATTTGTACATACCTCTCAGTGCTTAGTGAATGGATACTCTTTCGAGTTACGAAGGGTGATCCCACAGCCGAACACAAGATAGATTATGACACATGCAGGTGTAGCCTCGTCTGTTGCGCCAGATACAGAACGCGAGGAGTATCCGAGAGAGGATGCGGTCGAACACTACGCTTGCCAAAGTGAGGTGTCTGCAGCTGTCAGGCGCTTGACTGGCGTCTATCGGAGAACTGAGGAAGTTTGCGGACAAGCGCCACTATCACCTCTCCTGGGTGCGCTCGGACACAGACCGCGAATCATCATCTTGACTCTCTTCTCCTTTCCTGACGGCCTCCCACGTCCTCCGTAGGCCAACAATGCTTTACGACCCTGATACTGCCAACCATCTCAAGCCATGGCTTATCCGAACACTTGAACCAATGTCAGTAGCGCCGCGTTCACGTTGCTTCTCGTGGAGTAACAGATGCCTAACACCGTTCCTTTGTCCCGTAGATGCGACGCAGAGCCTAGCGCGCTCGCGGACTACATCCTTGCCCTGCTCAAGCATCAGGCGCCCGAATCCGAGCTACGGAAAGAGCTGATAGCACAGCTGGAGGAGTTCTTGGAGAAAGGTGCGTGCATTACATTGGCCATGCCACTGAGGCACTGACATGGATACGTCTGCGGGATGCTGCGTAGAGTGCCCCCCATTTGTTGACACACTCTTCACCGCGCTGCGGACCAAGTCTTACCTCCCCTACTCCGCAACTGCTTCATCGTCTTCCACCGGCTTCGCCTCGTCGAGCGCGGCTGCGGGCGACAGCGGCATCCCCATACCCGTGGACGCACTCCTCTCATTAAACTCCTCGTCACCTGAACGCAGCCGGAAACGCGGCATTGACGACGACTACGATCAGCATGGGCCCTCGAAGGGCGCACGGCTGAGTCACGACGGGCAGTTTTCGCGATATGGTGGGCGTGGACGCGGTGACGACCGGTCATCATGGGGCGGGAGGGGCGACCGTGGGGCACGCATGGAGCTGAATGGTGGACGCGCTGACTACATGGACGGCGGGATGCAGGGAATGCAGATGAACGCGAACGGGCGTGGGGGCCAGGGTTACCGGCCACCCGAACAACGGCGTGGAATATGTCGGGACTATCACAGTGAGTCGCCATATGCGTTCATATCTCGTCGTTTTGTACCTCATAGCGTTTCATGTTCGCCCCGCTGGCAGACAACGGCTACTGTGCGCGGGGCGTTTACTGCAAGTACAGCCATGGCGACGACGCTGTCATCCCCTCACAGTTATTCCCTATGGGCCCGGGTGGGATGCCCTTCTTGCCAATGATGGGTCCGGGAGGCATGCCGTTCCCTATAAATGCTGCTGCGGGTGGCGTGTATGACCCCCACGAGCGGATGGATATGAGGCCGATGGGTGGCATGGGTATTGGGCGCGGCCAGAACGCACGACCAGCCGTATTGCCGCGGACAGAGGATAGAGATAGCTCTATGGGCCAGAATCCCGGGGAGTTGCCAGTCATCCAGGATCTGACACCTCAGGTGCCGATCGAGGACGTGTCGCCCCATAACAGCGGTGAAGCCTTCCGACAGCAGCAACAGGCGCTCCCTATGGACGGTGTCGTGCCCACAGGCGAGATGAACGGCGGTGGACCTGCCCCCTATCTCCCTGGTCCCAGTACTGACGGACACGCTCCACAACAACGGCCGTACAACGCAAATGGGCGTGGTGGCGGCAGGGGGAGGGGTCGTGGCATATTTGGCGGCGATGCACAGAGTTTCCGCCCCACGCAGAAGCGCGACGACAAAACGCTTGTTGTGGAGAAGATCCCGGAGGACAGGTTGTCGCTCGGGGCTGTCAATGACTGGTTTAGCAAGTTCGGCACAGTCACGAATGTCGCTGTCGATGCTGCGAGCGCGAAAGCTCTCGTCAGCTTCACCAACCACGAGGATGCGCATAAGGCATGGAAGTCGGAGGAGGCCGTCTTCGGCAACCGGTTCGTCAAGGTCTTCTGGCACCGGCCCATGGAGGGTCACGGACAGGTCGGCCAGCGTATGCTTGCCGCGTCTGCGAACGTTGTCGCGCAGAGAGCAGTAGGGACATCAGCCCCGACTTCCTCAGCTGCTGCACCTGAAGGCTCCCCTGCTCCTCAACCCCCTACTACCTCCGCTGCACCTGCCTCTCGCACCCCTTCTTCATCGTCCTCGGCTGCAGCCGCACTTGCTGCGAAGCAGAAGCTGCTGGAGCAGCAGATCGCGGAGCAGAAGTCGCTCATGTCTCTGCTTACCACAGCGTCTCCTGAGGAGAAGAAACATATCATGGCCCGCCTACGTAAATTGGGCGAGGAAATGAAGCCATCTCCCACACCAGCAGCCGCCTCCTCTTCCCTGTCTCCTCCTGCCGCCCCCTCATTTGTACCCCCAAAACGTGCCGTGAGCTCGACACCTCGCACCGAGGACCAAGAGCGGGCAGAGCGCGAACGGTTGGATAAGGAGTTGGAGCTACAGCGCGCCGAGGGTGATGGCGAGGAAGAGAGCACCGAGGAACTGAAAGCGAAGCTTGAGAAGCTTAAGGCTGAGGTACGTCATTTCCGCTTCGTTTCCAACATACCTTAGATCAGTTCCGCTAATTATGATGCTTACTTCCAGGCTGCGAGCCTCGGCATACCCGTCACCACGGATACCTCGTCCTCGTATGGCAGCTCGACATACCGGCCGTACCGCGGTCGCGGCAGGGGCGGCCCACGATCCTTCTACCGCGGCGCGACGCGAGGCGGGCCCCCGCGGGCGAGCATGAGGCTTGACAACCGTCCAAAGAAGCTCCTCGTCAAAGGCGCGTCCGCGGAGTCCCTGCAGGCCGTGCGAGACTGGTACGAGGTGCGTACAGTCTCATGTTGGCGTCTTCATGCCATGTCATCATGTGTGTGAGCTCGTTGTTGGGCGCATGTGCTGATGGTGGCCCTTGTGCGCGTGTAAACAGACGACCGGACAGGTAGAGTCGGTCGAGACGACGGACGGCGGCGATGTGCTTGTGTCCTTCCGGAGTCGTGCCGCGGCTGAACAGGTAAGCACCCCTCTTCCACATACGCCATCGTGCCTTGTGTGCGTGCGATGCGCCTTCCGTTCGATGCTAACCCTCTTTGTTGCAGGGTTTCGCGAAAGGCTCACACATTGCTTTGGTCGGGCCTGTGCAGGTCTCCTGGTTCACCGGGCATGCCACGGGGACTCTCACTCAGGCACTTTCGGCGGCCACAGCGTCATCTGGGACCGATTCGCAGAAGAACGCCACCGTGACACACAGCCCATCGGCGCCTGCGGACGATACAGACTCGCACATGCTTCAAGAGGAGGTCGAGCCGGAGGCGGGTGGATGGGCCGCTGACGAGGACGGGTTCGGCATGATGTGATGATCGTGGACCGAGTCGTTCTCGAAGTGCACTGCGCGTTCCCAAATGCTACTGCAAGTGCAATAGCAAATGTCCCGGTTCCTTCTTTCGTCTCTTCATGCTCCTTTGTAACCCTACATTACTGTGGCTCGGGTCGTAATGACGAGACCAGCGGTGGCCTCAAAATTAGTCCATGCCACCGATCGCCTTCTGGCGTAGCCTATACCTCTCATGCGTGCCATGCCGGTGGACGAAGCGGAAAGCGGACCGCAGCAAACATCTTTGTTTCTCCCCTTCGCAGGGTGCATAGTGTATTGAATCACCCGGCGCTGGACGTAGGCTCTGATATGGCGTGCGCATAGTATTGGGCTGGATCTGTTGGTGATATAATGTTTGCTATAATGCAAACGGATCGTGCGGCGACTTCTCTTCCGACCAATTTCTACTAATGGACTATCCCCGATGCCCAGCTCTTGCTCCTTCTCCTTTGTAACCCTCCCCTCTGTACCCACGCTCGTGTGAATAGTGTTAGGTTCCTACGGTATGCAACCCGTCAATCAAACCCAAGGACATGCGCATATGCGCGTATGTACTTGATGCAACATCATACAGTAAATTAACTGTGTCCTAGCGTTCGCGCGAGAACCCCGCGTGCGCTGTCCGGAAACGATCGCAACGAGTCTCCCCGACCTCGACCATGACCACGCAAGGTTTACGCCACTCGCGTATGCTACGAGACGGCGCTCTTCCGCGCGGCCGCCGTCTGTGACTTCGAGCGCGACTTGCGCAGCTTGCCCGACGAGCCCGAGCCTGACAGCGGCATGCTGTACGCGGACGGGGGCCCCACGGGGACGGCCCCCGTCGCAGACGCACCTGACGCGGGTTCGGACGGTCGCGCAGCCTCTCTCGGCCGGCCGCGCGCGATGTGGTCTCCCGGGAATGATGTCGGGGGCGTGGGGTAGGCATCCGCGGCTGTGACCGTGTCCGAGCTCGCGCTCATGTACACGGACGGCACGGGGGGCACCGCGGGCGGAGGCATCATCTCCATCTGCTGCGGCACGGACGAAGAGCGCGCATGGCCCGAGGATGGGACGGGTGGGCGCGAGTCCTCCGCGCTGAAGGCGGCGGATTGGGACTGCGCGCGGCGCACGTTGCCTGCGCTGGTGGAACTGGTCGCAGAGAGGTTGCTCCGCGAGCGCTGGTACGGCGGGCGCGATCCGGCTGGGGCGCAGAGAGAAGACAAGGGAACTCAACGAAACAACGCGAAGGAGGGAACGAGGACACGACTCACCATACGAGTTGCTTGGACTGCCGTTGGAGGATGATGGCCTTGAGGACTGACGGGAACCGACCACGACCCATGGGTCTGCCATACTTCTGCGGTCTCCAGCGGCGCTGTAGAAGCTGTAGGACCTCTCCACTCCCTCCGGAGGCGCGTACAGCTGGGGAGCCAAAGGGGTGGGGAGTACGATCTGGATGTTGCTGTGGATAGAATGGGCAGGACCGCGTAGGGTGTTGCCAGAAGTCGAGTGTGAGGTCTGCACGGAGTGCATCGTGCCCGAGGACGAGACGACAGATGTCGGCCGTTGGCGCGAGCGCGACGCGCGCGGGGGCCTTGAGCGCGCAGGAGTAACCATGACTGACGCGGAAGACTCGACAGAGTGACTGACATCTGAAGGCGATGTGGGAACCAACACCGCGTTGACGTCTGAGATGCCATCACTGGATGAGCTTACAACGCTGGCCATGCTGGCGTGCGGGTTGTTGCTGACGGGCAGGAAGGCCGGATTCGGGGGCAAGAGGTCCTCGGTCGTGGACGGAGTCGGGAAGGGCGAGCCCTCGAGGGAGTCGACGGCCCAGCTGCTCTCGCGGGTCGGACCGCGGCTCACTGAGATGTCGGGACTACTGCGGATGAGGGAGGCGCTGCTCCCGCTGGCGGAGAGGAAGTGTGAGTAGGCACGCGGCTTCTGGTGGTAGGGAAGAGGATCGAGCCATGTGGTGGGACGAGGGGCACGGTCGGCGAAAGACGAGAGTTGCTGCTCGCGGTGGTGGGCGAGGTCTTGGGGAGGGGGTAAGGGGATGGTGGAGCGGCGGAACTGACGAGCGAAGAAACGCCAGGCGAACAGGGCGAATGCAAGAGCAACGACCGAAGCTGCGACGACGGCTATGATGATGATTGTGGAAGTAGAAATTTTGGAGGAGCTGGAACTGTCCCTGGGGACGAGGGACGGGACATCGGGCATAGTCTGGGATCCAGAGCGGGCGGGCTTGGGGTAGTCTGTTGCTAGTCGCGACCTTGTGGGTCGTAAGAAGGCGGCAGGTAGGGTGAGCAAAGGAGCGTGCTGAAAAGAGTGGCGGAGCGATGGGCGATATTAATACATAAACAAGAGAGCCTCGCGCGGCCGTCGGTAAGGAGTGTCGAGATGGCAGTTGGCGGTGCGCTTTGAGCCAGGGAGTGGGGGAGGGAAGGACGGGGAGGAGGGGAAGGAGGTTGGTCGGCAAGAGTGGCTGGGCGCAGGACGCGGGGAGGGGTATGAGGAAGGGGAGGAGGAGGACGAGGGCGGCTGGACGGGCTCGGACGAAGACGAGTACGTGCTTCTGACAGACAGCGCCTGCACGGCCGACGGCACCCGCTCCCGTCCCATTTTGGGGTTTACTGTATGCCGCCTCAATTTATTGCGATCCTCCCACGCCTTGTGCCTCGGCCGGAGCGCCCGCCGCCGCCGGATTCCGTCTGACTCGGAGACTGTACCCGTCGCGGGACACACTGACGATGACCACCGTCGCGCCCTCTGCCTCTGCTCGCCGCGTCGGGCCCCGCTCCATCATCTCCGTCGCATCCTCCACCGCAGACACCAGGTCGTACGCACCGGCCAAGCCCCCGCCAGCGAAACCGGTCACCCTCGCGAAGCGCATCCTCTTTCCTGCCCTTCCGCCCGACGCTGACCTCCCGCCCCTTCTCCTCTCCCCCGCCGCCGCCCCACAACTCAATGCAGAGCTCTATGACTTCATCGCTCTCGCTCTCCGCGCGTACGTCAACACCTGGTGGACAAAGATCACCCGTTACGACAAGGAGTTCCTCCCAGAGATAACCCGCATCCTCACCGCTGTCATACGTACCCTCGAGACTCGCCTTCTCGCCACCGATCTCTCCCCTCTTGTCTTCCGCGACTTCCCCACAGTGCTCGCCCAACACTGGATCGACTACCGCAATGCTCAGGCCAAGCTACATACCTCGTATGCCGCCGGAGGTGCTGCCAGTCTTCCTCAGCTCTTCCACCAGCTCCAACCCCACATGGCCGTCTCCGCAGACGGCGTCATTGACCACGTCTACGTCCGCCAGGCCGTCGACCACATCTTGAAGGTATGCCTGCCGCCAGAAGACTACGAACCAGAGGCCGAGCGGTACATTGTCCGCGAGATCATCCTCAAGGTGCTCGTCGGCGGCGTGCTCCCCAGACTCACTCAGCCATGGTTCATACACAAGCTGATTCTGGACCAACTGGGGCCTGAGAAAGTGGCGGTCGAGGTCTCAGAGGTGAGTCTCACCCTCCTATCCAAATCCCCTTGTCCCTCCGTTTGCACACCCTTCGGACACGCGAGCGAACGGCCAAATTTACGCCTCATGTATTTACATCATGCCAAGCCGAGGAATAGACATTGCCTTCCTTATCATTGATGCCCCGGCGATGAAATTGCGCACCGGAGGGCGTTGTCAGTTCGCAGTCGCTGATTGTCGATCCCCTCTCGCAGCCTCCGAACACCGTGGCTGATCAGACTACCACCTCTGGACGGCCGGTCATTCAGCGGCGTTCTTCAGGCCATGTTTCATTCCAGGCCCTCGCTATTCTTATCCTCTCTGCCGTACAATCCGTGTCCGGAGTATGTTTAGCACTCCTCCATGCGTACAAGCAAGCTCGGGACACCATCAAGAAGGTAAACCAAAGTAAAGGCCTACATGGAACGGACGAACGTGCACATCCTCTAGCCGACGCTCAGGACGAGCAGCACGCCTACTCCCACCCGAGAGGCGAGACAAGTCTAAATGCTACACCCTCGCTGCCGGGGACGCTCAATGTCCCCCAGAAGGCTCCTGCCGCGCCCTCGGGCTCGCTGCCCCGCGTGCCGTCGTCAGAAAGCACGTCAATCGTCCACTCCTCCTCCCGAACCTCGACCTCCTCCAACGTTCCCGAGATCTCGCCCTCGCCTTCCCCGTACCCAGCGCCGCCCCCGCCCCCACCAATCCCGGACTACGCACATCCGCCCCTAGCGCTCCTCCTGACCATCCTCACTCCCCCGCCCTCCTCTGCCCCCGCCGCCTCCTCCTCTTCTCCCGAGCACGCGTCGTTCGCGACCGCACGTGCGCTCTCGCACCTCCTCACGCTCGCCGCGTCCCTCGCCTCGCCCTTCCTCGCTCGCCTCCTCCCCTACCTCCTCTACACGCACGTGCTCTCCCCCGCGACGCTCGCCAACACCGTCCGGAGCGCGAACCGGGCCCTGTTCCCCGAAGGCTGGCCCGCGCCCCCGCCCGTTGACCCGACGCCCGAGGAGCAGGCCGAGATGCGCGAGACGCTGCGGCGCCGGCTCGCGGAGCGCGTCCCTGGTGAGTGCTTCGCGTGCGTTCGCGCCTTCCGAATTTGACTGATGGTCATTGGATGGTGTTCAGGGGCAGTCGCACCTCTGCTTGGGCCGACGCCTGCAGCGCGCCTTGCGACGGTCGATGCTGCACTGGCGCCGCTGGACGATGCGGCGTGCAACGCGCACCTGGCGGTGTTCATCCTGGACTTGATCCTGCTGACCGTCTTCCCGGAGCTGGGCGTGAAGGACGAGGTGTAGTTACGAGTCTCAGGGTGTGGCGTTGTCTGTTGGTGCGTTCCCACTTGGATGTTGTCGCTGTAGTCGTCATATACCCGGATCACGAAAACATATAAACGAACGCTGACGAACCGTAATGCATATCTTACGCTGGACCCCCCTCCTACCACACGGCGCGCTGTGATGTGGCCGAGTATACGCTGCATGAGGTATCCAGATCGGCATGCATCAAGGGGCTACATGGGAGCTTCGTCTCTGGCATGGCGTAAAATACAGGCTCAAAACTAGACTTCTTCCAACAAATCAAACTCGACAGCGACATCGTCTATAGCGTCCCGCACTCTCTATCCTAGAGCTTGAACGGTGTTCGCGCAAACTGCACCTTCTCCGCCGCGGCGTCGGCTACGAACCAGTAGAGCTGCCCCGGGTGTGCGGGGCGCACGCGACTCGCGGGCAGCCCCTTCTCGGGCTCGTCGAGCACGGTGTGGAGCGTGTCGGCCTTGGCCGCGTCCGCGGCGACGAACGCGATGCGCGCGGCGTGGTTGAGGACGGGAAAGGTGAACGTGATGCGCTTCGGGGGCGGCTTGGGGCTGTCCTCGATGTACGCGACCCACCTGTCCTCCTCGCTGAGGAGCTCGTGGCCGGGGAAGAGCGAGCAGGTGTGGCCGTCGGGGCCGATGCCGAGGAGGATGAGGTCGAAGATGGGGAAGCGGGCCGAGTCCTTCATGGCGAACTCCTGGATGAGCTCCTTCTCGTACTGGTCCGCGAGCTCCTCGAGGTCGTCGAGGTACTCGGGGTTGAGCGTGTGGATCGTCGGCTGGGGCTGGGAGGCGGGGATCTTGGAGAAGAGCTCGCGGACGGCGAGGCCGTGGTTGGAGTCCTCGTGGTCGAGCGGGACGGCGCGCTCGTCTGCGTAGAAGACGTGCCTGTGGACCCGGGAGGCCGGTGGAGAGATCACGTAAGTAAACGCTTGGGTGTTCGGCACGGGCGAAGCAGAAGGAGAGGATTAGAGTAAATTAGCATGAGGCGAGTCGATCACCGATTGCAGTGCGGTGTCCAAATGTGGATTTCGAAGGCGGGTGTGAGGCATATGAACAGTGGACGGTCGTGAAGTTGGATTGGGAAGGAATGGGGCGCAGACAAGCCAGGTACGTACCATTTGTCCCACTTAACGCCCGGGTGGTTGATCAGCGCGGCCAACTGCTTGGGAAGAGAGCCACCAGAGAGGGCGACTGTGAAGCGTCCCTTCTTCTCAACAGCCTCTTTTTGGGCCTTGACAATGAAGTTGGCGAGGGCATCGGTGAGCTCGGCACTGGAGGGGAATGAGAAGAGGACGGGAGGATTTGGTGCGGTGTGAGGCATTGTGGGGTTCAGGATACGAGTGGGATGGTGGTTAGAGGACAAGAGAGTGGGTAAGGAGCTCCTAGCGTTGGAGGCCGATGGAATCTCGCACGGCCCTGTCAAAGCAACGCGTAGGCGCCCGTAATCAGCACTGATGTCATCGGATATGTCCCCGATCTCTGATCTCGTCCCAGTTCGAGTTCGACGAGCTCGTCCCTGCCCACTCCCCCATCCTCCTCTTCGTTCAGACGACGGTACACACCAGCTGGCAATAAAAACAAGCCGCATCATGTCCGCTCTCTTCTTCTCATCCTTTGATGTCACTCGCCAGGCGTTCTACCGCTCGGGCCTCGCAGCCGCCATCGTCAACCTGAAGCCAATCGTTCCTGGCCGTCCGTGTCCTCGTTCTCCGCACCGTATTCGACCCCGAACTGCGATCTCACACGCCGACCGATAGATGTCCTCGTCATACCCACACGCGTCGTCCCGCGCTTTGCCGACCTCGAGCAGGACGAGCTCGCGTCGCTGATGGCGTCTGTGCAGCACGTTGGGCGCGTCATCGAGCGTGTGTATGGGGCCGACGGCCTCACCATTGCATGTCAGGTACCGTACCTCCCTCGGAACGTTCATCAGCCTTTGTAGCTGTATTCATCATCATTCGTCCGCCGTCCTGTCTTGCCGCTGTGCTTGTACCTCACCGTGGAGATAGGACGGGAAAGCGGCGGGCCAGACAGTGCCCCACGTACACTTCCACCTGCTGCCTAGAAAGATCCAGGGCGACGCGTTCGCCAGGAACGACGACGTGTACCCTGCTCTGGAGAGGTCCGAGGGCGGTCTCGTCGACAATCTTCGCAGGGTCCCGCAGCCACTTCAGGTGGACGCGGATGAGGATCGCGAGCCCAGAACTTTGGAAGACATGGAGAAGGAGGCCCTGTGGCTGAAGACCTTCTTCGATCCTGTTGAAGGAAGCTGAGAGGCTGTTGGCAGCAAGGCGTCGTCCTCAGATGTGAGTGACGCGAGTCTCCCGCAAACGCTCATACCAACGTGCCTCAGGATTACTTCACCTGTATGACCTTGTTGCACACAGACATCGGGCTACTAGGTTCTGACTCCTTCCCTGATACGCGTGCACTCGACAAGGGATCTTGTCTGAATAGAATGCTATTCGTCACGAACACATGGCGCATGAGTGGTCGTAAGTACATAAATCAGACGTATTCTATAGGACTAGGTCGCAAGGATGACATAGTGTGCAACAAAAGATTGCGCGACACTGAGGCCAACGCCTTAGCCACCAACAAACCTCTGTGCGCGGCGAACAAATCCATCGCGACACAACCACGATCTACGGCTACCCCAAGCTTTTGTTGTAATCGCGTTCATAAATAGGACGTTCTAAGACATACGCAAACCCCGGCTTCATACTTACACTAGCCAACGATTGCGTCTGCACCTCGCGCAAGACCACGTAAGGCAGTCTCTGCAGTTCTGAACGAATAGCCACTATCAGCTTCGTCGGTCTCCCGGAGCCTGAGCGCGGCAGCACTCACATATAAGAAGATGCGCAGATAGTGTCCGCAGCCTTCGCATCTCCCGGCACCCGCAACATATCGCCAGCGATGTGTGCAATCGTGGTTCTCCCTCAACCTCGCTGCTTGGTCACGGACCGCCCGAGCGATGTCCACAGGTGGAGCGGGAACGTTGGGAGCGAAAACGGCTTGCATCTGCTGCTGTCGCTGCACTCTATCCTCGGCGGCTGTGATTAGCCTCGCTTCGTCCCATTGAGTGCACGCGCAGGTCTTCCACCGCGCAGTGCAGAGATAGCAGAATTGGTGCCTGCATCTGCACGTCATGTGGTAGCACCCGACGGTGAGCTCGACGAGATGGCCACATCCGGGACAGCGCTTCCACCCCGACTGCTCCGCAAGTGCGACGACGCTGGCGTCTTCCGCGCTGGTGCAGCGCGTGAATAGGGAGTGCGCTGCAGCTTTGCAGTGCCCGCATGTATTCGACCAGCATTCCTTGCATGTCAGATAGGACGCAGTGGCAGTTGCTGCACCGAGGAAAGCGGAACAGGTGGGACGATGGCAGTAGACGCGATCTTTGGTCCCGAATTCGACTGCTTTCTTATCGAAGAGCGTGGCTAGATCCCTGTTCAGGTATTGCCTGATGACCGAGACATTGAAGGGCTGGCGGCAGCAGGCAGGAGGGAAGAGCGACTCGTCGACGGTGGCTGTACGGAATAGGTCCACAATACAGTTGACGTCGTAAGTGTCCCCGCAAGGTGCGCGGATTACTGGGCCATGAATGGCGTCCCTGCAGATGACACACGTCTCAGATCTAGTACTCGAACTCGATAAGTACGTGGTGTCTATACAAATGGCCATCAGACTGACCGAACACTGGCGTTGCTCGGCAGTTGCTTAGAAGACGAAGACGGGGCCCGGCTTGCAGTGGGAACAGTGCTCGTCCTACACATTTCGTTCAGCTGGAGCGTCACTCGGATATTGAATAATGCTCACGAAAGTGGTCTTACCGAGATCACTGAAGAGGACATGGCCGTTGAATTCGTCGCAAGCGTCCGCACGCTAGACATTGTTGAGAGAAGACCGGCATGCTTCAGCGTAGTGGGCGCTCGACCCTCGGCAATAGCTCGAGCTATCTCTCTATCTCGTCTCGCAACTTCTTCAGCGCGTTCGTGCTCCTCTAGGAGGTCCGCGTCCGTGCGAAGGGCCTCGTCGATGCTGTGAGCGAAGGCGATGTCACTCACGAGCGTCTGCAACGCACGGGCCTCTTCGGCGAAGAATTGCAGAGCGAGCTCCTCGTCGCTAAGAGGCCCAGAGATAGCCTTGCCTTTCTTCCGCCCACGGATATCTTCCACATCTTGCAATCCGTAGGAGGCGACTAGCGCGAGGAGCGTCAATTCCTCTTCTGTCATCCCGTGTGGATGGTTGGCGACCCCGACAATCTGCGGGAGGAGGAAGGGGAGATAGGGAAGTCAAGAGGCCCTACTGATCTCGGGGCACCACTTTATGAACAGCAGTCAATATGCCAGCGCGTGCAATACGTCTCGCCGTGTGTGAGGACTTACCGCAGCATCCTTCGCTGAGGTCAGCAGGACAAAGAACCTCAGCTATATGGCCAATTCAGGACACAGCTCGCCTAAAGAGTCTTCGGATGAGAAAGTCCTTGTCCTCTCGCATAGACGATGGAAGAGGACGATGCTGCAATTGTCCGTGACATCGTGTTCGACAAAGGCAACTACAACATCTATATCCTAGATCAGTCCAACGTGCACAATATATTCCAGGTGCGGAGATGCTACGATGCCCAAGTCGCAGGCCTCAGAACAGAGGCTGTGTTTCTGGTCCTTGACCGTTCGAGGCTCCATACATGCAGCCATGGCGTCGCGTCCGACACTGGGTCCGGATACTCGAACTGCGCAGGATAACGGCCAATGTCGTCTCCAGGAAAACTCGTGATCTCGGCGTCGCCCAGCAGCGGCACAGCACGAGTGCTCCTAAGCCTAGTGTGCAGCAGCCAGTGACAGTCCGCCTCCCAGAGCTGGAGCTTCGCGGTCAGTCCGGGCAAGTACTGGACTGCGATGTATGCGTATGCTACCGGATTCCACCAGCACTCGTTGCGTACCACAAATTCGGCGGTGTGCTCCTCGACCAGCGATACGCCTACGATACTCCCCTCGATGTGCGGGTCGTACGTATCAAAGCGGGGCGTCTCCATGGGCAAGTAAGGGGGACGGTATGCCTGGGGTGAGAGTGCTCGGAGTTTGACGTACAAGCCTATGCGGAGGGGTTCGTCCGGACAGATGGGAACATCGTATAAGTGGGCGACAGTGTTCTTTGCGATAGGATGACTGCGATCCTTCCGGGGAAGGGTATCGGTGGCTCGCCACTTGGCGTAGATAGTAATTGGGGGGCCTTGGTCGGGAGCGCGATGGACAACGTGCGGGTCGGCGGGCATACGACGGCTGAAGAGGTTTGGACGGAAGGTCAAGAGCTGGAGCGTTACCTGTGAACCACCACTACCCTCTCGCTTATATCGTCGCCCACACCCTGAGGAGTTCATGTCAGGTATGCAGGGTCGCATCCCGGTGGTCTTGTTGACGAACCGAGTAACCTGGCAAGCTGCCGCTGGCATTGTGGTCTCTATAGGCAAACGGCTATCAAACGAGCCTAAGCGTTTCCGAGAAGAGTAAGCCTGACATACCAGCCATATGTCAGCGAGCGATCGTGGCCGAGTACCGGGCCTGGGGTTGCCTCCCGTGGGATAACCGCTGTTGAAAACCGCAGAATTGAACCGTCCCAGTATACATACGCAGGACGCCCTCGCCGTGGGACGTCCCACGTACGGTGGGTCCAGGTGGGACTGTTCAATCCTACTATTTTTCTCAGCGGTTGTCTCCCTCCCGGAGCTGCGACCGCCCTGCAGGGGAGTGAGCATGATATACCGCTATGGGCGTTACTTACCTTGCACGCTGTCACGGCCCCTGCACGGTTTCGAGTATATTCGTTAAAAAGTCCGAGACAATCGGCAGGGTGGTCGTCGAGATACAGAAGCGGCCGGTCGTGGTCGACTCCGAAGTCGGCGTGCCTGAAACGCGCGGGAAACTGAGCGAGCGACGAGATTTGAGCTCTCAAGTCGCGTACCTTGCACTTCATCTCCGTTCGTGCTGAGGTACGTATACGATGATGACGTCCTCTATATATCTGCATTATTTGACGACTATGCACACGACCTTGCCGACGTCCTACTTGACATCCATGCAAGCACAGACCTCCTGTTGCCTTATGCCCAGCTCGTCCAGATCAATTGTAGTACATACTGCATCCCTCGTTACACTCCGAATGGCTGGGGTGTCACACGCGCATGGGTGACCGCGGCACCGGGGTGCAAGTATACATCTGGGCACGAGACTAGCGAATGGCATATACACCGCTTTCGCCGGCGGCGGTCAGAAACGCGTCGCATGCATGCTCAAAAAGGTAACTCGCGCGCGAGTGAGCGTCGTCTCCATAGCCACCTTCGTATCGCCGCAAGGTGTCAAGACACCGGGTGGGTGCGAGTTGACTCGCTGTGAGCTCGAGAATATTTCCTGGGACTGCGAGACGGACAACGATGCGCATGTCCTCGCTTATGTGGCCCAGCGCGTCTTCGACCACCTTCCTCCTGACGAAGAATTACGTGTCCGAACCTCCTCCGCGAGGCACGAGGTGAGCCGCAATCTCAGGGATGTGACCTTCGCGGAGTTGGATATTGTGCTAGAAGAGGCATGTCTTGTAGTCAAGTACGAGCCACGCCCTGATATCGGACGCTCTCGAGCGGACATGACGCAGCGTCTCTCAGGGTTCGGTAAGGCTGGTATGCCGTGGGTCGTTTGACTCATTGGCGAGCTGAAGACCTCGGACCTCTAGCTCGAGGCCGTTCTTCGGGTTGTGCTTGACCTCGTCGCGGCGCAAATCGGCGGACGTGGTGTGGGCGGCGAGGTATACTCACTGGAGCGCGGGTTTGATCACCATCGTGAGGTGCTGCCGGCAGCCGAAGGCCACTGGACGAACTGGAGCGCTATGGAGCGCTACAAGCTGCGGGGGAGGTTGCAACTTTCCTCAGCTGAGATCCGTTCTCGCGGTCATGCATTGGCGGAGGCTGCCCTGAACAGTTTGCGAAAAATTGCGAGCGGACAAGGCCGTTGTTCACCCTAGGCTAGAAATATCATATACTCCACTGTTCTTGGGGATGGTTTGGGTTATGCATGTCGACCTTCCCGTGTCTCCTCGTATCTGCTGTATTCACTGTATGTCCACGACTTTCCCGTCAACATACATCTCGAACGCGTTCTACAAGGTACCACTCGAAGAGATCAGTATATGAAGGCCTATACACGTACACATTCCATCCATGTCCGCAAGCGTACACACCCATGCGAGATGAGCACCGACAAAAGACATCACGTCGTCTCAGCACATGAGCTAGAATTTCGGGGTATAACATCAATGGTGTGTACCTCAGGAACCCCGAGGCAGTCAGACTCGGACGGGCATTTGCCATGAGTGTCCGCAGCGGAAGATGAGGTCACGAAGGTGGGGATCCTCGACGTCACGGCATCATTTGGCAGGAAAAGCCCCTTTTCGACGCCGCTAGCTACGACATGACTCCTCGCGCTGTCCAGGTGTCTGAAGGCTGCAACACGGACGACGATGAGGCATTGTAAGATCCCGAAAAAGACGGGTTTAACGGACGCCATGACGTAGCGGACGTCGCAGTTGGTCTAGTGAACGATCAGACGTGCGGCCCGAGTGCTACCGAGGGATATCAAGGGACGTACCAACGACGTGACCGTTGGGTGCCAGCGAGCAATTCTCGTAAGTAGAAAAGGAGACCGATCCGTATGGTGGAAGTAGATTCGACACATACGCATAGTACCGTCGCGTACGTGTCCAGGTGCCCACCCTAGTACTTCGGTTGCGGTCGAGAGTCGGTAGGTAACGAGAATGGGAATGCGCCGCGATGAACCCCACAAAGTCTGAAGCGTGGTCTCAAGAAGGACGGTTTCGTAGTTGCCCGAAAGACGCACGAGCGTTAGCGTTGAGACGATCACTGTCATCGGGATGTATAGAGCCCCATTGCGCTGTTGAGCGAAGAAGATATAGAAGTGCACACGAGCAGGCCGTCCGAACATAAGCCCGCGAGGTGGTTACAATGCTGCGCCCAGACCCGCTCAGCACCTCCTAGTCAAAGGCACAGAAGCCTACCCGCTCAAATAACAATCAGGGTGATATCCCATAAGGAAAGCTTCGTCCGATGGCGGTTCATGACCCGTGCTCGGGCAGATCATGGGGCTCGTGCGATGAAGTGCCCGCATAAGTCAACGATTCTGCGATGTTAATGTCATCAGTTAGACGAGGCGGAGATCTCGGGCACGATACGCACAGAGCAATTTTACCATACGGAGCCTGCGCTAAAAGAGGCTGCGACTTCTGTACTAATCATACCACGATGTTGCGACGCAGAGTACGCAACATGCAGACACCGGCATGAGGCCCGCTTTCGAGGGGGATGTTGTCCCAGACAATACGCAGAGAAAAGCCTGAATAATGTGATCTTGAGTACGTGTCAGACGGCAGTGTCGTCAGCCATCTCCCAGGAAACCGCGCGTTTGGGGCAGCAGCAGTACCGGGTCGTCGATCCACCCTTGACTAAACTTAGCGCAAGGGGGTAGTGCTGCGGAAAGAGTAAGATGTACGACGCCGACTCCCGCCCATAAAATAAGACTTACGTCAGAAGTGAACATCTGGGCTCGGCTATGTGGCCTATATGTAGGGACTTTGAAGATGGAAACCATTCGCCAAGCGGCACTTGAAACCTGAACAGCGACATTTGATAGCCTCGGTGAACTAGAATCGGCACTGGCTCACCAATAGGGCCAATCTCAACGGTCGATCGCTTTAAAGTCGTATCTCAGACAGCGGATGTTGTAGCCATCTTTGGTTGGCCTATATTACTGCCTACGAGAGGCACTCGTTTGGTCGGTACTGTGGCGAACGTCACTCACCGACGTCGTCACAACGACGCAGTCACTACGCATTCCCTCCACGTCCACCTCGTTCGGTCTGATCCAGTAAGGCATGCATTCCCGTCCACTCCGACATCAGCCTTGTGGCGTCCTGATACCCAGGCCCGCCGCTGCCAAAACGGAGACAGCCATCAATGGGTTTCCTGGGCCCCTTGGATTGACGACGACGTACCTATCTTCAGGATCTCCAATTGCGTACCGCGCCTACATGCTCAGTGACGAGACCAATTGGATAGGCTCTGTATATGAAACAAGAAACACGATCTCCAAGCCTGCCGATCGTACCTTGTGCCAGTTCCTTGCTGATTCACAGGGACATACCTCTTCAGATGAAACAAAAGCTCGGTACCGCAGATCGCAGCTGAGTAGGACCATGTTCGATAGTAATTCTCGTATCGTTTGTATGAGATAGATCCAAGATAAATGTGACGTCAGCCCACGCCCAATCGTACACTACCTGCCAAGTCCGGGCACCATCGCACACAGACCACCCAATCTCGCATACGCCTCGAAAGGCGCTCACTTCCTCAGTTTCATAGTTCAGGGGCGGCTCTTCAGTTTCAGCCCTGGGAGGCTGAACATCTGGTGAAACCGTCAATGAACATACGCACCATCGTCGTTACATCTCAAAACACTTACCTCGAAAATCATCTCCGCGGGTACACCCCATCCCCTGACGCCTTCGACCTGGTTGACAAGCTGGTTGCCCAAGACGACGCCGATGACCGAGCCGCTCTCCTCGTCCACAATCGGACCCCCACTCGACCCCGGCGTCGGCGGGGGCTCAAAGTGCAGATGCGCCAAAGCGTCATACGTCCCAGGCTAGGAGGTTGCCGCAATGGTGTGCAGATACAGAGGGCACGTTACAGAGCATCGTAAAACGACCATGGGGAGAAGAAGTCGCAGTCAGTCCCGTGCTGCATCAAAAGCATCCGTCCGCGAGCGCGAACGCTACTCTCACGGCAGACGAGGACCCAGAGACGTACCTTCGCTTCTCTGCCGGCGTAGTCTCTGTAGCCCACGACGGTGCCCCTGACCCACTTCCTCCACGTGCCCCCGACCCAGGGCGTCCACCCGTCGCGGTCTGCCCCGGAGGGCGGCTTGTCTGCGACGAAGTGCGCCCGGATCGCAGCGCCCGGGTGGACGGGATACGGGTTCACGGGTAGGGACCGCAGCCCGGGGCTTGGTGTGGGCGGGAGTCGGGGCTGGGGCGTCGAGAGGAGGAGCAGGTCGCCGCGGTGCATGGCGGAGAGCACGGACGAGACGCGGGAGAACGTCGGTGCCGGGCCCGCGGCTGCGTGCGTGTCCGTGTCCGAAATCACGAACGAGCCCGAGCGGAGCTTCTCGAGGGCGGCGGCGGAGCTGGGACGAGTCGTGCGCACGAGCGGGTCGTGCCGGATCTCCAGGTGCCGCCGGAGGAGTGCATACACGAACGGGCGCAGGGGCGATATACGATGCAAACGTCAGCCCCAGTGAGAACGTACATGGGCTCAGCTGGTATACATCGGGGAAAGTTGGGTCAGAGCGGTTGAAGTCGGGAGGTCTCGGTTAATATTGGGCGGACGGGTTTAGGCGCTCAAACGACGTCTCTAACTGACCTTACGGTGACCGGATCGGACGTGCATGTCCTGACACCGGTGACGTCTCTGAGTTGTCCTTAACATGTCTCTAGCTAGGTAATACATTACTTTGTGTCAACGAACCAGCGTGTGCTCTTTGGGCCAGCCATCTCAGGTCTGTCTGTGTTTGCTCCTACTCCCAATCCCGCCACTTCTACACTCCTCCAAACGACATCGCCGCAACCTCTTCGCAATGTCCCCGTCACCCAACTCCAAGCCTCGGAAATGGTACTGCGATTGTACCAGGCACTGCAGAGGCCAGGAACGCGCGGTGTCGGAATCGACGCATCGCAAACATGCTCGGTATCGCAACCAACGATTGCAAGAGGCCCTTCAGCGCGCGCTCGGCACCGG